AGAGCTCAGTTGAACTCCTTGTCGCTGTCGTCGCCTCCTGCTGGTCAGCCATGCTAGCCGTTTAGCATATCCTTCTTTCATTTAGCATTAGCTAGTTAGCATATCTTTCTTTCTGTTAGTATTAGCCAGTTAGCATGACCTTCTTTCTGTTAGCATTAGCCAGTTAGCAGTCATTTTGACTGCTCTGGGATCAAACACATGACTCAGTTTTAGTTTGATCTTTATTGTCTTTATTGAAAGTGCAGAACAACGACACAAAAACAGTAAATCCAAAGAAATCTACTGAGTTCGTCTGGAGGAGACGGGTCACATGCGTTTGACCCGAGCTGCAACTGATGCTAGTGGCATGACCCCTCCCATGACCTATGACCCCTGACCCTAAAACAGAACCTGTAAATATAAACGTTCAGTCCATGGCGCTCTAGGTCCTTCCATTTCTGTAAAGTGCATTCTTTGATTCTGAGTAATCACCACAGACTGGATACACATGGACAATGCTAACCCACTAGCTCAATGCTAACGCGCTAGCTCAATGCTAACGCGCTAGCTCAATGCTAACACAGACTGTATACAGATGGACAATGCTAACCCACAATCTTAGCCCAACAGGGAAGTGCTCATAGTGAAGTTTGGCTCCTCGCTCTGGCTCATATCAAATTCCATGTAAACAGAAAAAACAAAACATGGGAAAAAGTTGTAAAACAACAAATTAAAATTAACTTTTCTGAGTCTTTTGTTGTAAACATAACTCCCCTGGAAATATCTGTGATGGAACTCGGACAGATCGTCCCTTTGTCCCTTTGAGTCGTCTATGGCACTGAAATGAAAGTCTGAAATGTAAACTTCGTGCTTTTGTGTGAGACCAGAGAGACCAGAGAGAGACCAGAGAGAGACCAGAGAGACCAGAGAGAGAGACCAGAGAGACCAGAGAGAGACCAGAGAGACCAGAGAGAGAGACCAGAGAGACCAGAGAGAGACCAGAGAGACCAGAGAGACCAGAGAGACCAGAGAGAGACCAGAGAGAGACCAGAGAGACCAGAGAGAGAGACCAGAGAGACCAGAGAGACCAGAGAGACCAGAGAGAGACCAGAGAGAGACCAGAGAGACCAGAGAGAGAGACCAGAGAGACCAGAGAGAGACCAGAGAGACCAGAGAGAGACCAGAGAGAGACCAGAGAGACCAGAGAGAGAGACCAGAGAGACCAGAGAGAGACCAGAGAGACCAGAGAGACCAGAGAGAGACCAGAGAGAGACCAGAGAGACCAGAGAGAGAGACCAGAGAGACCAGAGAGACCAGAGAGAGAGACCAGAGAGAGACCAGAGAGACCAGAGAGAGACCAGAGAGAGACCAGAGAGACCAGAGAGAGACCAGAGAGAGACCAGAGAGAGACCAGAGAGACCAGAGAGAGAGACCAGAGAGACCAGAGAGAGACCAGAGAGACCAGAGAGAGACCAGAGAGAGACCAGAGAGACCAGAGAGAGAGACCAGAGAGACCAGAGAGAGACCAGAGAGACCAGAGAGACCAGAGAGAGACCAGAGAGAGACCAGAGAGAGACCAGAGAGACCAGAGAGACCAGCGAGAGACCCAGACAGACCAGAGAGAGACCAGAGAGAGACCAGAGAGACCAGAGAGAGAGACCAGAGAGACCAGAGAGAGACCAGAGAGACCAGAGAGACCAGAGAGAGACCAGAGAGAGACCAGAGAGAGACCAGAGAGACCAGAGAGACCAGCGAGAGACCAGACAGACCAGAGAGAGACCAGAGAGAGACCAGAGAGACCAGAGAGAGAGACCAGAGAGACCAGAGAGAGACCAGAGAGACCAGAGAGACCAGAGAGACCAGAGAGAGACCAGAGAGAGACCAGAGAGACCAGAGAGAGAGACCAGAGAGACCAGAGAGAGACCAGAGAGACCAGAGAGACCAGAGAGACCAGAGAGAGACCAGAGAGAGACCAGAGAGACCAGAGAGAGAGACCAGAGAGACCAGAGAGAGACCAGAGAGACCAGAGAGAGACCAGAGAGAGACCAGAGAGACCAGAGAGAGAGACCAGAGAGACCAGAGAGAGACCAGAGAGACCAGAGAGACCAGAGAGAGACCAGAGAGAGACCAGAGAGACCAGAGAGAGAGACCAGAGAGACCAGAGAGACCAGAGAGAGAGACCAGAGAGAGACCAGAGAGACCAGAGAGAGACCAGAGAGAGACCAGAGAGACCAGAGAGAGACCAGAGAGAGACCAGAGAGAGACCAGAGAGACCAGAGAGAGAGACCAGAGAGACCAGAGAGAGACCAGAGAGACCAGAGAGAGACCAGAGAGAGACCAGAGAGACCAGAGAGAGAGACCAGAGAGACCAGAGAGAGACCAGAGAGACCAGAGAGACCAGAGAGAGACCAGAGAGAGACCAGAGAGAGACCAGAGAGACCAGAGAGACCAGCGAGAGACCAGACAGACCAGAGAGAGACCAGAGAGAGACCAGAGAGACCAGAGAGAGAGACCAGAGAGACCAGAGAGAGACCAGAGAGACCAGAGAGACCAGAGAGAGACCAGAGAGAGACCAGAGAGAGACCAGAGAGACCAGAGAGACCAGCGAGAGACCAGACAGACCAGAGAGAGACCAGAGAGAGACCAGAGAGACCAGAGAGAGAGACCAGAGAGACCAGAGAGAGACCAGAGAGACCAGAGAGACCAGAGAGAGACCAGAGAGAGACCAGAGAGAGACCAGAGAGACCAGAGAGACCAGAGAGACCAGAGAGAGACCAGAGAGACCAGAGAGACCAGAGAGACCAGCGAGAGACCAGAGAGACCAGAGAGACCAGCGAGAGAACCAGAGAGACCAGAGAGAGACCAGAGAGAGACCAGAGAGAGACCAGAGAGAGACCAGAGAGACCAGAGAGACCAGCGAGAGACCAGAGAGACCAGAGAGACCAGCGAGAGACCAGACAGACCAGAGAGAGACCAGAGAGAGACCAGAGAGAGACCAGAGAGAGAGGACCAGAGAGACCAGCGAGAGACCAGAGAGACCAGAGAGACCAGCGAGAGACCAGAGAGACCAGAGAGACCAGAGAGAGACCAGAGAGACCAGAGAGACCAGAGAGAGACCAGAGAGACCAGAGAGAGACCAGAGAGACCAGAGAGACCAGAGAGACCAGAGAGACCAGAGAGAGACCAGAGAGACCAGAGAGACCAGAGAGAGACCAGAGAGACCAGAGAGAGACCAGAGAGACCAGAGAGAGACTAGAGAGAGAGACCAGAGAGAGACCAGAGAGAGACCAGAGAGAGAGACCAGAGAGAGAGACCAGAGAGAGACCAGAGAGAGAGACCAGAGAGAGACCAGAGAGAGACCAGAGAGAGACCAGAGAGAGAGACCAGAGAGAGAGACCAGAGAGAGAGACCAGAGAGAGACCAGAGAGAGAGACCAGAGAGAGACCAGAGAGAGAGACCAGAGAGAGACCAGAGAGAGACCAGAGAGACCAGAGAGAGACCAGAGACAGACCAGAAGGAGACCACAGAGAGACCAGAGAGACCAGAAAGAGACCGGTGAGACCAGAGAGACCATAGAGAGAGACCAGAGAGAGAGACCAGAGAGAGACCAGAGAGAGAGACCAGAGAGAGACTAGAGAGAGTCACATGTTGGTCACATGACGCTCACACCAGAGAGACCAGAGAGAGACCAGAGAGAGAGACCAGAGAGAGACCAGAGAGAGACCAGAGAGACACCAGAGAGAGAGACCAGAGAGAGACCAGAGAGAGAGACCAGAGAGAGAGACCAGACAGAGACCAGAGAGAGAGACCAGAGAGAGACCAGAGAGAGAGACCAGAGAGAGAGACCAGGGAGAGACCAGTGAGAGACCAGAGAAGGACCATAGAGAGACTACAGAGAGTCACATGTTGGTCACATGACGTCACAAGTTGGTCACATGTTGGTCACATGACTTCAAATGTTGGTCACATGTTGGTTACATGTTGGTCACATGACGTCACATGTTGGTCACATGACATCACATGTTGGTCACATGTCGCTCACATGACGTCACATGTTGGTCACATGTCGGTCACATGATGTCACATGTTGGTCACATGTCGGTCACATGACATCACATGTTGGTCACATGACATCACATGTTGGTCACATGTCGCTCACATGTCAGTCACATGTTGATCACATGTCGGTCACATGTTGATCACATGACTTCACATGTTGGTCACATGTCGGTCACATGTTGGTCACATGACGTCACATGTCGGTCACATGTTGGTCACATGACGTCACATGTCGGTCACATCACGTCACATGTTGGTCACATGACGTCACATGTCTGAAACAAGTCGGTCACATGTTGGTTACATGACGCTCACATGTCGGTCACATGACGTCACATGTTGGTCACATGACTTCTCATGTTGGTCACATGTCGCTCACATGACGCTTAGATGTAGGTCACATGTCGGTCACATGACATCACATGTTGGTCACATGACGTCACATGTTGGTCACATGACGTCACATGTTGGTCACATGTCACTCACATGACGCTTACATGTTGGTCACATGTTGGTCACATGTCGGCCACATGATGTCACCTGTCGGTAATATGTCGGTCACATGACGTCACATGTTGGTCACGTGACGTCACATGTTGGTCACATGTCGCTCTCATGTTGGTCAAATGTTGCTCACATGTTGGTCACATGATGTCACATGTTGGTCACATGTCGCTCACATGACGCTTACATGTTGGTCACATGTTGGTCACATGATGTCACAAGTCGGTCACATGTCGGTCACATGACGCTCTCATGTCGGTCACATCACGTCACATGTTGGTCACATGACGTCACACGTTGGTCACATGACGTCACATGTTGCTCACAAGTCGGTCACATGACGTCACATGTCGGTCACATGACGTCACGTTGGTCATATGCCGTCACATGTCTGTCACATGACGTCACATGTTGCTCACATGTTGGTCACATAACCTCACATGACGCTCACATGTTGGTCACATGACGGAGCACTTGCCCTTCAGTCTGTCTGCACGTGTTTGCTTCCCGCCCCGTTTCCCGTCAATGCTGAGGCTCATGTCTCGCTTCTTCTCGAGCGACAGCAGCTCCTGGAACAGTTCCGTGACGTTGGAGTTGGTTTTGGCCGAAGTTTCCATGAAGGCGCTTTTCCACTGTTTGGCCTGAGCCTCACCCAGACTCCGCTCCACCTCTCGCTGACTCGTCTCATCGCTCTTGTTCCCAACCAACATGATGGGGATGGTCTCCACACTGCCTTTGATGGACACGATCTGACACAGAGTGATATCATCATACCATGGGTCTATGATACCATGGGTCTATAATACCATGGGTCTAGGATACCATGGGTCTATAATACCATGGGTCTATGATACCATGGGTCTATAATACCATGGGTCTAGGATACCATGGGTCTATGATACCATGGGTCTAGGATACCATGGGTCTATGATACCATGGGTCTATGATACCATGGGTCTAGGATACCATGGGTCTATAATACCATGGGTCTATGATACCATGGGTCTAGGATACCATGGGTCTAGGATACCATGGGTCTATGATACCATGGGTCTAGGATACCATGGGTCTATAATACCATGGGTCTATGATACCATGGGTCTAGGATACCATGGGTCTAGGATACCATGGGTCTATAATACCATGGGTCTATGATACCATGGGTCTATAATACCATGGGTCTAGGATACCATGGGTCTATGATACCATGGGTCTAGGATACCATGGGTCTATGATACCATGGGTCTATAATACCATGGGTCTAGGATACCATGGGTCTATGATACCATGGGTCTAGGATACCATGGGTCTATGATACCATGGGTCTATGATACCATGGGTCTAGGATACCATGGGTCTATAATACCATGGGTCTATGATACCATGGGTCTAGGATACCATGGGTCTAGGATACCATGGGTCTATGATACCATGGGTCTATGATACCATGGGTCTAGGATACCATGGGTCTATAATACCATGGGTCTATGATACCATGGGTCTAGGATACCATGGGTCTAGGATACCATGGGTCTATAATACCATGGGTCTATGATACCATGGGTCTATAATACCATGGGTCTAGGATACCATGGGTCTATGATACCATGGGTCTAGGATACCATGGGTCTAGGATACCATGGGTCTATAATACCATGGGTCTATGATACCATGGGTCTATAATACCATGGGTCTAGGATACCATGGGTCTATGATACCATCGGTATATGATACCATGGGTCTAGGATACCATGGGTCTATAATACCATGGGTCTATGATACCATGGGTCTATGATACCATGGGTCTAGGATACCATGGGTCTAGGATACCATGGGTCTATGATACCATGGGTCTATGATACCATGGGTCTAGGATACCATGGGTCTATAATACCATGGGTCTATGATACCATGGGTCTATAATACCATGGGTCTAGGATACCATGGGTCTATGATACCATGGGTCTAGGATACCATGGGTCTATAATACCATGGGTCTATGATACCATGGGTCTATAATACCATGGGTCTAGGATACCATGGGTCTATGATACCATGGGTCTAGGATACCATGGGTCTATGATACCATGGGTCTATGATACCATGGGTCTAGGATACCATGGGTCTATAATACCATGGGTCTATGATACCATGGGTCTAGGATACCATGGGTCTAGGATACCATGGGTCTATGATACCATGGGTCTATGATACCATGGGTCTAGGATACCATGGGTCTATAATACCATGGGTCTATGATACCATGGGTCTAGGATACCATGGGTCTAGGATACCATGGGTCTATAATACCATGGGTCTATGATACCATGGGTCTATAATACCATGGGTCTAGGATACCATGGGTCTATGATACCATGGGTCTAGGATACCATGGGTCTAGGATACCATGGGTCTATAATACCATGGGTCTATGATACCATGGGTCTATAATACCATGGGTCTAGGATACCATGGGTCTATGATACCATGGGTATATGATACCATGGGTCTAGGATACCATGGGTCTATAATACCATGGGTCTATGATACCATGGGTCTATGATACCATGGGTCTAGGATACCATGGGTCTAGGATACCATGGGTCTATGATACCATGGGTCTATGATACCATGGGTCTAGGATACCATGGGTCTATAATACCATGGGTCTATGATACCATGGGTCTATAATACCATGGGTCTAGGATACCATGGGTCTATGATACCATGGGTCTATGATACCATGGGTCTAGGATACCATGGGTCTAGGATACCATGGGTCTATAATACCATGGGTCTATGATACCATGGGTCTATAATACCATGGGTCTATGATACCATGGGTCTATAATACCATGGGTCTATGATACCATGGGTCTAGGATACCATGGGTCTAGGATACCATGGGTCTATGATACCATGGGTCTATGATACCATGGGTCTAGGATACCATGGGTCTAGGATACCATGGGTCTATAATACCATGGGTCTATGATACCATGGGTCTATAATACCATGGGTCTAGGATACCATGGGTCTATGATACCATGGGTCTAGGATACCATGGGTCTATGATACCATGGGTCTATAATACCATGGGTCTATGATACCATGGGTCTAGGATACCATGGGTCTATGATACCATGGGTCTATAATACCATGGGTCTAGGATACCATGGGTCTATGATACCATGGGTCTATGATACCATGGGTCTAGGATACCATGGGTCTAGGATACCCATCCATCCATCCATCTTCTTCCCCTTAATCCATTTCTGGGTAGGGGGGGTGGCAGTCAGAGCTGCACCCAGTCACAGAGCACCAGCCCCTCACTGATCCTCCTGCAGGTGGTGAGTCCACAGGAGCTGAGATCTTTCAGTGGGGGCTTTGGGCAAAGTGGGGTTAAGTGTCTTGCCCAAGGACACAACGACAGCAGTCATCAGTGGGAGTCGTGAAGTAGGTCTTATGGTGGGCTCGAACCCACGACCTTCAGGCCCAAAGGCCAATGCTCTACCAACTGAGCTACTGTCGCCCTGGTCTAGGATACCATGGGTCTATAATACCATGGGTCTATAATACCATGGATCTATGATACCATGGATCTATAATACCATGGATCTATAATACCATGGGTCTATAATACCATGGGTCTATGATAATAAGGTGATATAGTATTAGTTTATATCTGTCCCACCCTTGGGCCCAGGGGCCACTTATGGTCCTGCAGACTAAACTCACGTCACCCAGAAACATGTTAGAACTCAGCTGAGAACCTGACAGAGAACCTACAGAGAACCTGACAGAGAACCTGACAGAGAACCTGATAGAGAACCTACAGAGAACCTACAGAGAACCTGACAGAGAACCTGACAGAGAACCTGATAGAGAACCTACAGAGAACCTACAGAGAACCTGACAGAGAACCTGACAGAGAACCTGATAGAGAACCTACAGAGAACCTATATTTTTCATAAAGGAGGATTCTGTGGGTGTGTCTCTTATGAATCCACTTTAGTGAAACAATCTCAGCTCTGATTGGTCAGAACGCTGCCCTCTGATTGGTCAGAACGCTGCCCTCTGATTGGTCAGAACGCTGATCATCTTGGATCACCAGGGCTTGCGGCAGCCATGTTGCTAAGACAGTTGCTATAGAAGCTGTCCTGTCCTGGTCCTCGTCCTGGTCCTCTCCTGGTCCTCTCCTGGTCCTGGCCCTGGCTCTCTCCTGGTCCTGGCCCTGGTCCTGGTCCTGGTCCGGTACCTGCTGGTAGATGGGCCGCAGCTCCTCCAGGCTCTGTCTGCTGGTGATGGAGTAGACGAGGACGAAGGCGTGGCCTTTGGAGATGGACAAACGCTGCATCGCAGGAAACTGGTGACTCCCCGTAGTGTCTGTGATCTGCAGCGTGCACACGCTCTTATCACAGCTGATCACCTGCACCAGGAGAGAGACACCAGGAGAGACCAGGGAGAGACCAGGGAGAGAGCAGGGAGAGACCAGGGAGAGAGCAGGGAGAGAGACACCAGGAGAGACCAGGGGAGAGAGCAGGGAGAGACCAGGGAGAGAGAGCAGGGAGAGAGAGCAGGGAGAGACCAGGGAGAGAGAGCAGGGAGAGAGAGCAGGGAGAGAGACCAGGGGAGAGACCAGAGAGAGACCAGGGGAGAGACCAGGGGAGAGACCAGGGGAGAGACCAGGGAGAGAGCAGGGAGAGAGAGCAGGGAGAGACCAGGGAGAGAGAGCAGGGAGAGAGAGCAGGGAGAGAGACCAGGGGAGAGACCAGAGAGAGACCAGGGGAGAGACCAGGGGAGAGACCAGGGGAGAGACCAGGGAGAGAGCAGGGAGAGAGAGCAGGGAGAGAGAGCAGGGAGAGAGAGCAGGGAGAGTGACCAGGGGAGAGACCAGAGAGAGACCAGGGGAGAGACCAGGGAGAGACCAGGGGAGAGACCAGGGAGAGAGCAGGGAGAGACCAGGGAGAGAGAGCAGGGAGAGAGAGCAGGGAGAGAGACCAGGGGAAAGACCAGAGAGAGACCAGGGGAGAGACCAGGGGAGAGACCAGGGGAGAGACCAGGGAGAGAGCAGGGAGAGAGAGCAGGGAGAGACCAGGGAGAGAGAGCAGGGAGAGAGAGCAGGGAGAGAGACCAGGGGAGAGACCAGAGAGAGACCAGGGGAGAGACCAGGGGAGAGACCAGGGGAGAGACCAGGGAGAGAGCAGGGAGAGAGAGCAGGGAGAGAGAGCAGGGAGAGAGAGCAGGGAGAGAGAGCAGGGAGAGTGACCAGGGGAGAGACCAGAGAGAGACCAGGGGAGAGACCAGGGAGAGACCAGGGGAGAGACCAGGGAGAGACCAGGGAGAGACCAGGGAGAGACCAGGGAGAAACCAGGGAGAGACCAGGGGAGAGAGCAGAGAAAGATGAGGCAAACATGAGTAACTATTTACTAAGTTTATATAAAAAACAACTAATTGAGGAATACAATGAATAAGAATGACGTTTATCTCAGTAGGCTCAATGACTGGACACATGAATAGTATAATGGTGTGTACATGTATGTACATACGTGTCTATATATATATATATATACACGTGTGTGTGTTATACTATACATGCACATATATAATCTCTTATTTCATTATTATTTTTAGAAGAGAAATATATGTTACTGTTTGTACAATTCTCCCTTGTTTCCAGAGGGTTGTTTTTGTTTTTATGATTATATATAAAGTATGCACACATGTTTCAAAAATCTAACTCCCTGGGTCTACAGCCTCAGTCCTGGGTCTACGGCCTCAGTCCTGGGTCTACGGCCTCAGTCCTGGGTCTACGGCCTCAGTCCTGGGTCTACGGCCTCAGTCCTGGGTCTACGGCCTCAGTCCTGGGTCTACGGCCTCAGTCCTGGGTCTACGGCCTCAGTCCTGGGTCTACGGCCTCAGTCCTGGGTCTACGGCCTCAGTCCTGGGTCTACGGCCTCAGTCCTGGGTCTACGGCCTCAGTCCTGGGTCTACGGCCTCAGTCCTGGGTCTACAGCCTCAGTCCTTGATCTGTTGGAATGTGAACCAGGAAGTGTTCGTTCTACCGTCTGACACCAGAGACCAATATGTGAGGTCAAAGGTCAGTACTACAAGCTTCCTACTACAAGAGTGTGTGATACCTGTCTGTGTCTCTGATGGTACCTGTCTGTGCCTCTGATGGTACCTGTCTGTGTCTCTGATGGTACCTGTCTGTGCCTCTGATGGTACCTGTCTGTGCCTCTGATGGTACCTGTATGTGTCTCTGATGGTACCTGTCTGTGTCTCTGATGGTACCTGTCTGTGCCTCTGATGGTACCTGTCTGTGTCTCTGATGGTACCTGTCTGTGTCTCTGATGGTACTTGTATGTGTCTCTGATGGTACCTGTCTGTGTCTCTGGTGGTTCCTGTATGTCTCTGATGGTACCTTTCTGTGTCTCTGATGGTACCTGTATGTGTCTCTGATGGTACCTGTATGTCTCTCTGGTGGTACCTTTCTGTGTCTCTAATGGTACCTGTCTGTGTCTCTGATCGTACCTGTATGTCTCTGATGGTACCTGTATGTGTCTCTGATGGTGCCTGTCTGTGTCTCTGATGGTACCTGTCTGTGTCTCTGATGGTACCTGATGGTACCTGTATGTGTCTCTGATGGTACCTGTCTGTGTCTCTGATGGTACCTGTCTGTGTCTCTGATGGTACCTGTCCGTGTCTCTGATGGTACCTGTATGTATCTCTGATAGTACCTGTATGTCTCTGATGGTACCTGTATGTGTCATTGATGGTACCTGTCCGTGTCTCTGATGGTACCTGTATGTGTCTCTGATGGTACCTGCATGTCTCTGATGGTACCTCTCCGTGTCTCTGATGGTACCTGTCTGTGTCTCTGATGGTACCTGTCTGTAGGTGTCCTCCACAGTGGGGATGTAGGTGTGTGGTACCATGTGCAGTACCATGTGTACCTGTCTGTACGTGTCCTTCACAGTGGGGATGTAGGTGTGTGGTACCATGTGCAGTACCATGTGTACCTGTCTGTACGTGTCCTCCACAGTGAGGATGTAGGTGTGTGGTACCATGTGCAGTACCATGTGTACCTGTCTGTACGTGTCCTCCACAGTGAGGATGTAGGTGTGTGTTACCATGTGCAGTACCATGTGTACCTGTCTGTATGTGTCCTCCACAGCTGGGATGTAGGTGTGTGGTACAATGTGCAGTACCATGTGCAGTACCATGTGTACCTGTCTGTACGTGTCCTCCACAGTGAGGATGTAGGTGTGTGTTACCATGTGCAGTACCATGTGCAGTACCATGTGTACCTGTCTGTATGTGTCCTCCACAGTGGGGATGTAGGTGTGTGGTACCATGTGCAGTACCATGTGCAGTACCATGAGTACCTGTCTGTATGTGTCCTCCACAGTGGGGATGTAGGTGTGTGGTACCATGTGCAGTACCATGTGCAGTACCATGTGTACCTGTCTGTACGTGTCCTCCACAGTGAGGATGTAGGTGTGTGGTACCATGTGCAGTACCATGTGTACCTGTCTGTACGTGTCCTCCACAGTGGGGATGTAGGTGTGTGGTACCATGTGCAGTACCATGTGTACCTGTCTGTACGTGTCCTCCACAGTGGGGATGTAGGTGTGTGGTACCATGTGCAGTACCATGTGCAGTACCATGTGTACCTGTCTGTACGTGTCCTCCACAGTGGGGATGTAGGTGTGTGGTACCATGTGCAGTACCATGTGCAGTACCATGTGTACCTGTCTGTATGTGTCCTCCACAGTGGGGATGTAGGTGTGTGGTACCATGTGCAGTACCATGTGCAGTACCATGTGTACCTGTCTGTATGTGTCCTCCACAGTGGGGATGTAGGTGTGTGGTACCATGTGCAGTACCATGTGTACCTGTCTGTACGTGTCCTCCACAGTGAGGATGTAGGTGTGTGGTACCATGTGCAGTACCATGTGTACCTGTCTGTACGTGTCCTCCACAGTGAGGATGTAGGTGTGTGTTACCATGTGCAGTACCATGTGTACCTGTCTGTATGTGTTCTCCACAGTGGGGATGTAGGTGTGTGGTACCATGTGCAGTACCATGTGCAGTACCATGAGTACCTGTCTGTATGTGTCCTCCACAGTGGGGATGTAGGTGTGTGGTACCATGTGCAGTACCATGTGCAGTACCATGTGTACCTGTCTGTACGTGTCCTCCACAGTGAGGATGTAGGTGTGTGGTACCATGTGCAGTACCATGTGTACCTGTCTGTACTGTACGTGTCCTCCACAGTGGGGATGTAGGTGTGTGGTACCATGTGCAGTACCATGTGTACCTGTCTGTACGTGTCCTCCACAGTGGGGATGTAGGTGTGTGGTACCATGTGCAGTACCATGTGTACCTGTCTGTACGTGTCCTCCACAGTGGGGATGTAGGTGTGTGGTACCATGTGCAGTACCATGTGCAGTACCATGTGTACCTGTCTGTATGTGTCCTCCACAGTGGGGATGTAGGTGTGTGGTACCATGTGCAGTACCATGTGCAGTACCATGTGTACCTGTCTGTATGTGTCCTCCACAGTGGGGATGTAGGTGTGTGGTACCATGTGCAGTACCATGTGTACCTGTCTGTACGTGTCCTCCACAGTGAGGATGTAGGTGTGTGGTACCATGTGCAGTACCATGTGTACCTGTCTGTACGTGTCCTCCACAGTGAGGATGTAGGTGTGTGTTACCATGTGCAGTACCATGTGTACCTGTCTGTATGTGTTCTCCACAGTGGGGATGTAGGTGTGTGGTACCATGTGCAGTACCATGTGCAGTACCATGTGTACCTGTCTGTACGTGTCCTCCACAGTGAGGATGTAGGTGTGTGTTACCCTGTGCAGTACCATGTGCAGTACCATGTGTACCTGTCTGTACGTGTCCTCCACAGTGGGGATGTAGGTGTGTGTTACCCTGTGCAGTACCATGTGTACCTGTCTGTATGTGTCCTCCACAGTGGGGATGTAGGTGTGTGGTACCATGTGCAGTACCATGTGTACCTGTCTGTACGTGTCCTCCACAGTGAGGATGTAGGTGTGTGTTACCATGTGCAGTACCATGTGTACCTGTCTGTATGTGTCCTCCACAGTGGGGATGTAGGTGTGTGGTACCATGTGCAGTACCATGTGCAGTACCATGAGTACCTGTCTGTATGTGTCCTCCACAGTGGGGATGTAGGTGTGTGGTACCATGTGCAGTACCATGTGCAGTACCATGTGTACCTGTCTGTACGTGTCCTCCACAGTGGGGATGTAGGTGTGTGGTACCATGTGCAGTACCATGTGTACCTGTCTGTACGTGTCCTCCACAGTGGGGATGTAGGTGTGTGGTACCATGTGCAGTACCATGTGTACCTGTCTGTACGTGTCCTCCACAGTGGGGATGTAGGTGTGTGGCAGTACCATGTGCAGTACCATGTGTACCTGTCTGTACGTGTCCTCCACAGTGGGGATGTAGGTGTGTGGTACCATGTGCAGTACCATGTGCAGTACCATGTGTACCTGTCTGTACGTGTCCTCCACAGTGGGGATGTAGGTGTGTGGTACCATGTGCAGTACCATGTGCAGTACCATGTGTACCTGTCTGTACGTGTCCTCCACAGTGGGGATGTAGGTGTGTGGTACCATGTGCAGTACCATGTGTACCTGTCTGTACGTGTCCTCCACAGTGGGGATGTAGGTGTGTGGTACCATGTGCAGTACCATGTGTACCTGTCTGTACGTGTCCTCCACAGTGGGGGATGTAGGTGTGTGGTACCATGTGCAGTACCATGTGTACCTGTCTGTACGTGTCCTCCACAGTGGGGATGTAGGTGTGTGGTACCATGTGCAGTACCATGTGTACCTGTCTGTACGTGTCCTCCACAGTGGGGATGTAGGTGTGTGGTACCATGTGCAGTACCATGTGCAGTACCATGTGTACCTGTCTGTACGTGTCCTCCACAGTGGGGATGTAGGTGTGTGGTACCATGTGCAGTACCATGTGTACCTGTCTGTACGTGTCCTCCACAGTGGGGATGTAGGTGTGTGGTACCATGTGCAGTACCATGTGTACCTGTCTGTACGTGTCCTCCACAGTGGGGATGTAGGTGTGTGGTACCATGTGCAGTACCATGTGTACCTGTCTGTACGTGTCCTCCACAGTGGGGATGTAGGTGTGTGGTACCATGTGCAGTACCATGTGTACCTGTCTGTACGTGTCCTCCACAGTGGGGATGTAGGTGTGTGGTACCATGTGCAGTACCATGTGTACCTGTCTGTACGTGTCCTCCACAGTGGGGATGTAGGTGTGTGGTACCATGTGCAGTACCATGTGTACCTGTCTGTACGTGTCCTCCACAGTGGGGATGTAGGTGTGTGGTACCATGTGCAGTACCATGTGTACCTGTCTGTACGTGTCCTCCACAGTGGGGATGTAGGTGTGTGGTACCATGTGCAGTACCATGTGTACCTGTCTGTACGTGTCCTCCACAGTGGGGATGTAGGTGTGTGGTACCATGTGCAGTACCATGTGTACCTGTCTGTACGTGTCCTCCACAGTGGGGATGTAGGTGTGTGGTACCATGTGCAGTACCATGTGCTACATGTGTACCTGTCTGTACGTGTCCTCCACAGTGGGGATGTAGGTGTGTGGTACCATGTGCAGTACCATGTGTACCTGTCTGTACGTGTCCTCCACAGTGGGGATGTAGGTGTGTGGTACCATGTGCAGTACCATGTGTACCTGTCTGTACGTGTCCTCCACAGTGGGGATGTAGGTGTGTGTGGTACCATGTGCAGTACCATGTGTACCTGTCTGTACGTGTCCTCCACAGTGGGGATGTAGGTGTGTGGTACCATGTGCAGTACCATGTGTACCTGTCTGTACGTGTCCTCCACAGTGGGGATGTAGGTGTGTGGTACCATGTGCAGTACCATGTGTACCTGTCTGTACGTGTCCTCCACAGTGGGGATGTAGGTGTGTGGTACCATGTGCAGTACCATGTGTACCTGTCTGTACGTGTCCTCCACAGTGGGGATGTAGGTGTGTGGTACCATGTTCAGTACCATGTGTACCTGTCTGTACGTGTCCTCCACAGTGGGGATGTAGGTGTGTGGTACCATGTGCAGTACCATGTGTACCTGTCTGTACGTGTCCTCCACAGTGGGGATGTAGGTGTGTGGTTCCATGTGCAGTACCATGTGTACCTGTCTGTACGTGTCCTCCACAGTGGGGATGTAGGTGTGTGGTACCATGTGCAGTACCATGTGTACCTGTCTGTACGTGTCCTCCACAGTGGGGATGTAGGTGTGTGGTACCATGTGCAGTACCATGTGTACCTGTCTGTACGTGTCCTCCACAGTGAGGATGTAGGTGTGTGGTACCATGTTCAGTACCATGTGTACCTGTCTGTACGTGTCCTCCACAGTGGGGATGTAGGTGTGTGGTACCATGTGCAGTACCATGTGTACCTGTCTGTACGTGTCCTCCACAGTGGGGATGTAGGTGTGTGGTACCATGTGCAGTACCATGTGCAGTACCATGTGTACCTGTCTGTACGTGTCCTCCACAGTGGGGATGTAGGTGTCTCTGAATGTTCCTTTGACGAAGCGAAGCACCAGTGAACTCTTCCCGACTCCTCCGGCTCCAAACACCACCACACTGTAGTCATTACTCTGCTCTGGCATTCTGGGAAACGGAGTCCTGAGGAGACAGACAGGGGCTAAAGCAGGACTAGGGTAGGACTAAACCAGGACTATAGCAGGACTAAAGCAGGTCTAAAACAGGTCTAAAGCGGGACTAAACCAGGACTAAAGCAGGACTAAAGCAGGACTAGGGTAGGACTAAACCAGGACTAAAGCAGGACTAAAGCAGGTCTAAAACAGGTCTAAAGCGGGACTAAACCAGGACTAAAGCAGGACTAAAGCAGGACTAGGGTAGGACTAAACCAGGACTAAAGCAGGACTAAAGCAGGTCTAAAACAGGTCTAAAGCGGGACTAAACCAGGACTAAAGCAGGACTAAAGCAGGACTAGGGTAGGACTAAACCAGGACTAGGGTAGGACTAAACCAGGACTAAACCAGGTCTAAAGCAGGTCTAAAGCAGGTCTAAAGCAGGTCTAAAGCAGGACTAAACCAGGACTAAAGCTGGACTAAACCAGGACTAAAGGAGGACTAAAGCAGGACTAAAGCAGGTCTAAAGCAGGTCTAAAGCAGGACTAAAGCAGGACTAAAGCAGGTCTAAAGCAGGACTAAAGCAGGACTAAAGCAGGACTAAAGCAGGTCTAAAGCAGGACTAAAGCAGGTCTAAAGCAGGTCTAAAGCAGGACTAAAGCAGGACTAAAGCAGGACTAAAGCAGGTCTAAAGCAGGTCTAAATCAGAACTAAAGCTGGAGTTGGATCTGGAGTTATTTCTGTCTCTGGTGTTTCCTCGTCCTCCTCCGCACAGGAAGTGATGCAATGTGTGGGAGGCAGTTTCCACGGCGATGTTCCCCATCTCAGTCTCCACGACAACAGCACCACAGCAGCGTGTCCCCCTCATTGTCGGGCAGTCCTGCTTTAGTCCTGCTTTAGTCCTGCTTTAGTCCTGCTTTAGACCTGCTTTAGTCCTGCTTTAGACCTGCTTTAGTCCTGCTTTAGTCCTGCTTTAGACCTGCTTTAGTCCTGCTTTAGACCTGCTTTAGTCCTGCTTTAGACCTGCTTTAGAGCTGCTTTAGTCCTGCTTTAGTCCTGCTTTAGACCTGCTTTAGTCCTGCTTTAGTCCTGCTTTAGACCTGCTTTAGTCCTGCTTTAGTCCTGCTTTAGACCTGCTTTAGTGCTGATTTAGACCTGCTTTAGTCCTGCTTTAGTCCTGCTTTAGTCCTGCTTTAGACCTGCTTTAGACCTGCTTTAAATCTGCTTTAGTCCTGCTTTAGTCCTGCTTTAGACCTGCTTTAGACCTGCTTTAGACCTGCTTTAGTCCTGCTTTAGACCTGCTTTAGTCCTGCTTTAGACCTGCTTTAGAGCTGCTTTAGTCCTGCTTTAAACCTGCTTTAGACCTGCTTTAAACCTGCTTTAGTCCTGCTTTAGACCTGCTTTAGACCTGGTTTAGACCTGCTTTAGTCCTGCTTTAGACCTGCTTTAGACCTGCTTTAGTCCTGGTTTAGTCCCGCTTTAGTCCTGCTTTAGACCTGCTTTAGTCCTGCTTTAGACCTGAGCTGCTTTAGTCCTGCTTTAAACCTGCTTTAGACCTGCTTTAAACCTGCTTTAGTCCTGCTTTAGACCTGCTTTAGACCTGGTTTAGACCTGCTTTAGTCCTGCTTTAGACCTGAGCTGCTTTAGTCCTGCTTTAAACCTGCTTTAGACCTGCTTTAAACCTGCTTTAGTCCTGCTTTAGACCTGCTTTAGACCTGGTTTAGACCTGCTTTAGTCCTGCTTTAGACCTGCTTTAGACCTGCTTTAGACCTGCTTTAAACCTGCTTTAGTCCTGCTTTAGACCTGCTTTAGTCCTGGTTTAGTCCTGGACCCTGAGCTGTGGCTGAATCCTCTTTTCTCTGAGTTTGTCTAATTTTGTTCAGGAGCCGCAGACGTGCATGTTCTGACGGTTTCACGCGTCTTCACAGAGACGTGCGAGTCCGCGTCACGACACCACACGCGCACGTATCTCTCTCACGCACGCGCACCGTTCCTTCTTCGTCCGTGTGCGCGCGCGCTGCTGTGGACCGTCACGAGCACGCGCAAATACCCTTCAAAAGGAAACATGTCTGATCCATGGGAAGGAGCTGAGGTCACATGTGGATAAATAAATATATTATTGTCATTTTTCTGCTCCTGGTTCTTCCTGATGGAGCGGAGGCCCCGGAGGAGAGCAGACCGAGGAGGAGGCACTGCGGGTGGGAGGAGGGATGGGGAAGAGGGGGGAGTGTGGAGGAGGTGGAGCAGGAGCAGCGGGCTTACCGTGTGCGTGTGGCCGGCCTGGGTCTACTCTGGAGCGGCTGCGAGCATCGTGAAGCCCCCGCGGTCTGAGTCAAAGCCTCTCCTGCATCCACGGCTCCATCACGCTCCGCACTGACCGCACTTCCGCCCAGGACCGTCACAATAAGAGCAACCCGGGCTGGAGGCTCACACCCACACAGCAACACACCAGCCTCATGATAAAATAAAGGGCTCTCACTCTGGTCTCACTCTGGTCTCACTCTGGTCTCTCTCTGGTCTATCTGTGGTCTATCTCTGGTCTCTCTCTGGTCTCTCTCTGGTCTCTCTCTGGTCTATCTCTGCTTTCTCTCTGATCTCTCTCTGGTATCTCTCTGGTCTCTCCCTCTGGCCTCTTTCTGGTCTCTCTCTAGCCTCTTTCTGGTCTCCGTCTGGTCTCTCGCTCCCTGGTCTCTTATTGTGAAAGGGTGTCGTCTGCGGCGGAAGTGAGTGTTTGTGGGGTCCTCGCGCTCCAGTCCGTGAGCGTCTCGTCACGTCACAGAAGCGTCACGTCTCAAACTCCTTCAGAAGTCCGAGTGCGCGGACACCTCTCTCCTCCTCCTCCTCTCCTCTCTCTCTCTCCTCCTCCTCCTCTCTCTCTCTCTTTCCTCTCGCTCTCCTCTTCCTCTCTTCTCTCCTCTCTTCTCTCCTCTCTCTCTCCTCTCTCTCTCCTCTTTCTCCTCCTTTCGCACCCCTACTAATGATAATAATAATAATCATGATAATAATCATAAAAATAATCATGAAAATTATCATGATAATAATAATTAAAACATGAATAATAATGGCATTTATAACAGTAATAATAATAACAAGTATGAAGTATAATAAAGCTCACAAGTCCTCTCACAATAGTCCTGGTCTCAGGTCTCTGTCCTGAAGTCCTCTCACATTAGTCCTGGTCTCAGGTCTCTGTCCTGAAGTCCTCTCACAATAGTCCTGGTCTCAGGTCTCTGTCCTGAAGTCCTCTCACATTAGTCCTGGTCTCTGTCCTGAAGTCCTCTCACATTAGTCCTGGTCTCAGGTCTCTGTCCTGAAGTCCTCTTACATTAGTCCAGGTCTCAGGTCTCTGTCCTGAAGTCCTCTCACATTAGTCCTGGTCTCAGGTCTCAGTCCTGAAGTCCTCTCACATTAGTCCTGGTCTCAGGTCTCTGTCCTGAAGTCCTCTCACATTAGTCCTGGTCTCAGGTCTCTGTCCTGAAGTCCTCTCACATTAGTCCTGGTCTCAGGTCTCTGTCCTGAAGTCCTCTCACATTAGTCCTGGTCTCAGGTCTCTGTCCTGAAGTCCTCTCACATTAGTCCTGGTCTCAGGTCTCAGTCCTGAAGTCCTCTCACATTAGTCCTGGTCTCAGGTCTCTGTCCTGAAGTCCTCTCACATTAGTCCTGGTCTCAGGTCTCTGTCCTGAAGTCCTCTCACATTAGTCCTGGTCTCAGGTCTCTGTCCTGAAGTCCTCTCACATTAGTCCTGGTCTCAGGTCTCTGTCCTGAAGTCCTCTCACATTAGTCCTGGTCTCAGGTCTCTGTCCTGAAGTCCTCTCACATTAGTCCTGGTCTCAGGTCTCTGTCCTGAAGTCCTCTCACATTAGTCCTGGTCTCAGGTCTCTGTCCTGAAGTCCTCTCACATTAGTCCTGGTCTCAGGTCTCTGTCCTGAAGTCCTCTCACATTAGTCCTGGTCTCAGGTCTCTGTCCTGAAGTCCTCTCACATTAGTCCTGGTCTCAGGTCTCTGTCCTGAGGTCTGTGTCTGTGCATGTTCACAGGGATCAGACCTTTTGGCGGCTCAGGTGAATGCCCCCCCCCCCCCCCCCTCCCTCCCTCCTGACCCAGTATCGCAGTGCGCGTGCGTGTTTTGACGTGTGTGCGCCCCTCCCATCCTCTTCCAGCTCCGTCTCCTCAGCAGCAGCTCTGTCCTCTGCGCCCTGAGAGATGTGAGGTAAGCACCTTTATTATGATACATGTCTGCGTCTGTATGTGCTCTGGTCTGGTCTGGCCTGGTCTGGCCTGATCTGCTCTGCTTTGGTCTGGTCTGGGTCCATCATCTCGGTCTGGTCTGACGCGGCTCTTTGACGCATCCGCTTAATCTGCGTCCGTTGCGCACTTCCAGACCGCAAGGACTCCGCACGGACCCCGCAGACACCGCTCTCTCCGCTCCTCCTGACTCCTGGAGCTTTCTTTCTTGCGGTGATCCGCGGGTGCTGCGGGCTGCGGGCTGCGGAGGATGGAGGCTGCGGGGAGTGGGGGAAGGGCGCAGTCAGAAGTGCGCATCCTGGAGGTGAGCGGCACAAAGCGCGGCCCTAAGTGCGTGCGCTCACCCGGAGGAGAGGCGCCATTCAGGGCTAAACACTGGGAATGGGCCGCTATTGTCCTGCATCCTCCCGTGCTGTCCCGTGCTGTCCCGTGCTGTCCCGTGCTGTCCCGGGCTGTGATGGACGCATGCACGTGAGGCCTGTGTCACAGGGGCCTCACAGAAGAGAGAGCATAATATTATTATTATTATTATATTATTAATATAATAATAATACAGACGCTCGGGGTCTCTTTGGTATTCTCTCTCTCCAAACACTGTGGTAATAAACTGTAGCCACAGCTGCCCTGGGGCACACTGACAGAAGCCCCTCCCACCACCACCAACCACTCACACACACACCAGACTCATTCTAATGTGGGGGAAGTGTCTTGCCTAAGGATGGTCCATGGTATTGCACATAACTGTAGTACTGATCACAGGGTCAGCAGTCCAGGACTAAACCAGGACTGGACCAGGTTTAAACCACGACTGGACCAGGATTGGACCAGGGCTGGACCAGTAACTAACTTATATAACTGTATGTGATCAGGTCCTGATCCTGGACCAGAGTTAATATGTCCCTGATGATGTAAGATGGACTAAATCAGGACTGGACTAGGACCGGGTCATGTGATGTGTGTAAACCTGCACCAGACTGGTCAGACTCGTGGTCTCTGGGTTTATGAGATGTTTGTCCCACAAACATTTTAAGGTTGCGACAAGTCCTAGTTCAGACATAGTTCCGTCCTGCTTTAGTCCTGTTTTAGACCTGCTTTAGTCCTGCTTTAGACCTGCTTTAGACCTGCCTTAGACCTGCTTTAGATCTGCCTTGGACCTGCTTTAGACCTGATTTAGTCCTGCTTTAGTCCTGCTTTAGACCTGCCTTAGACCTGCTTTAGATCTGCCTTGGACCTGCTTTAGACCTGATTTAGTCCTGCTTTAGTCCTGCTTTAGACCTGCTTTAGTCTTGCATTAGTCCTGCTTTAGACCTGCTTTAGTCCTGCTTTAGACCTGCTTTAGACCTGCTTTAGACCTGCTTTAGTCCTGCTTTAGTCCTGCTTTAGACCTGGCCTTTTAGTCCTGCTTTAGACCTGCTTTAGACCTGCTTTAGACCTGCTTTAGACCTGATTTAGTCCTGCCTTTAGACCTGCTTTAGACCTGCTTTAGACCTGCTTTAGACCTGCTTTAGACCTGCTTTAGACCTGCTTTAGACCTGCTTTAGACCTGCTTTAGACCTGCTTTAGACCTGATTTAGTCCTGCTTTAGACCTGCCTTAGACCTGCTTTAGACCTGCTTTAGACCTGCTTTAGTCCTGCTTTAGACCTGCCTTAGACCTGCTTTAGACCTGATTTAGTCCTGCTTTAGACCTGCTTTAGTCCTGCTTTAGACCTGCTTTAGACCTGCTTTAGTCCTGCTTTAGACCTGCTTTAGTCCTGCTTTAGACCTGCTTTAGACCTGCTTTAGTCCTGCTTTAGACCTGCTTTAGTCCTGCTTTAGTCCTGCTTTAGACCTGCTTTAGACCTGCTTTAGACCTGCTTTAGACCTGCTTTAGTCCTGCTTTAGACCTGCCTTAGACCTGCTTTAGACCTGATTTAGTCCTGCTTTAGACTTGCTTTAGACCTGCTTTAGTCCTGCTTTAGACCTGCTTTAGTCCTGCTTTAGTCCTGCTTTAGACCTGCTTTAGTCCTGCTTTAGACCTGCTTTAGTCCTGCTTTAGTCCTGCTTTAGACCTGCTTTAGACCTGCTTTAGACCTGCTTTAGACCTGCTTTAGTCCTGCTTTAGACCTGCCTTAGACCTGCTTTAGACCTGATTTAGTCCTGCTTTAGACTTGCTTTAGTCCTGCTTTAGTCCTGGTTTAGACCTGCTTTAGTCCTGCTTTAGTCCTGCTTTAGTCCCGCTTTAGACCTGGTTTAGACCTGGTTTTAGGCCTGGTTTAGACTTGGTTCTTTAGTTTATATGTAAACAAAGAGCCTCTCCCTGAAGCCCCTCCCCCTCCTGTTACACTTCCCATCATGCATCTCTCTCTCATCCTGTTTCCCCGGAGACAGACTCTCCTCATTACCACGGCAACCACTTTCTGCAGCATCAGAGGAATGGACAAGATGGCCGACCACCAGGACTGAACCAGGTCTAAATCAGGACTAAACCAGGTCTAAATCGAGACTAAACCAGGTCTAAACCAGGTCTAAACCTGGACTGAACCAGGACTGAACCAGGAAGGAAAGCAGTTTCTGTGATTCTGCATTGACGCTTGTTTCATCTCTAGTCTCCATGACGATCTCTCATCTTCAGAGAGCTGAATCTGATTGATGCTTCCCACAATGCACTGCTGCGACACAAAAGCCGTCTCCAACTGTGACACAATGTCTGTTAGCATTAACATCAGTCTACAGTCTGTGTTAGCATTAGCATCTGTATACAGTCTGTGTTAGCATTAGCATCTGTATACAGTCTGTGTTAGCATTAGCATCTGTATACAGTCTGTGTTAGCATTAGCATCTGTATACAGTCTGTGTTAGCATTAGCATCTGTATACAGTCTGTGTTAGCATTAGCATCTGTATACAGTCTGTGTTAGCATTAGCATCTGTATACAGTCTGTGTTAGCATTAGCATCTGTATACAGTCTGTGTTAGCATTAGCATCTGTATACAGTCTGTGTTAGCATTAGCATCTGTATACAGTCTGTGTTAGCATTAGCATCTGTATACAGTCTGTGTTAGCATTAGCATCTGTATACAGTCTCTGTGTTAGCATTAGCATCTGTATACAGTCTGTGTTAGCATTAGCATCTGTATACAGTCTGTGTTAGCATTAGCATCTGTATACAGTCTGTGTTAGCATTAGCATCTGTATACAGTCTGTGTTAGCATTAGCATCTGTATACAGTCTGTGTTAGCATTAGCATCTGTATACAGTCTGTGTTAGCATTAGCATCAGTCTGTGTTGCATTAGCATCTGTACAGTCTGTGTTAGCATTAGCATCTGTATACAGTCTGTGTTAGCATTAGCATCTGTATACAGTCTGTGTTAGCATTAGCATCTGTATACAGTCTGTGTTAGCATTAGCATCTGTATACAGTCTGTGTTAGCATTAGCATCTGTATACAGTCTGTGTTAGCATTAGCATCTGTATACAGTCTGTGTTAGCATTAGCATCTGTATACAGTCTGTGTTAGCATTAGCATCTGTATACAGTCTGTGTGCTAGCATCTGTATACAGTCTGTGTTAGCATTAGCATCTGTATACAGTCGTGTTAGCATTAGCATCTGTATACAGTCTGTGTTAGCATTAGCATCTGTTACAGTCTGTGTTAGCATTAGCATCTGTATACAGTCTGTGTTAGCATTAGCATCTGTATACAGTCTGTGTTAGCATTAGCATCTGTATACAGTCTGTGTTAGCATTAGCATCTGTATACAGTCTGTGTTAGCATTAGCATCTGTATACAGTCTGTGTTAGCATTAGCATCTGTATACAGTCTGTGTTAGCATTAGCATCTGTATACAGTCTGTGTTAGCATTAGCATCTGTATACAGTCTGTGTTAGCATTAGCATCTGTATACAGTCTGTGTTAGCATTAGCATCTGTATACAGTCTGTGTTAGCATTAGCATCTGTATACAGTCTGTGTTAGCATTAGCATCTGTATACAGTCTGTGTTAGCATTAGCATCTGTATACAGTCTGTGTTAGCATTAGCATCTGTATACAGTCTGTGTTAGCATTAGCATCTGTATACAGTCTGTGTTAGCATTAGCATCTGTATACAGTCTGTGTTAGCATTAGCATCTGTATACAGTCTGTGTTAGCATTAGCATCTGTATACAGTCTGTGTTAGCATTAGCATCTGTATACAGTCTGTGTTAGCATTAGCATCTGTATACAGTCTGTGTTAGCATTAGCATCTGTATACAGTCTGTGTTAGCATTAGCATCTGTATACAGTCTGTGTTAGCATTAGCATCTGTATACAGTCTGTGTTAGCAGCATCTGTATACAGTCTGTGTTAGCATTAGCATCTGTATACAGTCTGTGTTAGCATTAGCATCTGTATACAGTCTGTGTTAGCATTAGCATCTGTATACAGTCTGTGTTAGCATTAGCATCTGTATACAGTCTGTGTTAGCATTAGCATCTGTATACAGTCTGTGTTAGCATTAGCATCTGTATACAGTCTGTGTTAGCATTAGCATCTGTATACAGTCTGTGTTAGCATTAGCATCTGTATACAGTCTGTGTTAGCATTAGCATCTGTATACAGTCTGTGTTAGCATTAGCATCTGTATACAGTCTGTGTTAGCATTAGCATCTGTATACAGTCTGTGTTAGCATTGACAAAGTATCTGGGTGTCTCGATAGTTGGACAATGATTGTGTGTCCTGCAGGTGGCGCTGGAGACACCAGTAACGATGGCGGACGCAGTGGCTTCGTACGACCAGCTGGCGCACCAGGTGGAGGCGCTACGGCAGGAGAACTCCCACCTGCGGAGGGAGCTCAAGGACAACTGCCACCACCTGAGCCAGCTGGAGACCGAGACCTTTGGCATGAAAGTAAGTGACTCAGGCAGCTCGCTCTGGTCTCTCTCTGGTCTCTCTCTGGTCTCTCTCTCTGGTCTCTCTCTCTGGTCTCTCTTCTGGTCTCTCTCTGGTCTCTCTCTGGTCTCTCTCTGGTCTCTCTCTGGTCTCTCTCTGGTCTCTCTCTGGTCTCTCTCTGGTCTCTCTCTGGTCTCTCTCTCTGGTCTCTCTCTCTGGTCTCTCTCTGGTCTCTCTCTGGTCTCTCTCTCTGGTCTCTCTCTGGTCTCTCTCTGGTCTCTCTCTGGTCTCTCTCTGGTCTCTCTCTGGTCTCTCTCTCTCTGGTCTCTCTCGGTCTCTCTCTCTCTGGCGTCTCTCTCTCTGGTCTCTCTCTCTGGTCTCTCTCTGGTCTCTCTCTCTGGTCTCTCTCTCTGGTCTCTCCTCTGGTCTCTCTCTGGTCTCTCTCTGGTCTCTCTCTCTGGTCTCTCTCTCTGGTCCTCTCTCTCTGGTCTCTCTCTCTGGTCTCTCTCTCTGGTCTCTCTCTCTTGGTCTCTCTCTCTGGTCTCTCTCTCTGGTCTCTCTCTCTGGTCTCTCTCTCTGGTCTCTCTCTGGTCTCTCTCTGGTCTCTCTCTCTCTGGTCTCTCTCTCCTCTGGTCTCTCTCTGGTCTCTCTCTCTCTCTGGTCTCTCTCTCTGGTCTCTCTCTCTGGTCTCTCTCTGTCTCTCTCTCTGGTCTCTCTCTCTGGTCTCTCTCTGGCTCTCTCTGTCTCTCTCTGGTCTCTCTCTCTGGTCTCTCTCTGGTCTCTCTCTCTGGTCTCTCTCTGGTCTCTCTCTCTGGTCTCTCTCTCTGGTCTCTCTCTGGTCTCTCTCTCTGGTCTCTCTCTGGGTTATTACAGTTTCAGTTAAAAAAAAAAGATCCACAGCAAATAAATGGTGCCTCTGAACTGTAAGAGGCTGAAAATAGGTCAAAGACACACACACACACACACACACACACACACACACACACACACACACACACACACACACACACACACGCAGACACACACACACACACGCAGACACACACACACACACACAGACACACACACAGACACACACACACACACACACACACACACAGACACACACACACACACACACACACACACACACACGCAGACACACACACACACACGCAGACACACACACACACACACAGACACACACATACACGTTTTTGTTACCTGGTGGGTCCCTTTGACAGGGCCGTTCAGAATGGGACCCATAGACATAATCTTTTTTTACTGGGACTACTTTAAGTAATACAAAACAGTCAATAGAAACCAAACAACTATTTTAAAGGAATTTTATTTTAGATTTTGTTTTCGAATTGCAGTGATTCTATTTTTGACATAGAATTTAATGCCACTCCATGTCCGATGTCTAAGGTCATCTGGTGAGGCATTAATGCAGGCCAGGCCAGGCCAGGCCAGGCAGTGAGACTTCCCAGGGACCTTTCCAGTCTGTATGAAAGGTGTCATGGTCTTCTCCACAGCCTTCACCTCAGATGCAGACCATGGCTTTCTCTAACGTTCTAGGGAGAGAAATAAAAATATATTAGCAATATACACTCCCAGGGTTAGGACCAAGCAGCCTGGCTGTAATCCCCCACCTGGTACACTTACCAGAAGGGGCACTGCCACTACCATGGGGTGCATCTGGATGAATGGTTGAAGGTTCTCCGCTTGAAGTTTCTTTTAGCCCGTCCGTTTGTGAGAGGATCTCTACTGCTCTCCCTGTCGCACAGAAAATAAAAATACAAGTGGCCTTTAGGGGAAAAAAATCATACATATTTTAATAATATCAAGAATTACCTTCAGGCTCAATTTGTATCTGGTCGAGGCTCTTTCCTTCGAATTCCGTCACTCTTCCCTGCTCCATGGCCATCAACACTTTGCTGATTTTGGCCAGCTCCAGTGTCCCCTCTGGTAGTCTGTAATATTGCCTGTGGATGCGAATGTCATGGCCGAGGAAGTTGGCAAGTATGTCCATCTCATTCTCTTTCATATTGAGAACTGTAGACATAGTAGCTATGTGCTTTCTAAGTTTGGTTGAGGATAGCATCTCTGGATGCACCGCACCACATTCTTTGGCTACCTGGCGTAGGGAGTCTGATCCCCTGATGTGGGTGTCTGCGCCCGGGCGGGAAAAGAAGTATGGGTTATGGTCAGAGATGGAACAGGCCCTTCTGTTCTCCACCAGCACCTCCATCGAAGCAATCATTTCAGGAGTCAAAAGAACCGGCACTTTCCGACTTCTTTTCCCTTTAATTTCAATGCGTTGAAAATGCTGACACAGCTTTTTCTCAAGTTGGGACAGTCCCAGAGCAATGTCAGAATGGATCCCAGTCTTACTTCTTAAGGTAAAGGCTGTCAGTGGCATCTTTGAAACCTCACCTTCCCTTCTTCGATTGAAAATGATGACCTCACAAAGAGTCAAAACTGCCAGTTTAGACCAATGCTTAGACGTTGGCTCACTTATTAGGGTTTGCACATATTCAGGTCGACATACCTCAATATGTGCATGCATGGCTCTAACGTCCTCAGTCAGAGGGAGCAGGTCCGGAGTGTTCCACTTGGCTTGCCGGAGGGTCTGTAGGGCAGCAGAAGAAACACAGACGTCCCACCTCTTCTCAAAAAGCAGCCGGCTTCGTTGGAGGTTTTTAATAAATAGTTCATCAACACAATGCTCCATTTTTGAGTCACATTCAAGAATATCTGCTAGCTTTCTGAGGCTATGGCCGAGTTTGAGGGCCAAGGATGGAGTCTTGTATTGATTTGTTTCCTCATCATATCCAGCCACAGACCTGACTGCATCAATCACATGGTTAAAGTTGGAAGGAATAAAGAAATCCTTCATTGTTTTCAGTTTCCCTGCGGTTTTTGCTTCGTTAATTAACCTACCGACTTCTCTCATTTTCTCCTAATGTAATCATGCTTAGTCTTATCATGCCCGTGTTTTAAGTACAGGTGCTCTCCGAGTCTCAGAATCCCCTTTTCTGCTTTGACAACACCCGTGACCTCATCCTGATGCATTGCCCAAATTAAAGACCACAGCTTTTTGCTGATGCCCTCCGGTACAGGCTGGGCTAGGGAGCAGAGGGACTGGACCCTACTTCTACCTGGTTTAGCCTGGTTTAGCCTGGTTTAGCCTGGGCATCTTTCTGTGAAAGCCGGCACCTGGCCACATGCCTCCACAGCGACTTTCGCTTAAGCAATGCCCCACAGTCTATACAGTGCAAAAACTCACTGGATTTAACTGGGCAATTTGGCTGTTTAGCTGGGACTAAAGTTCCAATGCCGGCCTTTAAAACCTCAAAATTGTGCTCACGGTTTCCACTATTCCTGATCAAATCAAAGTGAAGTTTACGTGCTTTAGATTTCACAGGTAGAGCCAATGCTCTGGCTACGTCACTTTCATTTCCATGTTTTCTAGTCAAATGACGGGACATTTTGTGGCAGGACATTGAACAGTAGAGGCAGAAGTGTCTCTTGCTGTATACTCGCCCCCCATTTTTCTTCTTTTGCAGCTGCATGATAACAATCTTATTTGCCTTTGGTTCGTCACTTTCCGAGTCTTGAAGAAAAGGGTTTTTGATTTTTCTTTTTCCATACTTTTTTACAGGTTTCTTCTTGACAGTTAAATCGTCAGAATCTGAGTCGACTTCATCAATTAGGGACTCTTGACTAAGCTGCACAAACAACAAATAATTTGTAATCATTCTATATAACAATTTGAAGTCATGACTTGTAGTCAGCACTTACCAGTGGTTTGTAAGCGTGCGCTTCAGTGTGCTGTTCCGTGATTGGCTGCAGCCTCTGTTGTGCTGCTCTGTGATTGGCTCCAGCCTCTGTTGTGCTGCTCCATGATTGGCTCCAGCCTCTGTTGTGCTGCTCCATGATTGGCTCCAGCCTCTGTTGTGCTGCTCCATGGTTGGCTCCAGCCTCTGTTGTGCTGCTCCATGATTGGCTCCAGCCTCTGTTGTGCTGCTCCATGATTGGCTCCAGCCTGCTGGACTGAAATTGCCCCAGTGTGCCCCTCCTTGATATTCCGCAACCCACCACCAGGGTTCCGACACATAACACACTTTTTTCAGGAAAGTAAACCTCCAGGGGTCCTTTCCATATTTTTACAGAGACTGCATAAGGACCGTTAGAAAAGCATTACCCATTGATTATTAAGCTTGGACCAGTGGGGTCCGGTGTTCGGGCCCCACCACGTAAAACCAGTCCCCATGACGTGAGTGGAATCTCAGGTTATGGAACCCACCAGGAGTTGAAAACAAGTGCACACGCACACATACACACACACACATACACACACACACGCACACACACACACAGACACACACACACCACACACACACATACACACAGATACACACACACACACACATACACACACACACAGACACAGACACACACACTCAGATTTCACTAAGGAGCTTGTGATGGTTCAGAGATGTTCTTTTGGATTAAAAATTGTGTTTTTTTAATCTACACACAGCCCAGTGTGGGCGGGTCCCGGCTCAAAAGTGTCCAAAATGACGTGCGCTGACATGCTGCAGTACCACCCCGGGCCTGTGGGGGTGGACCCAGAAGTAGAATTAGCCAATGCTAACATATAGCATTGACAGACCTCTCAAAAACGTCTTTACAAGATGGTCCAAAGTTGGCTCTTGGCCCAAAGCTCCGTTCCACATGTGTGTCAATGCTGAGTGTTCTGGACCAGTCTAGTTTAGTCGCTGTGGACTTTAGAAGTCTCTCGTTTAAATGAATGGAGCTCTCGCAGCTGACGCATGCGCAGATGTGTTTTTTCACAATTTTCCAGGGTCGGCACTAGATCATAAACGGAATCGGGACGAAACCAGAAGTAACACTCCTACTTTCAAATTAGTTTTAGACAAATTAGTCCTTAAGGTGGTCTGAGTAAGATGGTTAAGGTTAGGGTTAAGGTGGTCTGAGTAAGATGGTTAAGGTTAAGGTTAAGGTGGTCTGAGTAAGATGGTTAAGGTTAGGGTTAAGGTGGTCTGAGTAAGATGGTTAAGGTTAGGGTTAAGGTGGTCTGAGTGAGATGGTTAAGGTTAGGGTTAAGGTGGTCTGAGTAAGATGGTTAAGGTTAGGGTTAAGGTGGTCTGAGTAAGATGGTTAAGGTTAGGGTTAAGGTGGTCTGAGTAAGATGGTTAAGGTTAGGGTTAAGGTGGTCTGAGTAAGATGGTTAAGGTTAGGGTTAAGGTGGTCTGAGTAAGATGGTTAAGGTTAGGGTTAAGGTGGTCTGAGTAAGATGGTTAAGGTTAGGGTTAAGGTGGTCTGAGTAAGATGGTTAAGGTTAGGGTTAAGGTGGTCTGAGTAAGATGGTTAAGGTTAGGGTTAAGGTGGTCTGAGTAAGATGGTTAAGGTTAGGGTTAAGGTGGTCTGAGAAAGATGGTTAAGGTTAGGGTTAAGGTGGTCTGAGTAAGATGGTTAAGGTTAGGGTTAAGGGGGTCTGAGTAAGATGGTTAAGGTTAGGGTTAAGGTGGTCTGAGTAAGATGGTTAAGGTTAGGGTTAAGGTGGTCTGAGTAAGATGGTTAAGGTTAGGGTTAAGGTGGTCTGAGAAAGATGGTTAAGGTTAGGGTTAAGGCGGTCTGAGTAAGATGGTTAAGGTTAGGGTTAAGGTGGTCTGAGTAAGATGGTTAAGGTTAGGGTTAAGGTGGTCTGAGTAAGATGGTTAAGGTTAGGGTTAAGGTGGTCTGAGTAAGATGGTTAAGGTTAGGGTTAAGGTGGTCTGAGTAAGATGGTTAAGGTTAGGGTTAAGGTGGTCTGAGTAAGATGGTTAAGGTTAGGGTTAAGGTGGGTCTGAGTAAGATGGTTAAGGTTAGGGTTAAGGTGGGTCTGAGTAAGATGGTTAAGGTTAGGGTTAAGGTGGTCTGAGTAAGATGGTTAAGGTTAGGGTTAAGGTGGTCTGAGTAAGATGGTTAAGGTTAGGGTTAAGGTGGTCTGAGTAAGATGGTTAAGGTTAGGGTTAAGGTGGTCTGAGTAAGATGGTTAAGGTTAGGGTTAAGGTGGTCTGAGTAAGATGGTTAAGGTTAGGGTTAAGGTGGGTCTGAGTAAGATGGTTAAGGTTAGGGTTAAGGTGGTCTGAGTAAGATGTTAAGGTTAGGGTTAAGGTGGTCTGAGTAAGATGGTTAAGGTTAGGGTTAAGGTGGTCTGAGTAAGATGGTTAAGGTTAGGGTTAAGGTGGTCTGAGTAAGATAGTTAAGGTTAGGGTTAAGGTGGTCTGAGTAAGATGGTTAAGGTTAGGGTTAAGGTGGGTCTGAGTAAGATGGTTAAGGTTAGGATTAAGGTGGTCTGAGTAAGATAGTTAAGGTTAGGGTTAAGGTGGTCTGAGTAAGATGGTTAAGGTTAGGGTTAAGGTGGTCTGAGTGAGATGGTTAAGGTTAGGGTTAAGGTGGGTCTGAGTAAGATGGTTAAGGTTAGGGTTAAGGTGGTCTGAGTAAGATGGTTAAGGTTAGGGTTAAGGTGGGTCTGAGTAAGATGGTTAAGGTTAGGGTTAAGGTGGTCTGAGTAAGATGGTTAAGGTTAGGGTTAAGGTGGGTCTGAGTAAGATGGTTAAGGTTAGGGTTAAGGTGGTCTGAGTAAGATGGTTAAGGTTAGGGTTAAGGTGGGTCTGAGTAAGATGGTTAAGGTTAGGGTTAAGGTGGTCTGAGTAAGATGGTTAAGGTTAGGGTTAAGGTGGTCTGAGTAAGATGGTTAAGGTTAGGGTTAAGGTGGGTCTGAGTAAGATGGTTAAGGTTAGGGTTAAGGTGGGTCTGAGTAAGATGGTTAAGGTTAGGGTTAAGGTGGGTCTGAGTAAGATGGTTAAGGTTAGGGTTAAGGTGGTCTGAGTAAGATGGTTAAGGTTAGGGTTAAGGTGGTCTGAGTAAGATGGTTAAGGTTAGGGTTAAGGTGGTCTGAGTAAGAAGGTTAAGGTTAGGGTTAAGGTGGTCTGAGTAAGATGGTTAAGGTTAGGGTTAAGGTGGTCTGAGTAAGATAGTTAAGGTTAGGGTTAAGGTGGGTCTGAGTAAGATGGTTAAGGTTAGGGTTAAGGTGGGTCTGAGTAAGATGTTAAGGTTAGGGTTAAGGTGGGTCTGAGTAAGATGGTTAAGGTTAGGGTTAAGGTGGTCTGAGTAAGATGGTTAAGGTTAGGGTTAAGGTGGTCTGAGTAAGATGGTTAAGGTTAGGGTTAAAGTGGTCTGAGTAAGATGGTTAAGGTTAAGGTTAAGGTGGTCTGAGTAAGATGGTTAAGGTTAGGGTTAAGGTGGTCTGAGTAAGATGGTTAAGGTTAGGGTTAAGGTGGTCTGAGTAAGATGGTTAAGGTTAGGGTTAAGGTGGTCTGAGTAAGATGGTTAAGGTTAGGGTTAAGGTGGTCTGAGTAAGATGGTTAAGGTTAGGGTTAAGGTGGTCTGAGTAAGATGGTTAAGGTTAGGTGTTAAGGGTGGTCTGAGTAAGATGGTTAAGGTTAGGGTTAAGGTGGTCTGAGTAAGATGGTTAAGGTTAGGGTTAAGGTGGTCTGAGTAAGATGGTTAAGGTTAGGGTTAAGGTGGTCTGAGTAAGATGGTTAAGGTTAGGGTTAAGGTGGTCTGAGTAAGATGGTTAAGGTTAGGGTTAAGGTGGTCTGAGTAAGATGGTTAAGGTTAGGGTTAAGGTGGTCTGAGTAAGATGGTTAAGGTTAGGGTTAAGGTGGTCTGAGTAAGATGGTTAAGGTTAGGGTTAAGGTGGTCTGAGTAAGATGGTTAAGGTTAGGGTTAAGGTGGTCTGAGTAAGATAGTTAAGGTTAGGGTTAAGGTGGTCTGAGTAAGATGGTTAAGGTTAGGGTTAAGGTGGTCTGAGTAAGATGGTTAAGGTTAGGGTTAAGGTGGTCTGAGTGAGATGGTTAAGGTTAGGGTTAAGGTGGTCTGAGTAAGATGGTTAAGGTTAGGGTTAAGGTGGTCTGAGTAAGATGGTTAAGGTTAGGGTTAAGGGTTGGGGTTATTTTATGGGAATGGCTGGTTAAGTTTAGGCATGAACAGGTAGTTTGTTAAATTTACTTACGATTCCGTATATGATCTAGTGCTGACCCATTTTCCAGCCCCCGCGGCCATTTTGAATCACTCCATGAAAGCCCAATTTTTGGCCCATTAGTTAGAACGGCAGAGATAGGCGTGACTACGTCCGTTAATATATACAGTCTATGACACACACACACACACACACTCAAACACACACAAACACACTCACACACAAACACACACTGATGCTTTGGGCCAAAAGAAAATTCAAAATAAACAGTGTTTGAAGTGAGTGTGTATCTGTATGTGTATCTCTGTCTGTATGTGTATCTCTGTCTGTGTGTGTATCTCTGTCTGTGTGTGTATCTCTGTTTGTGTGTGTCTGTATGTGTATCTCTGTCTGTGTGTGTCTGTGTGTGTATCTCTGTCTGTGTGTGTATCTCTGTCTGTGTGTGTCTGTGTGTGTATCTCTGTCTGTGTGTGTATCTCTGTCTGTGTGTGTCTGTGTGTGTATCTCTGTCTGTGTGTGTATCTCTGTCTGTGTGTGTCTGTGTGTGTATCTCTGTCTGTGTGTGTCTGTGTGTGTATCTCTGTCTGTGTGTGTCTGTGTGTGTCTCTGTCTGTGTGTGTCTGTGTGTGTATCTCTGTTTGTGTGTGTCTGTATGTGTATCTCTGTCTGTGTGTGTCTGTGTGTGTATCTCTGTCTATGTGTGTCTGTGTGTGTGTCTCTGTCTATGTGTGTCTGTGTGTGTCTCTGTCTATGTGTGTGTTGTTGTGCATTGTGTGGTGCTGACTGCAGTTCTCTGTGTGTCCTGCAGGAGGTGCTGAAGCAGCTGCAGCACAAACTGGAGCAAGAGGCTGTGACTTTAGCTTCATCTGGAAGAAGTGACGTCCTCCACCAGCTCAAAGGTGACACACACAGACACACAGACACACACACACACACACACACACACACAGACACACACGCGCACACACATACACACACAGACACACACACAGACACACACTCACACACACACACACACACACACACACACACAGACACACACACAGACACACACGCGCACACACACACACACACACACACAGATACAGTATGTTATGCTATGCTAAGTGCACATGTTGTGTTTCCCTCAGAGCTGCACATGGACCTCACAAACTACTATGAGCTCAAACACCAGCCGCACAACCTGCGAGCGATGGGGGCGGAGTTTGGAGGCCAGGGGGCGGGGTATGGAGGAAAAGGGGTTGGGCTCGAGCTGGCTCTGCCCCCCTCCTCCTCTCTGTCGTCACGGAAACCCCCCGACGATGACCTCATGCTGGCGCACCACTTCCTGGATGGAGCTCCGCCCAAAATCGCAGTGATGGGCGGAGCCGACGGACGAGCGAGCGAGAGGCTGGACGAGCTCTACAAGGAGAGGTACAACCATCAAGGAGAGAGAGCACACACAACCAGCAAGGAGAGAGAGAGCACACACAACCATCAAGGAGAGAGAGCACACACAACCAGAAAAAAGAGAGAGAGAGAGAGAGCACACACAACCAGCAAGGAGAGAGAGAGCACACACAACCATCAAGGAGAGAGAGCACACACAACCAGCAAAGAGAGAGAGAGAGAGAGAGCACACACAACCATCAAGGAGAGAGAGCACACACCACCATCAAGGAGAGAGAGCACACACAACCAGCAAGGAGAGAGAGCACACACAACCAGCAAGGAGAGAGAGAGCACACACAACCATCAAGGATAGAGAGAGCACACACAACCAGCAAGGAGAGAGAGAGAGCACACACAACCATCAAGGAGAGAGAGAGAGCACACACAACCATCAAGGAGTGAGAGCACACACAACCATCAAGGATAGAGAGAGCACACACAACCAGCAAAGAGAGAGAGAGAGAGAGCACACACAACCATCAAGGAGAGAGAGCACACACAACCATCTAGAGAGAGCACACACAACCAGCAAGGAGAGAGAGAGAGAGCACACACTACCAGCAAGGAGAGAGAGAGCACACACAACTATCAAGGATAGAGAGAGCACACACAACCAGCAAAGAGAGAGAGAGAGAGCACACACAACTATCAAGGAGAGAGAGCACACACAACCAGCAAGGAGAGAGAGCACACACAACCAGTAAGGAGAGAGAGAGAGCGAGAGCACACACAACCAGTAAGGAGAGAGAGAGCACACACAACCATCAAGGATAGAGAGAGCACACACAACCAGCAAGGAGAGAGAGAGAGCACACACAACCAGTAAGGAGAGAGAGAGCACACACAACCATCAAGGATAGAGAGAGCACACACAACCAGCAAGGAGAGAGAGAGAGCACACACAACCAGTAAGGAGAGAGAGAGCACACACAACCAGCAAGGAGAGAGAGCACACACAACCAGCAAGGAGAGAGAGAGCACACACAACCATCAAGGATAGAGAGAGCACACACAACCAGCAAAGAGAGAGAGAGAGAGAGCACACACAACCAGCAAGGAGAGAGAGAGCACACACAACCATCAAGGATAGAGAGAGCACACACAACCAGCAAAGAGAGAGAGAGAGAGCACACACAACTATCAAGGAGAGAGAGAGCACACACAACCAGCAAGGAGACAGAGCACACACAACCAGCAAGGAGAGAGAGCACACACAACCATCAAGGAGAGAGAGCACACACAACCATCAAGGAGAGAGAGAGAGAGAGCACACACAACCATCAAGGAGCGAGAGCACACACAACCAGCAAGGAGGGAGAGCACACACAACCAGCAAGGAGAGAGAGCACACACAACCAGCAAGGAGAGAGAGAGAGAGAGCACACACAACCATCAAGGAGAGAGAGAGCACACACAACCATCAAGGATAGAGAGAGCACACACAACCAGCAAGGAGAGAGAGAGAGAGCACACACAACCAGCAAGGAGAGAGAGAGAGCACACACTACCAGCAAGGAGAGAGAGAGAGAGAGAGCACACACAACCAGTAAGGAGAGAGAGAGCACACACAACCAGCAAGGAGAGAGAGAGCACACACAACCAGCAAGGAGAGAGAGCACACACAACCAGTAAGGAGAGAGAGAGAGAGAGAGAGCACACACAACCAGTAAGGAGAGAGAGAGAGCACACACAACCAGCAAGGAGAGAGAGAGCACACACAACCATCAAGGATAGATGGATAGGATAAAATGCACTGTAGGGGTGTTTCTGGATTTTAGTAAAGCGTTTGATACCATCAATCATAGCCTACTCATTAAAAAAATGGAGCGGTATGGAGTAAGAGGAACAGTGTCAACATGGCTTAAAAGTTATATAAGTCATCGTAAACAATTTGTGCAAATAAATGAGACCTCATCTGATATGTTAGAAATAAAACATGGAGTGCCCCAAGGTTCTATATTGGGGCCAAAGTTGTTTTTAATGTATGTGAATGACTTATGCAATGTATCAAATACCATGAAATTTGTAACTTTTGCCGATGACACAAATGTATTTGCATCTGGAGAGGATTTGCAGCAGACTTTGGATCTGGTCACACAGGAAATGAAGAAAATTAAAAAATGGTGTGACATAAATAGATTATCTTTGAATTTAAAAAAAACTAAATTCATGGTTTTCGGAAAGAACAAAGAAAACATAACCTTAAAACTCAGCATTGATCATGTTGAATTATCACAAGTTGATGAAATCAAATTTCTTAGTGTGATTTTAGACAAGAAATTCTGCTGGAAACCCCATTTAAACACATCCGGTCCAAGCTAGTGCGGTGGATCGCTATCATGGGCAAAACCAGGAATGTTTTAAGCCAAAAGGCTTTACAGATACTATACAACGCATTATTCTTGCCATATCTGAATTACTGTGTCGAGGTGTGGGGTAACACCTACAAAACAAATATCCATCCGGTCACAATCCTGCAGAAAAAAGCTGTAAGAATAGTAAACAATAAAAGTTACCAACATCACACATCTGTTGCCATGAGAACGCTCAAGTTCATTGATATTGTTAAATTCAAAACAGCACAAATTATTTTTAAATCTCGAAATAAGTTACTTCCGGGTCACATTCAGGCATTGTTCTCAGACAGGGAAGGGAAATACAATCTAAGAGGAAAGTTAAACTTAAAGTAAAATATGCAAGAACAACTATGAAAGGTTTCAATGTTTCTATTGGTGGCGTTAAACTATGGAACAGTCTGTCAGAGGAATGAAAACAAAGCAGCTCCATTCTGCACTTCAAACGTTTATATAAAAAACAACTAATTGAGGAATACAGTAAAGAAGAATGAGGTTTTGCCCAGTAGGCTCCATGACCGAACACATGAAGAGTATGTGTGTATATGTTCGTATGAGTGTGTATGTATATGTGTATAGATATGTGTGTGTGTATGCGTTAAACTACATACACACATTTAATCTTGTATTTACCTTTTCAGAGAAATATATGTTATTGTTTGTTTGTACACTTGTAAATTTTACACCATTTCCCTTGTTTCCACATAAATAACGTATTTTGTAAATGAGGGGTAGGACCATTTAAGCTTTTGCTTCTTCCTCCTTTTGAACATGTGAATGGATTAGAAATTTTGGTTTCGTTTTACGGCTTATGTAGGAAGTATGCACACATGTTTCAAAATAAACTAAACTAAACTAAACCATCAAGAAGAGAGAGAGCACACACAACCATCAACCAGTTTAAACCAGGAGAGAGAAGGGGTGGGTGAGTGGCTGGTGCTCAGACTGCCACCCCCACCCAGACATGGATTAAGGGGAAGAAGATGAGAGACACGTGTTCCATGTCAATAGAAACTGGTGTCTACAGAATGTTCCGTTAGAAAAAAACAGGAAGAAAACCGAGTCAGAAATGCACTGCATTCTGGGGGATGTAGACAGAGGCTTCTCGACCTATCACGGCCGAGCACGAACCGCAAGGCATTCTGGGAAATACACAACTTTGGGACTTTGGGGACTTTGGGAACTTTGGGGACTTTAGTGACTTTGGAAACTTTGGGAACTCTGGTGACTTTAGTGACTTTGGGGACTCTGGGACTTTAGTGACTTTGGGGACTTTGGGACTTTAGTGACTTTGGGGACTCTGGGGACTTTAGTGACTTTGGGGACTTTGGGGACTTTGGGGACTTTGGGGACTTTGGGGACTTTGGGAACTTTGGAGACTTTGGGACTTAAGTGACTTTGGGGACTTTGGAAACTTTGGGGACTTTGGGGACTTTAGTGACTTTGGGGACTTTGGAAACTTTGGAGACTCTGGGGACTTTAGTGACTTTGGGGACTTTGGAGACTTTGGAGATTTTGGAAACTTGGGGACTTTGGAAACTTTGGAAACTTTGGAGACTTTAAGGACTTGGGGGACTTTGGGAACTTTGGAGACTTTGGGACTTTAGTGACTTTGGAGACTTTGGGAACTTTGGAGACTTTGGGACTTTAGTGACTTTGGAGACTTTGGGAACTTTGGAGACTTTGGGACTTTAGTGACTTTGGAGACTTTGGGAACTTTGGAGACTTTGGGACTTTAGTGACTTTGGAGACTTTGGAGACTTTTACTTTTGTCCAGTAGATGTCAGTGTAACCTGTGAGTTTGAGCTCAGAGGCTTCACACAAACAGTCTGAGAAGGAGAGCCTCCGTGTGCTACGGGGCTTCATCTGTCATTCTACATTCATTTCATTCTAACCTCTCACCCCTGACCTCTGACCTCTGACCCCTGTGTTCAGGGACCTGCTCCTGGGGCAGATGGACCAGGAGGAGAGGGAGCGCTGCTGGTTCTTCACACAACTGGAGGCTCTGACGCAGAGACTGACACAACTGCCACGAATCGACACCGTGAGTTAAAGACCAGAGTGAGACTAGAGAGAGAGCAGAGGGAGACCAGAGAGAGACCAGAGAGAGACCAGAGAGAGACCAGAGAGAGACCAGAGAGAGAGACCAGAGAGAGAGACCAGAGAGAGACCAGAGAGAGACCAGAGAGAGACCAGAGAGAGACCAGAGAGAGACCAGAGAGAGAGACCAGAGAGAGACCAGAGAGAGACCAGAGAGAGACCAGAGAGAGACCAGAGAGAGAGACCAGAGAGAGACCAGAGAGAGACCAGAGAGAGACCAGAGAGAGACCAGAGAGAGACCAGAGAGAGAGACCAGAGAGAGACCAGAGAGAGACCAGAGAGAGAGACCAGGCAGAGACCAGAGAGAGGCCAGGGAGAGAGCAGAGGGAGAGACCAGAGAGAGACCAGAGAGAGACCAGAGGGAGACCAGAGGGAGACCAGAGAGAGACCAGAGAGAGAGCAGAGGGAGACCAGAGAGAGACCAGGCAGAGACCAGAGGGAGACCAGAGAGAGACCAGAGAGAGAGCAGAGGGAGACCAGAGAGAGACCAGGCAGAGACCAGAGAGAGACCAGGGAGAGAGCAGCGGGAGACCAGAGAGAGACCAGAGAGAGACCAGAGGGAGACCAGAGAGAGACCAGAGAGAGACCAGAGGGAGACCAGAGAGAGACCAGAGAGAGAGCAGAGGGAGACCAGAGAGAGACCAGGCAGAGACCAGAGGGAGACCAGAGAGAGACCAGAGAGAGAGCAGAGGGAGACCAGAGAGAGACCAGGCAGAGACCAGAGAGAGACCAGGGAGAGAGCAGCGGGAGACCAGAGAGAGACCAGAGAGAGACCAGAGAGAGACCAGAGAGAGACCAGGCGGAGACCAGAGAGAGACCAGAGAGAGACCAGAGGGAGACCAGAGAGAGACCAGAGGGAGGCCAGAGAGAGACCAGAGAGAGACCAGAGAGAGAGACCAGAGAGAGACCAGAGAGAGAGACCAGAGAGAGATCAGGGAGAGACCAGAGAGAGAGACCAGAGAGAGACCAGAGAGAGACCAGAGAGAGACCAGAGAGAGACCAGAGAGAGAGCAGAGGGAGACCAGAGAGAGACCAGAGAGAGATCAGGGAGAGACCAGAGAGAGATCAGGGAGAGACCAGAGAGAGAGCAGAGGGAGACCAGAGGGAGACCAGAGAGAGACCAGAGAGAGATCAGAGAGAGACCAGAGAGAGACCAGAGAGAGACCAGAGAGAGACCAGAGAGAGACCAGAGAGAGACCAGAGAGAGACCAGAGAGAGACCAGAGAGAGACCAGAGAGAGATCAGGGAGAGACCAGAGAGAGATCAGAGAGAGAGCATAGGGAGACCAGAGGGAGACCAGAAAGAGAGAAGCCCAAGTTTTTGACCCTGGACTGTGTGTACAGTTCTCTCTGCAGATGGACCAAATCCGGAACCAGTTAGAGTTCGAGGTGCAGCAGGTCCGGTCTGTGATGGAGGACCGCTTTGGAACCCAAGACCAGGTGGTCCAACGCACCCAGGTCAGACCAGAGAGAGACCAGAGAGACCAGAGAGAGAGACCAGAGAGAGAGAGACCAGAGAGAGACCAGAGAGAGAGACCAGAGAGAGAGACCAGAGAGAGACCAGAGAGAGAGACCAGAGAGAGAGACCAGAGAGAGAGACCAGAGACCAGAGAGAGACCAGAGAGAGAGACCAGAGAGAGACCAGAGAGAGACCAGAGAGAGACCAGAGAGAGAGACCAGAGAGAGACCAGAGAGAGACCGGAGAGAGACCAGAGAGAGACCAGAGAGAGACCAGAGAGAGACCAGAGAGAGACCAGAGAGAGAGACCAGAGAGAGACCAGAGAGAGACCAGAGAAAGACCAGTGAGAGAGATCAGAGAGAGAGACCAGGGAGAGACCATAGAGACCAGAGAGAGACCAGAGAGAGACCAGAGAGAGACCAGAGAGAGACCAGAGAGAGACCATAGAGACCAGAGAGAGACCAGAGAGAGACCAGAGAGACCAGAGAGAGACCAGAGAGAGACCAGAGAGAGAGACCAGAGAGAGACCATAGAGACCAGAGAGAGACCAGAGAGAGACCAGAGAGAGATGGGTAAAGATGACATAGTGTGGATTGTGTATAAATGTGTGATGTCACATGTTCTTTCAGATGAGAGCGTCTCGTTTGGACCAGTTGGAGAGAGAGCTGCACGAGGCCCGAGGATCACAGGAGGCTCAGCTGCAGGTCAGAACCAGCAACAGAACCAGCAGTGTTTCTCACAGTCATGTCTTCAGTGTGGAAGCAGACGACAGAGACGGACTCAGACTGAGCTGTTTGTTAGAGAGATCTTACATCTGTAACCAACGGTAACCGTTAATGCGTCAGGAAAGGTTAGGTCCCCCAGCTTTAATGTAGTGAGTTTAGGCTTCGGGAAGAGACAGACTGTTTATATACATGTGTATTCATCACACCAGGACACAACAGCACAGTATGGTCCTGTTTATGGTCCTGGAACATGGTCCTGTGTGTTTATGGTCCTGGAACATGGTCCTGTGTGTTTATGGTCCTGGAACATGGTCCTGTGTGTTTATGGTCCTGGAACATGGTCCTGTGTGTTTATGGTCCTGGAACATGGTCCTGTGTGTTTATGGTCTTGGTAACATGGTCCTGTGTGTTTATGGTCTTGGTAACATGGTCCTGTGTGTTTATGGTCTTGGTAACATGGTGTCAGGGATTCAGCAGACAGAGACGGATCGTGGTGTGCCAAACTCTGGAAGTTTATTTAAGTTTCTCTCAAGTTCCACTGGTTTACTTTGTTTTTTTCTCTCAGACAGAATAAAGGCAGTACACAGTTTATATAGTCATTGTTAAAGGCAGTACACAGTTTATATAGTCATTGTTAAAGGCAGTACACAGTTTATATAGTCATTGTTAAAGGCAGTACACAGTTTATATAGTCATTGTTAAAGGCAGTACACAGTTTATATAGTCATTGTTAAAGGCAGTACACAGTTTATATGGTCATTGTTAAAGGCAGTACACAGTTTATATAGTCATTGTTAAAGGCAGTACACAGTTTATATAGTCATTGTTAAAGGCAGTACACAGTTTATATAGTCATTGTTAAAGGCAGTACACAGTTTATATGGTCATTGTCACGTCACACATGGAAAGACGTGTCACACAGAGACAGTCACATCAGAGTCCTGCACGTAGGCCATATTGCTATCTAATACTAACACGTCCTGTGTGTTTATGGTCCTGGAACATGGTCCTGTGTCTTTATAGTCTTGGTAACATGGTCCTGTGTGTTTATGGTCCTGGAACATGGTCCTGTGTGTTTATAGTCTTGGTAACATGGTCCTGTGTGTTTATGGTCTTGGTAACATGGTCCTGTGTGTTTATGGTCTTGGTAACATGGTCCTGTGTGTTTATGGTCTTGGTAACATGGTCCTGTGTGTTTATGGTCTTGGTAACATGGTCCTGTGTGTTTATGGTCTTGGTAACATGGTCCTGTGTGTTTATGGTCTTGGTAACATGGTCCTGTGTGTTTATGGTCCTGGAACATGGTCCTGTGTGTTTATGGTCCTGGAACATGGTGCTGTGTGTTTATGGTCCTGTGTGTTTATGGTCCTGTGTGTTTATGGTCCTGGAACATGGTCCTGTGTGTTTATGGTCCTGGAACATGGTGCTGTGTGTTTATGGTCCTGGAACATGGTCCTGTGTGTTTATGGTCCTGGAACATGGTCCTGTGTGTTTATGGTCCTGGAACATGGTCCTGTGTGTTTATGGTCCTGGAACATGGTCCTGTGTGTTTATGGTCCTGGAACATGGTCCTGTGTGTTTATGGTCCTGGAACATGGTTCTGTGTGTTTATGGTCCTGGAACATGGTCCTGTGTGTTTATGGTCCTGGAACATGGTCCTGTGTGTTTATGGTCCTGGAACATGGTGCTGTGTGTTTATGGTCCTGGAACATGGTCCTGTGTGTTTATGGTCCTGGAACATGGTCCTGTGTGTTTATGGTCCTGGAACATGGTCCTGTGTGTTTATGGTCCTGGAACATGGTGCTGTGTGTTTATGGTCCTGGAACATGGTCCTGTGTGTTTATGGTCCTGGAACATGGTCCTGTGTGTTTATGGTCCTGGAACATGGTCCTGTGTGTTTATGGTCCTGGAACATGGTGCTGTGTGTTTATGGTCCTGGAACATGGTCCTGTGTGTTTATGGTCCTGGAACATGGTCCTGTGTGTTTATGGTCCTGGAACATGGTCCTGTGTGTTTATGGTCCTGGAACATGGTGCTGTGTGTTTATGGTCCTGGTCGCAGCTGCCCTGGGTCAGAGCGCTGCAGGAAACAGCAGGTGCCGTCCCTCCAACAGTTCTTCAAGAGTTTTACACTTTTCGCAAAAATGTTTTCTTGGAATGCGGCTGACACGCCCAAATATGGGCATTTCCTGAAGGTCCAGAGAGAGACCATAGAGAGACCAGAGAGAGACCAGAAAGAGAGACCAGTATGAGACCATAGATGGTCAGTATGAGTCTATAGCAGGGACTCCCAGCCCAGCTCCACCTGGTGCAGAGACACAGAGCCTCCCCAGGACCAGAGCCAGAATCCTGGGTACAGCGGCTCAGTGAAGCTGGTCCTGAAGGTGTGGAGGTGCTGCATGGAACCAGGACTGACACAGAAGAATGAGAGAGACCCCGCCTCGAAGTCCAGGAACAGGCCCACGGTCTGCGAGTAGGGCTCCGGACACACCCACTTAGATCTGTACAGAGACCACAGAGGTCAGAGGTCAAACACTGAGTCTGTTTGGTCTCTCTCTCTAGTCTCTCTCTCTGGTCTCCCTCTGGTCTCTCTCTGGTATCTCTCTGGTCTCCCTCTGGTCTCTCTCTCTGGTCTCTCTCTCTGGTCTTTCTCTCTGGTCTCTCTCTCTGGTCTCTCTCTCTGGTCTCTCTCTGGTCTCTCTCTCTGGTCTTTCTCTCTGGTCTCTCTCTCTGGTCTCTCTCTCTGGTCTCTCTCTGGTCTCTCTCCTGGTCTTTCTCTGGTCTCTCTCTGGTCTCTCTCTGGTCTGTCTCTGATCTCTCTCTGGTCTCTCTCTGGTCTCTCTCTCCTGGTCTCTCTCCTGGTCTCTCTCTGGTCTCTCTCTGGTCTCTCTCTGGTCTCTCTCTGATCTCTCTCTGGTCTCCCTCTGGTCTCTCTCTCTGGTCTCTCTCTCTAGTCTCTCTCTCTGGTCTCCCTCTGGTCTCTCTCTGGTCTCTCTCTGGTCTCTCTCTGGTCTCTCTCTCTGGTCTTTCTCCTGGTCTCTCTCCTGGTCTCTCTCTCTGGTCTCTCTCTGGTCTCTCTCTGGTCTCTCTCTGGTCTGTCTCTGATCTCTCTCTGGTCTCTCTCCTGGTCTCTCTCCTGGTCTCTCTCTGGTCTCTCTCTCTGATCTCTTTTTGGTCTGTCTCTGATCTCCCTCTGGTCTCTCTCTGGTCTCTCTCTCTGGTCTCTCTCTGGTCTCTCTCTGGTCTCTCCCTCTGGTCTCCCTCTGGTCTCTCACCTCTGGTCTCTGTCTGGTCTCTCCCTCTGGTCTCTCTCTGGTCTCTCTCTCTGGTCTCTCTCTCTGGTCTCCCTCTGGTCTCCCTCTGATCTCTCTCTGGTCTCCCTCTGGTCTCTCTCTCTGGTCTCTCTCTCTGGTCTCTCTCTCTGGTCTCCCTCTGGTCTCTCTCTCTGGTCTTTCTCCTGGTCTCTCTCCTGGTCTCTCTCTCTGGTCTCTCTCTGGTCTCTCTATGGTCTCTCTCTGGTCTCTCTCTGGTCTGTCTCTGATCTCTCTCTGGTCTCTCTCCTGGTCTCTCTCCTGGTCTCTCTCTGGTCTCTCTCTGGTCTCGCTCTGATTTCTCTCTGGTCTCCCTCTGGTCTCTCTCTCTGGTCTCTCTCTCTAGTCTCTCTCTCTGGTCTCCCTCTGGTCTCTCTCTGGTCTCTCTCTCTGGTCTCCCTCTGGTCTCTCTCTCTGGTCTTTCTCCTGGTCTCTCTCCTGGTCTCTCTCTCTGGTCTCTCTCTGGTCTCTCTCTGGTCTCTCTATGGTCTCTCTCTGGTCTCTCTCTGGTCTGTCTCTGATCTCTCTCTGGTCTCTCTCCTGGTCTCTCTCTGGTCTCTCTCTGGTCTCTCACCGCTGGTCTCTCTCTGGTCTCTCTCTGGTCTCTTTCTGGTCTCTCCCTCTGGTCTCCCTCTGGTCTCTCACCGCTGGTCTCTCTCTGGTCTCTCTCTGGTCTCTCTCTCTGGTCTCTCTCTGGTCTCTCTCTGGTCTCTCTCTGGTCTCTCTCTCTGGTCTCTCTCTGGTCTCTCTCTGGTCTCTCACCGCTGGTCTCTCTCTGGTCTCTCTCTGGTCTCTCTCTGGTCTCTTTCTGGTCTCTCCCTCTGGTCTCCCTCTGGTCTCTCACCGCTGGTCTCTCTCTGGTCTCTCACCGCTGGTCTCTCTCTGGTCTCTTTCTGGTCTCTCCCTCTGGTCTCCCTCTGGTCTCTCTCTGGTCTCTCTCTGGTCTCTCTCTGGTCTCTCTCTGGTCTCTCTCTGGTCTCTCCCTCTGGTCTCTCTCTCTGGTCTCTCTCTCTGGTCTCTCTCTCTGGTCTCTCTCTCTGGTCTCTCTCTCTGGTCTCTCTCTCTGGTCTCTCTCGCTGGTCTCTCTCTGGTCTCTCTATGGTCTCTCACTGGTCTCTCTCTGGTCTGTCTCTGATCTCTCTCTGGTCTCTCTCCTGGTCTCTCTCCTGGTCTCTCACCGCTGGTCTCTCTCTGGTCTCTCTCTGGTCTCTTTCTGGTCTCTCCCTCTGGTCTCCCTCTGGTCTCTCACCGCTGGTCTCTCTCTGGTCTCTCTCTGGTCTCTCTCTCTGGTCTCTCTCTGGTCTCTCTCTGGTCTACAATAGGTCTGGCATGTGCCTCCTGTACTGGCACCCCCAACCCCAAAAATAACAATTGTAAACCGCTTTGAGACTCCGATGTGCAGTGAAAAGGCGGTATATAAATAAAGATTACTTACTACTAAAGATTACTTACTACTGCAGCCATTGGGACGAAAGGGCCCGCCCTGAACATAGCGGACAAACCTACAACGACCCCCCTGGCCCACATCAGAACATGCTACATGGACCATACGACTTACGGTGCCCCAAGTCTGGGCCGTCCGCATATGCTGCGACACAATGGCCAGTGACCCACGATGGGAACGCCGGGGACCTCCCCAATCATGGAGGACAACCCTGCGGCACCCCCCCTGACGCACGCCAGGACTTAACCCTAGGCCAACGGTACTACCCGGACTGTGGGGGGACGGCCCCCGACCTCCACAGGTCGGACTTAGCCTCCCTCCGACACGATAACCCCACACTAGAACGCCCCTTCGACGTAATGATCGACACGACGCTCTGAACCTCCGGCCGTGATAAAGACATACTGCCGATACGCCATGGGCTGTTAGATTCTGCTTCCGATACACTCACTTCGTCTGTGCTCGTGGTGCCTCGAAGCATGAGGGGGGTAATGTTGGCACACGCCCATGACGCACCTACCACGGAACAAACGGGTATAAACAACACACGTCAGGCATTACAACAGGTAGAAACGACGGACCGGACGGTGACCGAAACACCAAGGTACGTATCCCCAAACCGGAGTGAGGAGAACGTGAAACTCCCCCGGCTCCTGAGGACAAACCAATACAGGACCGACCCGAAGGACCACCTCCAGGTCAAAAACCAGGTATGGTATTACACCTTGGCACATTCCCCAGGACACGTGGGGACCGGCCCCACCAGACCACACCGGAAATCGCTACCCCGCTGGTCAAGACCATACAGGGTGGGAAACAAACTCTCAACCGCAGTGCACCAGATCGAGGTCACAAAAGGTAGAGAGCCCACCCTCAGAGGGGCCCGTTACAGCCAAACCAAACCACACAAACAAAGCCCCATGGGACAAGCAGGGCACACTACAAACCCCAGTTAGGAACACACCACGTGACCTCAAACACGATTAGTCCAGCACCCACTAACACTCTTCTCGGCTGCACTAATCGAGTCTCTCTCTCTCCCTCTCTCTGTCTAAACCCTAACAATTGTTTCACGCCTTGCAGAACATGTGGCCCACTTTCCTTCTCATGCTGACCTGCATACTGTGCCTCGGCACCCCAGAAATTATTGAGACCGGACCAGCCTCCGGGATTGTTTTAAAGGAACGACCCGGGCTCCTCATCACGGACGTCCGACTCCACACACAGCGAATCTTTGTCAGACTCAATCCTAGTGAAGTCTGCCGCAAGAACCTGCCCTTGAAGGTCACACTCAAAGATGGGGCAGGTGCACGCTGGACCCAGACGGTCGTGGAGCACGCTGAGGCAGACATACAACACATGCTGACGCAACTAGAGAAGTTCACGATCACTAGGACAGAGCTCAGTGACCCTCGCCCCAGACCCAAACGATTTATTGGGGCTCTCCTCGGCGCGGCGTCAGCCCTGGGCACCCTCTTTAGCCTAGGGATGTCCACGGTAAACGCCATTAGCCTATCCTCCCTCAGACGCCACCAACACGAAATGGCCTCTGAACTCGAGGACGTCAAAACCAGACTCGACCAACAACAAAACGACGTGGTGACCTTGGGAAAGTCCCTGAAAGGAACCATGCTAGTACTTAACACGCACGAGGTTGCGATTAAACGCACCTCCGCTGCGGTCAATCAACTCTTAGAAGTTCCCCAACTAGACTACGCCCATACTCAGCTGACCACTCAACTGATGGAGGACATGCTACGTCACCTCAGTTCTTCGATCGAAAACCTAGCCAGGGGCCGTATCCCGCCATACCTCGTGCCGCTATCGTTAGTTGAGGACATTCTGGCCGTAGCCATGGCCTTCGTCCTAAATAGACGGGTTAGATGACTCCGCGATAGCTTTAACAGGTGCACGGAGGCAATGACGAGACAGATCCGTAAACGACCAAACCGGGGCGACAGCGCCGTCGAGCGTGGCAATTTAAGTCGGCGCCCCCAGGTCAACGAATCAGAGTACGAGGACCTCCGAAGCCACCCACTCGAGACGGTCACCCTTTCTATCACAGAAGGTGAACCAAGGGCCTAAAACCCCACTAAGAGTCACCAGCTGAGATCCAAACATATCTACCTCGATACCTAATCAGTCTCCTAGACAATCATACCTGTCATCCCCGTTTATATAAAGGAAGTTCCCCTCGTAATTAAAGCCCCACTTGCTACGTCATATATTCTTGTAACCCTTATACTCCCCTTTTAGAACGAGCAAGATGGGAACCCCGCACCATCGAGTGCCTTAATGACGCTCCTACCCGCTGCCAAGACAGCCACCCTTTTTTGATTTTCGAAGTTTCCTATTTTTGTATCCTAGTCCCCTAAAGTAGAAACTCCTGCTAATCTCTTGGCTTGGAACTTTGAGTCTTCCAGACCAAGAGACCCAGGAGTCAGGCGCACCGGCCCAAACCTTAGAGTTCACGGCCGTAGCTCACTCCCTAAAACTCCCTTATATATATTCAACATTACATCAGTCCATTCTTTCACAGTAGGAATCAAATCACCACGCCATCTCCTGGTAATAGCATTTTTACTGGCCAACAGCATTATTCGAAACATTTCGTAGTCATCTCTTCCTTTAAAATTCAGATTTTCTCTTTTCCCCAGATACATAGTTTCAAAACTGGTTGGAATTTTTACTTCTAACACTTCCTCTAATGCCACTTTCAAATCTATCCAAAATTGAGTTATGAGGGATCATCCCCAGAAGATGTGGAAGTGATCTGCTTTTGTTTCACCATAAGACCTCCAAAATTTTTTGTTTCTCCATGTTTTCTCTGAGCAGGAGTAGCAAAAAACCTCAGTGTATTCTTCCACCCGTATTCCCGCCATGATAATGAATTTGTGGCGGGATGTTGATTTATTTCCACCCATTCCTCTACTGATATGACTATATCTGCCTCCCTTTTCCCACTTCTCTTTTACATATACAGTGTCATCAGCTTTTATGCTCTCCAGAATCTTGTATAACTTATGGCGCGTTCAGACCGGATCAAGCGTTGCGTCGGGTTTCAATGCAAAGTCTATGGTGACGCGCGTTGTAGTGTCAAAACGCACCAACCGCTTGGCACGCACTTACGGACCGCTGAGTAGAGCCGCACGGACTTGGCGGGAAAGCGAAAGGGGAGGAGCAGGAGCGGAAAATGGACGCCCACAGGAGATAAACTTTGCTCAACTTTTCCTCGGGACGTTCGTGTAGCGACCAATCAGAGAGCTGTGGTCACGGGGACATTGGTGGTCTGAACGAGCAGACTGAACATACTGTAAACACCCAAAACAGGAGCTACACCAGGTCTAAACCAGGGTTGACAATGGGGGACTCTGTGCTTGTGAATATATGCTTTGTCATGCTCCCGTGACTTTATGCAACTGCTTCGAGTGTGTTCACCGATGCGGAAATACCGTTTAATAATACAAAAAAACGTATGGCGCACCTCCGTGAACACATACTACTGTTATACTGTATAAAGCCCGTGGAAAGTCTCTGTTCAAAGACACGCTACAAAGCTGCATATTGGAGAAGATCTGTACACAAGAAGCCGCTAGCATAGCTCTGTTAGCATTACAGTCGGCCGGCTACTTCCGGTACTCCCGGCTCACGTCAGGACGTTCTGGAGTGAAGTGCTCTGCGTCTGATAACTAGAGAATGCACGTCTGGTGAGCGGGGCTTCAGCGTTTGAGCGTTTGCGGTCTGAATGCACCATTAGAAATAACTCTGCTTCCGGATTGTGATCCAAATGCAGCCATCACCACTTTATATCTGGCCATGATTCTAAAGCATCTTTTTTAATGTTATCTCCCAAATAGCGTCGTAACTGTAAATACCTATGGAAATCATGGTTCTGGAGGCCATAATCATCTTTCATTTTCTGGAAACAAATTACCTTTCTATCTTTTAAAACATCCCAATGTATTTTTGGCCCAGTATCCCACAGTTTAAATCTGGCATCTAATTTGTTAGGTGTGAAGTCTACATCGTAAGCGATCCACCTCAATTACCTACTACACTTTGTCAAGTGATAACTATTCATGATTCCAGTCCAAATTTTAACAGGTACCCCCAACCATGGATTTATTTTTAATTTCAGATGGATCGTTAATGTTTCATCACTTATTATAGATTGTAACAGTATCTCCCCAATCAATCTCCTCAATATCCTTCCACTTCGCGGAATACTCAGAATCACATAAGTTGATCAGAATCCTCAATTGTGCAGCCTGGAAATATTTTTTTAGGCAAGGCAGTGATAGCCCCCCCTCCCTCTTAGGTTAATTGTAATGTCCTATATCTTATTCTAGGTTTACAGTAGGTCCCATTCCGTTTTGTCGCCTTTCACGCGTGAATCACACGTGAGTCTCGTGTGATTCACGCGTCTTTTATTTTCCCCCCTCCCAGTGACGTTGCAATGACCAAAACAACCACCAGGTGGCACTTGTGAGCAGGGTTACATTGGCGAGTTTCTGCCCCGCACACAATGACAATCTGTCATTGATCCATGCTCCCAGCAGACTCGAACGAACACGAAGTGGAACGTGAAGTTTAATGTAAGTAACTTTTCAATTGTTTTTCATGTGACAGTATATTCATTATTGTCTTTGGGTTGTGTTGCATTGTACACATGTCGTCATTGCGTCACATCAGCGTCGGCTAACATTATATTTTTAGATGCTAGGTATTTTTTCTCCTGCGTCAAAATGGAACTGAGAGATATTCAACTTTTCGTCACATGAAACAAGGCATAGCCTATGCTATGTTATCTAACGCTGGTTTAAAACTCAATTGAATATTAGTTTAGCGTTAATCGGACTAATTTCCATCCGCGGGAAATAAGGCACATGGTGTTTGCTAGCTTAGTTAAACAAGTTAACCATTTGAAAAGAACTAAATAATTTATTTTCTCATTTTCCTTGGAAGTAACACAAGGCTACGCAATGTAAGCAAATAAGTATAATACAGCTCGGAAACTTGTGTTGAAACAATCGCGTCAAATACTACAGTTCCCATCATGCTTTTGCTTTGTCACGTGTCCTCCTCAAACAACAACAAGCACAGGCATGCCTGTGCTTTATTTAGCAAAGAGTTTGGTCTCGTTTCTCAAACGTAAATCTGGGCTGTGTACAGAGGACTGCGTGCTTCGGTATGTACAAACGACGCTGCGCGTGATTTGATTCATAGCGTAGTTAATGTTGTAGCGTAGCTTCTTCTGAGGCCAGTTTTCATTACTTTCATGACTGTCTTTCTTATATCGCTATGCACTCCACTAAACATGGCTGATACTTAGTTATTATTGCTTAACAAGTAGATACGTCTTTCCGTTTTTTTCGTTTGGAGACTGAAAATATATCCCAAAGCATTTATGTTCCCCCCGTGCAACTAAAATTGTATGAATTATTTGTGAATTTAGACAATTAAATAATAATTATGTGAACATTGTGAAATTAATCACAAGTAATGTAATGTTACAGTATATTTGACAATTTATAAATATTACATTATTTATATATTATACTGTAATGTTAAAGTATATTTTACAATTTTCTTTCAGATTCAGGAGAGAAGTGCTGATATTGACACCAGATCTTATACCCACCACTTCTACTTTGGTAGCTTCAATCAGGTAAAAATGTAACTATACATTTGATTTATAGTTTACTAACTGTATACAACATTGAATCCATATTTTTGTCTTGCAGGGGACCAATAATCAAGACTCAAAGAAGGAGAAAGATTAGAGACAGTAGGCTTTTTAGATGAGATGGCAATGCAAAGTTTGCATTGCCATCTCATCTCAAAAGAGATGGCAATGCAAAGTTGGAGAATCACCACCATTCCTCTTGAGCAGACCTTCATGTTCAATCTGGACAAATACACTCCAAATTTACTTTCTGTGTTTGCGAAGAAGGGTGGTGCTATCGGGGCAAAACTGAAACCTGTTTTGAACAAACAGATACAGGTATGTTTAGTCATAACTTATGCTGAGTACAATACATAATTTGTTCTTTCCCATTGATAAATCCCTGTTTTGGTGCTATTTACAGAACCAAACAATTGAGATGAGACGTGACAATGTGATTCGTGGTTTAATGCTCTACCTCGGTGAAAATGAGGAAGAACTCTTTCTAGATTGCCAGGTACCATTCTTGATATTTTTCTCCCCCATTCTCTCAAAAACTCAGGGTCGTCCTATTCCTCACATATTTAACCTGTTTTGTAAGAGTGAGTGTCAACACTTCAAATACACCAAACGAAATACAGTGGTAATTTAAAGCTCTCACTGTCAGAGTTTGGGAACTCACTGCTCTTTCTTTTATAAACTTGTTTTGATTGTTTTTTTATATTGTGCCACGATGATGAACTCCAATGTAATGTAACACAGCATGTTGACCCATGACAAAAACACACGTCCGTGTTTTGGAATCACCTTATGGCTGTGTCTATGATTATGACCTGTCTTGTGATTATTGATCAATCAAGTATAATGTTTGAAGAGAACAAAGGTAGTCTGAGGCACTCTGTTTTGGTGAAAAAATTAAAAGTCCTTTAATGAATTGGACTGCCTACGCGTTTCGACCAACAGCGGTCTTTGTCAGGGCATAAATTAGATAAATAAAAAGATTTATGGCTATAGAAGTGAGCTATAGCTATAGCTATGTAAGCTATAGAGTGTATTTATCAAAGTAATTCTTCCTCTTTACAATTTACCCAGGCGCACTTAGAGGATGTTGGCCGGTGTTCTGCCGAGTTGTAACGCTCTGCCAAAAAGTGACGCTTATGTAATGCTCAGCTGTTAATGATGTAATGCAAACCTGCGCGCATGCGCGTCTCACGGCAGCCGAAACAAACCAAGATGGCGGACAGAAAGTCCGTGAATTGCTTTAAAAGTTATAATACGAACGAAATAAGACACGAATGTCACTTTTAATGCAATTTGAGGCGAGATGTTGATGGTTCCGTGTTGGCACATGTGGGTTTTTAAGAGTCAAACTTTCGGGTAAAGTTTAGTTTAAGCAGTCAACTGCACCTATGAAACCACTATGCTTATGTTATGATAGCAGTCCTGGCAGCTGACGTACGTCCTTTTTTGCGCATGCTCAAATCAGACTTGTTTTCTCTTCTACCCGAAGCTGAAAACACACGTGAGTATGGCTCTCCGTTTTCAAATGGCATATATTTCGATTGTTTTAACGTTCTATCAGCGAAATTCATCCTGTGATTTGATAGGGGCTTAGATACATCGATATGTAGTGAAACAAACGCTGTGTAAACGACTTTTTAGTAAAAGTCGTTTACAGCTGGCGTGTGAGATGGACCAACATGCTATGTAACGCTACCAACAGTGATTCATTTTAAATATATAGTACTTTTTCAGTGAAGTGCATGCATAGGGATATTATTAAGTTTGACCCATAAGTTTGACCGCGTTTTCCTTGAAGCAACCGAGCGCGTTGATTTGGACTTAATGGTGCAAGCACTTAATGGTGCAAGCACTTAAAGGCGCTATACCCGTTTCTACAATGTTTGAATGTTTAGCACCGCCCCCCAGCTCGCTCACAGGCTTCTCATTTCACCTGCGCTCTCATAACACGGAGCCACCTAGTTTTATTTGCGATCTGATACGTATGCTAACATTAGCATTAGCGTAACTTGTAAGCTGTGCAACAATCACTGATGAAATGGCACTAAAGCAATGCACTGCTAACACAATATATAAGTAAAAGAATACGTTTCGCGTCCGGATGTATTAATTTAAACATTAGAATATATTCTAATATTTAATTATAATTTATTATACAGCTCCTCACAGCAGTAGAACACTCCATTGACTTGAATGCAATTCTTCCGATCATTTTTTCTTGATAACAGAACTCTCAAACCAATAATGACCGCAGCCCCAATGCAATCTGTTTGTAATTCAGGTGTGTAAAATACTGCCATTACTTTGCAAGTACAACAAGCTATCAGCGCCTGTCACTACATTGTGCAGTTTTTCTGCACACTTGTCTGTGTAGAGAAGCTAGCGGAGCTAGCCACGCTCAATAAACAACTACATATCAATCAATCAACACCATTAAACGTCAACCGGACAATACCGTATACAGATACATCCTTAACACACATGCACGGACGATTTCAGAATTTGCTGTCAACGTTTTCATGACAAAAATACTGTTTTAAAGTGACAAAAAGCGATCGCGAAAAACCCGGAAGTTACCATGAAACAACTAGCTAGTTTAGCTGTTACCTGCCTAGCACGTCCCGGTGAAACCTTTGGGAGCTAACTATTTTATTTGCAGTCATTAAATACATTTCTAATTATAAGGGTTGTCTAATATTTGTTCAAATATGTATATATATTTTATTTTAGAATTATATTCGAATTTTGAAGTCGAAGCCCTGGTGTTAAGCAGCGCTGTAGAGACTAGAGGACACAGGCTGTAGAGACTAGAGCACACAGGCTGTAGAGACTAGAGGACACAGGCTGTAGAGGCTAGAGGACACAGGCTGTAGAGACTAGAGGACACAGGCTGTAGAGACTAGAGGACGCAGGCTGTAGAGCTAGAGGACGCAGGCTGTAGAGACTAGAGGACACAGGCTGTAGAGACTAGAGGACACAGGCTGTAGAGACTAGAGGACACAGGCTGTAGAGACTAGAGGACGCAGGCTGTAGAGACTAGAGGACACAGGCTGTAGAGACTAGAGGACACAGGCTGTAGAGACTAGAGGACGCAGGCTGTAGAGACTAGAGGACGCAGGCTGTAGAGACTAGAGGACGCAGGCTGTAGAGACTAGAGGACACAGGCTGTAGAGACTAGAGGACGCAGGCTGTAGAGACTAGAGGACACAGGCTGTAGAGGCTAGAGGACACAGGCTGTAGAGACTAGAGGACGCAGGCTGTAGAAGACTAGAGGACGCAGGCTGTAGAGACTAGAGGACACAGGCTGTAGAGACTAGAGGACACAGGCTGTAGAGACTAGAGGACGCAGGCTGTAGAAGCTAGAGGACGCAGGCTGTAGAGACTAGAGGACGCAGGCTGTAGAGACTAGAGGACGCAGGCTGTAGAGACTAGAGGACACAGGCTGTAGAGACTAGAGGACACAGGCTGTAGAGACTAGAGGACACAGGCTGTAGAGACTAGAGGACGCAGGCTGTAGAGACTAGAGGACACAGGCTGTAGAGACTAGAGGACGCAGGCTGTAGAGACTAGAGGACACAGGCTGTAGAGACTAGAGGACACAGGCTGTAGAGACTAGAGGACACAGGCTGTAGAGGCTAGAGGACACAGGCTGTAGAGGCTAGAGGACGCAGGCTGTAGAGACTAGAGGACACAGGCTGTAGAGACTAGAGGACACAGGCTGTAGAGACTAGAGGACACAGGCTGTAGAGACTAGAGGACACAGGCTGTAGAGACTAGAGGACACAGGCTGTAGAGACTAGAGGACACAGGCTGTAGAGGCTAGAGGACACAGGCTGTAGAGGCTAGAGGACACAGGCTGTAGAGACTAGAGGACACAGGCTGTAGAGACTAGAGGACACAGGCTGTAGAGACTAGAGGACACAGGCTGTAGAGACTAGAGGACACAGGCTGTAGAGACTAGAGGACACAGGCTGTAGAGACTAGAGGACACAGGCTGTAGAGACTAGAGGACACAGGCTGTAGAGACTAGAGGACACAGGCTGTAGAGACTAGAGGACACAGGCTGTAGAGACTAGAGGACACAGGCTGTAGAGACTAGAGGACGCAGGCTGTAGAGACTAGAGGACAAGAGACTAGAGGACACAGGCTGTAGAGACTAGAGGACGCAGGCTGTAGAGACTAGAGGACACAGGCTGTAGAGACTAGAGGACACAGGCTGTAGAGACTAGAGGACGCAGGCTGTAGAGACTAGAGGACACAGGCTGTAGAGACTAGAGGACACAGGCTGTAGAGACTAGAGGACGCAGGCTGTAGAGACTAGAGGACGCAGGCTGTAGAGACTAGAGGACGCAGGCTGTAGAGACTAGAGGACACAGGCTGTAGAGACTAGAGGACGCAGGCTGTAGAGACTAGAGGACACAGGCTGTAGAGACTAGAGGACACAGGCTGTAGAGACTAGAGGACACAGGCTGTAGAGGCTAGAGGACACAGGCTGTAGAGACTAGAGGACGCAGACTGTAGAGACTAGAGGACACAGGCTGTAGAGACTAGAGGACGCAGGCTGTAGAGACTAGAGGACACAGGCTGTAGAGACTAGAGGACACAGACTGTAGAGACTAGAGGACGCAGACTGTAGAGACTAGAGGACACAGGCTGTAGAGACTAGAGGACACAGGCTGTAGAGACTAGAGGACACAGGCTGTAGAGACTAGAGGACGCAGGCTGTAGAGACTAGAGGACACAGGCTGTAGAGACTAGAGGACACAGGCTGTAGAGACTAGAGGACGCAGGCTGTAGAGACTAGAGGACGCAGGCTGTAGAGACTAGAGGACGCAGGCTGTAGAGACTAGAGGACACAGGCTGTAGAGACTAGAGGACGCAGGCTGTAGAGACTAGAGGACACAGGCTGTAGAGACTAGAGGACACAGGCTGTAGAGACTAGAGGACACAGGCTGTAGAGACTAGAGGACACAGGCTGTAGAGACTAGAGGACGCAGGCTGTAGAGACTAGAGGACACAGGCTGTAGAGACTAGAGGACGCAGGCTGTAGAGACTAGAGGACACAGGCTGTAGAGACTAGAGGACACAGGCTGTAGAGACTAGAGGACACAGGCTGTAGAGGCTAGAGGACACAGGCTGTAGAGGCTAGAGGACGCAGGCTGTAGAGACTAGAGGACACAGGCTGTAGAGACTAGAGGACACAGGCTGTAGAGACTAGAGGACACAGGCTGTAGAGACTAGAGGACACAGGCTGTAGAGACTAGAGGACACAGGCTGTAGAGACTAGAGGACACAGGCTGTAGAGGCTAGAGGACACAGGCTGTAGAGGCTAGAGGACGCAGGCTGTAGAGACTAGAGGACACAGGCTGTAGAGACTAGAGGACACAGGCTGTAGAGACTAGAGGACACAGGCTGTAGAGACTAGAGGACGCAGGCTGTAGAGACTAGAGGACACAGGCTGTAGAGACTAGAGGACACAGGCTGTAGAGACTAGAGGACACAGGCTGTAGAGACTAGAGGACGCAGGCTGTAGAGACTAGAGGACACAGGCTGTAGAGACTAGAGGACACAGGCTGTAGAGACTAGAGGACGCAGGCTGTAGAGACTAGAGGACACAGGCTGTAGAGACTAGAGGACACAGGCTGTAGAGACTAGAGGACGCAGGCTGTAGAGACTAGAGGACACAGGCTGTAGAGACTAGAGGACACAGGCTGTAGAGACTAGAGGACACAGGCTGTAGAGGCTAGAGGACACAGGCTGTAGAGACTAGAGGACGCAGGCTGTAGAGACTAGAGGACACAGGCTGTAGAGACTAGAGGACGCAGGCTGTAGAGACTAGAGGACACAGGCTGTAGAGACTAGAGGACGCAGACTGTAGAGACTAGAGGACACAGGCTGTAGAGACTAGAGGACACAGGCTGTAGAGACTAGAGGACACAGGCTGTAGAGACTAGAGGACGCAGACTGTAGAGACTAGAGGACACAGGCTGTAGAGACTAGAGGACACAGGCTGTAGAGGCTAGAGGACACAGGCTGTAGAGACTAGAGGACACAGGCTGTAGAGACTAGAGGACACAGGCTGTAGAGACTAGAGGACACAGGCTGTAGAGACTAGAGGACACAGGCTGTAGAGACTAGAGGACGCAGGCTGTAGAGACTAGAGGACGCAGGCTGTAGAGACTAGAGGACACAGGCTGTAGAGACTAGAGGACACAGGCTGTAGAGACTAGAGGACACAGGCTGTAGAGACTAGAGGACGCAGGCTGTAGAGACTAGAGGACACAGGCTGTAGAGACTAGAGGACGCAGGCTGTAGAGACTAGAGGACACAGGCTGTAGAGACTAGAGGACACAGGCTGTAGAGACTAGAGGACACAGGCTGTAGAGGCTAGAGGACACAGGCTGTAGAGACTAGAGGACACAGGCTGTAGAGACTAGAGGACACAGGCTGTAGAGACTAGAGCACACAGGCTGTAGAGACTAGAGGACACAGGCTGTAGAGACTAGAGGACACAGGCTGTAGAGACTAGAGGACACAGGCTGTAGAGACTAGAGGACACAGGCTGTAGAGACTAGAGGACACAGGCTGTAGAGACTAGAGGACGCAGGCTGTAGAGACTAGAGGACGCAGGCTGTAGAGACTAGAGGACGCAGGCTGTAGAGACTAGAGGACGCAGGCTGTAGAGACTAGAGGACGCAGGCTGTAGAGACTAGAGGACACAGGCTGTAGAGACTAGAGGACGCAGGCTGTAGAGACTAGAGGACACAGGCTGTAGAGGCTAGAGGACACAGGCTGTAGAGACTAGAGGACACAGGCTGTAGAGACTAGAGGACACAGGCTGTAGAGACTAGAGGACACAGGCTGTAGAGACTAGAGGACACAGGCTGTAGAGACTAGAGGACACAGGCTGTAGAGACTAGAGGACACAGGCTGTAGAGGCTAGAGGACACAGGCTGTAGAGACTAGAGGACGCAGGCTGTAGAGACTAGAGGACGCAGGCTGTAGAGACTAGAGGACGCAGGCTGTAGAGACTAGAGGACACAGACTGTAGAGACTAGAGGACGCAGGCTGTAGAGACTAGAGGACACAGGCTGTTCGCTTCTTGTTCTGTGAGCGGAGGAGAGCGTCCCGCTCAGACTATACTCAGCACTTTTCACTGCCTGAATTTCATACACAGTGGAATCAATGACCTCAAGTTTTCAATTAAATTATGTATAATGATACAACTTGTATGTAGTAAAAAGCATTTTTATGAACTACTTAGAAAAAAAATCGGGTATAGCTTCTTTAATATTAGATTGGAAATAAACCGTTTGTTTGGAGGGAGATTTTTTAAATAAATACCAAACAAAATATCTTTAAGGTTTAGTTGTAAATCTATGGTAAGTTTTCTATTCACAAACAGATGAATGTCTTTCCAAAATACTTGTGTGTAAGAACATTCCCAGAAAAGATGACTGATTGATTCTACAGTGACATGACAAAATGAGCAAAGAGGGTCAACATTTAAACGGTATTTGGATATTACACTGTTAACCGGGTAACATCTATGCAAAATCTTGAGGCATACTTCACGAATCTTATTGGTAACAATAAAATGTTTCGGCAATAGCCACACAGAGTCCCATTCAATATCATTAAATAAATTGTCCCACACAAATATAGAAGCTGGTTTCCTAATGGAGTCTCTTACGATGAGCTCTCAAACACATTCGTTATTTGTTTTGACACTTAAAAAGGGGTCAGTGGCCGCAGTTTTTAACCGCGCCAGAGCATGAGTCCAGGAATCGTGCTCTGGCGTGAATGCCGCGGTCAGATGGCACCTAAAGCCCGGATCTAACTGCAAAGTGGGCCCTGGCACACTTTAACCGGGCCTTAGGCAGCGCATGTGACCGCGCCCTGAACTAGGCTTCACGGGTCAAAGGAGCTGAAGTGAGACCCTTCAGTCTCTGACACTGACAGCACCCACCCACCAGAGGGCACCAGATACAAACAGTACTTATTCTTTATTTAGGGCGACAGTAGCTCAGTTGGTAGAGCATTGGCCACTGAGCCAGACGGTTGTGGGTTCGAGCCCGACCTCCACCATCGACTCCCTTGGGCAAGACACTTAACCTCTGTGAACAGCAGGTGCCACAGTGGGGCGGCTGTAAAGTTACTCCTGTGTTCACGGACATTTTCAACACCTCTCTGCAGTCCTGCCATGTCCCGGCCTGCTTCAAATCCTCCATCATTGTCCCCGTCCCGAAGAAGCCCAGGATCACAGGACTCAACGACTACAGACCTGTAGCACTTACGTCTGTCGTCATGAAGTCATTTGAACGCCTGGTTCTCTCCCATCTCAAGTCCCTCACCTCCCCCCTCCTGGACCCCCTGCAGTTCGCCTACAGAGCCAACAGATCTGTAGACGACGCCATTAACCTGGCCCTCCACCACATCCTACAGCACCTGGACTCCCCGGGGACCTACGCCAGGGTCCTGTTCGTGGACTTCAGCTCTGCTTTCAACACAATCCTGCCATCCCTGCTCCAGGACAAGCTCTCCCAGCTCAACGTGCCCGATTCCACCTGCAGGTGGATCACTGACTTCCTGACGGACAGGAAGCAGCGAGTGCGTCTGGGGAAGAATGTCTCGGACTCTCGGATTATAAATACAGGAGCCCCACAGGGCTGTGTTCTTTCTCCCCTGCTCTTCTCCCTGTACACCAACCACTGCACCTCCAGCCACGACTCCGTGAAGCTGATCAAGTTCACGGACGACACCACCCTCATTGGACTCATCTCCAACAACGATGAGTCCGCCTACAGGAGGGAGGTGGACCGGCTGGTGTCCTGGTGTCTCCTACAGGAGGGAGGTGGACCGGCTGGTGTCCTGGTGTCTCCTACAGGAGGGAGGTGGACCGGCTGGTGTCCTGGTGTCTCCTACAGGAGGAGGTGGACCGGCTGGTGTCCTGGTGTCTCCTACAGGAGGGAGGTGGACCGGCTGGTGTCCTGGTGTCTCCTACAGGAGGGAGGTGGACCGGCTGGTGTCCTGGTGTCTCCTACAGGAGGGAGGTGGACCGGCTGGTGTCCTGGTGTCTCCTACAGGAGGAGGTGGACCGGCTGGTGTCCTGGTGTCTCCTACAGGAGGGAGGTGGACCGGCTGGTGTCCTGGTGTCTCCTACAGGAGGGAGGTGGACCGGCTGGTGTCCTGGTGTCTCCTACAGGAGGGAGGTGGACAGGCTGGTGTCCTGGTGTCTCCTACAGGAGGGAGGTGGACCGGCTGGTGTCCTGGTGTCTCCTACAGGAGGGAGGTGGACCGGCTGGTGTCCTGGTGTCTCCTACAGGAGGGAGGTGGACCGGCTGGTGTCCTGGTGTCTCCTACAGGAGGGAGGTGGACCGGCTGGTGTCCTGGTGTCTCCTACAGGAGGGAGGTGGACCGGCTGGTGTCCTGGTGTCTCCTACAGGAGGGAGGTGGACCGGCTGGTGTCCTGGTGCAGTGGTAACAACCTGGAGCTGAACGCCCAGAAGACAGTGGAGATGATTGTGGACTTCAGGAAGAGCACTGTCCCCCCGCCCCCACCCTCCGTGATGGACTCCCCCATCACCTCTGTGGAGTCCTTCCGTTTCCTGGGCACCACCATCACCCAGGACCTCAAGTGGGAGCCGACCATCAGCTCCTCATCAAGAAGGCCCAGCAGAGGATGTACTTCCTGCGGCAGCTCAGGAAAGCCAAGCTGCAGTTCTACACGGCCATCATCGAGTCCATCCTCACCTCCTCCGTCACCTCCTCCATCACCTCCTCCATCACCTCCTCCATCACCTCCATCACCTCCTCCATCACCTCCTCCATCACCTCCTCCATCACCTCCTCCATCACCTACTCCATCACCTCCTCCATCACCTCCTCCATCACCTCCTCCATCACCTCCTCCATCACCTCCTCCATCACCTCTTCATCACCTCCTCCATCACCTCCTCCGTCACCGTGTGGTTCGCTGGAGCCACAGTCAGGGACAAACAGAGACTACAGCGCATTGTGCGCTCTGCAGAGGAAGTGATCGGCCGCAGCCTTCCATCGCTGCAGGACCTGTACGTCGCCCGAGCTCGAGGCCGGGCTGGTCGTATCACAGCCGACCCCTCTCACCTGCACATGGACTATTCCAACCACTCCCCTCTCACCTGCACATGGACTATTCCAACCACTCCCCTCTCACCTGCACATGGACTATTCCAACCACTCCCCTCTCACCTGCACATGGACTATTCCAACCACTCCCCTCTCACCTGCACATGGACTATTCCAACCACTCCCCTCTCACCTGCACATGGACTATTCCAACCACTCCCCTCTCACCTGCACTATTCCAACCACTCCCCTCTCACCTGCACATGGACTATTCCAACCACTCCCCTCTCACCTGCACATGGACTATTCCAACCACTCCCCTCTCACCTGCACTATTCCAACCACTCCCCTCTCACCTGCACATGGACTATTCCAACCACTCCCCTCAGGCAGGAGGCTGCGGTCCATCAGGACTAGAACCTTCCGCCACAAGAACAGTTTCTTCCCCTCTGCTGTTGGACTCTTGAACACTTCTTAACCTGTCCCCGCCCTTTATAAAGTCACTTTACTGCCCATCATACGTCACTTTACTTCACTGTACTGCTGTCACCTTACATTGTGTGCACCATGTGCACTTGTATATTGTAAATAGTAACTGTAACTCTATTTTAAATTTACATTTATTCCTTAGATTGTTTTTTATTCTTATTTTTATTGTCTCACTCTGACTGCTGCACTGAGCCAAAGCAATTTCCAAGTCTGTGACCTCCTGTTACTTACGTGGCAATAAAAATGATTCTGATTCTGGTTCAAACTGCTGTTGTGTCCTTAAGCAAGACACTTCCCCCACATTAGAATGAGTCTGGTGTGTGTGTGAGTGGTTGGTGGTGGTGGGAGGGGCTGATGGCACAGACTGGTTGCCTCGCTTGTGTCAGTGTGCCCCAGGGCAGCTGTGGCTACAGTAGTAGTTTATCTGTGTTTGGAGAGAGAGAATAATGAAGTGAAGAGACTTTGAGAGTCTGAAAAAGTGCTATTTAAAACCGATGCATTATTATTATTATTTATTATCTCAAACCGACCTGAAGAGCAAGTGTTAAAAACAAACTAAAGTCCTCAGTCCGTGGTTCTAACGGTTCTGGAGCAAGGACCAAAGCTGTGGCAACAATCTGTCCCCATTAAACAGTTTAGTCCCAAAAACGTCTAAAATTGTACAAATAATACTTATGTATAATTCTGTGGATAAAGATGTCACTCAAAGCTACAGACCCATATCTGTGACTGTCTCCAAGTGTTCTGACCGAGACCCAGACACATGTGACCTGACATTAAAGGGTCACTATGGTACATCTGTGACACATGTGACCTGACATTAAAGGGTCACTATGATACATCTGTGACACGTGTGACCTGACATTAAAGGGTCACTATGGTACATCTGTGACACATGTGACCTGACATTAAAGGGTCACTATGATACATCTGTGACACGTGTGACCTGACATTAAAGGGTCACTATGGTACATCTGTGACACGTGTGACCTGACATTAAAGGGTCACTATGGTACATCTATGACACGTGTGACCTGACATTAAAGGGTCACTATGGTACATCTGTGACACATGTGACCTGACATTAAAGGGTCACTATGGTACATCTGTGACACGTGTGACCTGACATTAAAGGGTCACTATGGTACATCTATGACACATGTGACCTGACATTAAAGGGTCACTATGGTACATCTGTGACACGTGTGACCTGACATTAAAGGGTCACTATGATACATCTGTGACACGTGTGACCTGACATTAAAGGGTCACTATGATACATCTGTGACACGTGTGACCTGACATTAAAGGGTCACTATGGTACATCTGTGACACGTGTGACCTGACATTAAAGGGTCACTATGGTACATCTATGACACGTGTGACCTGACATTAAAGGGTCACTATGGTACATCTGTGACACATGTGACCTGACATTAAAGGGTCACTATGGTACATCTGTGACACGTGTGACCTGACATTAAAGGGTCACTATGGTACATCTGTGACACATGTGACCTGACATTAAAGGGTCACTATGATACATCTGTGACACGTGTGACCTGACATTAAAGGGTCACTATGGTACATCTATGACACATGTGACCTGACATTAAAGGGTCACTATGGTACATCTGTGACACGTGTGACCTGACATTAAAGGGTCACTATGATACATCTGTGACACATGTGACCTGACATTAAAGGGTCACTATGATACATCTGTGACACGTGTGACCTGACATTAAAGGGTCACTATGGTACATCTGTGACACGTGTGACCTGACATTAAAGGGTCACTATGGTACATCTGTGACACGTGTGACCTGACATTAAAGGGTCACTATGATACATCTATGACACGTGTGACCTGACATTAAAGGGTCACTATGGTACATCTGTGACACATGTGACCTGACATTAAAGGGTCACTATGATACATCTGTGACACGTGTGACCTGACATTAAAGGGTCACTATGATACATCTGTGACACGTGTGACCTGACATTAAAGGGTCACTATGGTACATCTGTGACACGTGTGACCTGACATTAAAGGGTCACTATGGTACATCTGTGACACATGTGACCTGACATTAAAGGGTCACTATGATACATCTGTGACACGTGTGACCTGACATTAAAGGGTCACTATGATACATCTGTGACACGTGTGACCTGACATTAAAGGGTCACTATGATACATCTGTGACACGTGTGACCTGACATTAAAGGGTCACTATGATACATCTGTGACACGTGTGACCTGACATTAAAGGGTCACTATGATACATCTGTGACACGTGTGACCTGACATTAAAGGGTCACTATGGTACATCTGTGACACGTGTGACCTGACATTAAAGGGTCACTATGATACATCTGTGACACATGTGACCTGACATTAAAGGGTCACTATGGTACATCTGTGACACGTGTGACCTGACATTAAAGGGTCACTATGGTACATCTATGACACATGTGACCTGACATTAAAGGGTCACTATGGTACATCTGTGACACGTGTGACCTGACATTAAAGGGTCACTATGATACATCTGTGACACGTGTGACCTGACATTAAAGGGTCACTATGGTACATCTGTGACACGTGTGACCTGACATTAAAGGGTCACTATGATACATCTGTGACACGTGTGACCTGACATTAAAGGGTCACTATGATACATCTGTGACACGTGTGACCTGACATTAAAGGGTCACTATGATACATCTGTGACACGTGTGACCTGACATTAAAGGGTCACTATGGTACATCTGTGACACGTGTGACCTGACATTAAAGGGTCACTATGATACATCTGTGACACGTGTGACCTGACATTAAAGGGTCACTATGGTACATCTGTGACACGTGTGACCTGACATTAAAGGGTCACTATGGTACATCTATGACACATGTGACCTGACCTGACATTAAAGGGTCACTATGGTACATCTGTGACACGTGTGACCTGACATTAAAGGGTCACTATGGTACATCTGTGACACGTGTGACCTGACATTAAAGGGTCACTATGGTACATCTGTGACACGTGTGACCTGACATTAAAGGGTCACTATGGTACATCTGTGACACATGTGACCTGACATTAAAGGGTCACTATGGTACATCTGTGACACATGTGACCTGACATTAAAGGGTCACTATGATACATCTGTGACACGTGTGACCTGACATTAAAGGGTCACTATGGTACATCTGTGACACGTGTGACCTGACATTAAAGGGTCACTATGATACATCTGTGACACGTGTGACCTGACATTAAAGGGTCACTATGATACATCTGTGACACATGTGACCTGACATTAAAGGGTCACTATGATACATCTGTGACACGTGTGACCTGACATTAAAGGGTCACTATGATACATCTGTGACACATGTGACCTGACATTAAAGGGTCACTATGATACATCTGTGACACATGTGACCTGACATTAAAGGGTCACTATGGTACATCTGTGACACATGTGACCTGACATTAAAGGGTCACTATGATACATCTGTGACACGTGTGACCTGACATTAAAGGGTCACTATGGTACATCTGTGACACGTGTGACCTGACATTAAAGGGTCACTATGGTACATCTATGACACATGTGACCTGACATTAAAGGGTCACTATGGTACATCTGTGACACGTGTGACCTGACATTAAAGGGTCACTATGGTACATCTGTGACACGTGTGACCTGACATTAAAGGGTCACTATGGTACATCTGTGACACGTGTGACCTGACATTAAAGGGTCACTATGGTACATCTGTGACACGTGTGACCTGACATTAAAGGGTCACTATGGTACATCTATGACACATGTGACCTGACATTAAAGGGTCACTATGGTACATCTGTGACACGTGTGACCTGACATTAAAGGGTCACTATGATACATCTGTGACACGTGTGACCTGACATTAAAGGGTCACTATGGTACATCTGTGACACGTGTGACCTGACATTAAAGGGTCACTATGATACATCTGTGACACGTGTGACCTGACATTAAAGGGTCACTATGGTACATCTGTGACACGTGTGACCTGACATTAAAGGGTCACTATGGTACATCTGTGACACGTGTGACCTGACATTAAAGGGTCACTATGATACATCTGTGACACGTGTGACCTGACATTAAAGGGTCACTATGATACATCTGTGACACGTGTGACCTGACATTAAAGGGTCACTATGGTACATCTGTGACACGTGTGACCTGACATTAAAGGGTCACTATGGTACATCTGTGACACGTGTGACCTGACATTAAAGGGTCACTATGGTACATCTGTGACACGTGTGACCTGACATTAAAGGGTCACTATGATACATCTGTGACACGTGTGACCTGACATTAAAGGGTCACTATGGTACATCTGTGACACGTGTGACCTGACATTAAAGGGTCACTATGGTACATCTGTGACACGTGTGACCTGACATTAAAGGGTCACTATGATACATCTGTGACACGTGTGACCTGACATTAAAGGGTCACTATGGTACATCTGTGACACGTGTGACCTGACATTAAAGGGTCACTATGGTACATCTATGACACGTGTGACCTGACATTAAAGGGTCACTATGGTACATCTGTGACACATGTGACCTGACATTAAAGGGTCACTATGGTACATCTGTGACACGTGTGACCTGACATTAAAGGGTCACTATGGTACATCTATGACACATGTGACCTGACATTAAAGGGTCACTATGGTACATCTATGACACGTGTGACCTGACATTAAAGGGTCACTATGGTACATCTATGACACATGTGACCTGACATTAAAGGGTCACTATGATACATCTGTGACACGTGTGACCTGACATTAAAGGGTCACTATGATACATCTGTGACACGTGTGACCTGACATTAAAGGGTCACTATGGTACATCTGTGACACGTGTGACCTGACATTAAAGGGTCACTATGATACATCTGTGACACGTGTGACCTGACATTAAAGGGTCACTATGGTACATCTGTGACACGTGTGACCTGACATTAAAGGGTCACTATGGTACATCTGTGACACGTGTGACCTGACATTAAAGGGTCACTATGGTACATCTGTGACACATGTGACCTGACATTAAAGGGTCACTATGGTACATCTGTGACACGTGTGACCTGACATTAAAGGGTCACTATGGTACATCTGTGACACATGTGACCTGACATTAAAGGGTCACTATGGTACATCTGTGACACGTGTGACCTGACATTAAAGGGTCACTATGGTACATCTATGACACGTGTGACCTGACATTAAAGGGTCACTATGATACATCTGTGACACGTGTGACCTGACATTAAAGGGTCACTATGGTACATCTGTGACACGTGTGACCTGACATTAAAGGGTCACTATGGTACATCTGTGACACATGTGACCTGACATTAAAGGGTCACTATGGTACATCTGTGACACGTGTGACCTGACATTAAAGGGTCACTATGGTACATCTATGACACATGTGACCTGACATTAAAGGGTCACTATGGTACATCTGTGACACGTGTGACCTGACATTAAAGGGTCACTATGATACATCTGTGACACATGTGACCTGACATTAAAGGGTCACTATGATACATCTGTGACACGTGTGACCTGACATTAAAGGGTCACTATGGTACATCTGTGACACGTGTGACCTGACATTAAAGGGTCACTATGGTACATCTGTGACACGTGTGACCTGACATTAAAGGGTCACTATGATACATCTATGACACGTGTGACCTGACATTAAAGGGTCACTATGGTACATCTGTGACACATGTGACCTGACATTAAAGGGTCACTATGATACATCTGTGACACGTGTGACCTGACATTAAAGGGTCACTATGATACATCTGTGACACGTGTGACCTGACATTAAAGGGTCACTATGGTACATCTGTGACACGTGTGACCTGACATTAAAGGGTCACTATGGTACATCTATGACACGTGTGACCTGACATTAAAGGGTCACTATGGTACATCTGTGACACGTGTGACCTGACATTAAAGGGTCACTATGGTACATCTGTGACACATGTGACCTGACATTAAAGGGTCACTATGGTACATCTGTGACACGTGTGACCTGACATTAAAGGGTCACTATGGTACATCTATGACACATGTGACCTGACATTAAAGGGTCACTATGGTACATCTATGACACGTGTGACCTGACATTAAAGGGTCACTATGGTACATCTATGACACATGTGACCTGACATTAAAGGGTCACTATGATACATCTGTGACACGTGTGACCTGACATTAAAGGGTCACTATGATACATCTGTGACACGTGTGACCTGACATTAAAGGGTCACTATGGTACATCTATGACACATGTGACCTGACATTAAAGGGTCACTATGGTACATCTGTGACACGTGTGACCTGACATTAAAGGGTCACTATGATACATCTGTGACATGTGTGACCTGACATTAAAGGGTCACTATGGTACATCTGTGACACGTGTGACCTGACATTAAAGGGTCACTATGGTACATCTATGACACATGTGACCTGACATTAAAGGGTCACTATGGTACATCTATGACACGTGTGACCTGACATTAAAGGGTCACTATGGTACATCTATGACACATGTGACCTGACATTAAAGGGTCACTATGGTACATCTGTGACACGTGTGACCTGACATTAAAGGGTCACTATGGTACATCTGTGACACATGTGACCTGACATTAAAGATGATACATCTGATTAATCTAAATTAAATATATATTAAATTAAATATAAACCGTAACAGAGAGAGTTGTCTCAAAGTCAAACGCAGCGGTGGAAACCTGTAGAGAACAAAACATCACAGTTTTAACACTTTTAACAAAATAAAATATGAAAAGGTCAAATGTATCCAACAAAATAAAGAGTCCAACAGTTTGGGCCTGAGCAGTTCAGACAAATACTATTTTACAGCTTCTAAGAACGGTGACACTTTGGTACACTTTGGTGCACTTTAGTGTCGGAGAACACACAATGGTGTGTAGCACATGTAAAGTCTTCCTGGTAATTATCCCTCCAGATGGTATGGCAGATTAGTTCTGTATTGTATCTATATAGCCTCAGCTGTAAAGTTAACACACAGACACACACAGACAGGCAGACACACACACACACACAGACAGACACACAGACACACACACAGATAAAGGGCCAGACTTACGGGAAGGGGATATTTCTAATTATGTTGTGTGTCTATTTGGATATCCTATAATATTTCTAATTTTATATAGATATATATTATGTACTTCTATCTCATATATATATATATAAAATATAGAGAGAGGTTCTCTCTCACAGAAAGAGGGTTCTCTCTCACAGAGCAGAGTTGTTTGTTCACATGTCACAAGACTTTTCCAACAAAGTCAGGGACCAGAGCTTTGAAGTCTTCATCAGAAGCAGTGAACATTTGCATCGATGTGGATCACGGAAACAAGGAAGTAACGGCTGCACAACTTTGCATCGATTTGAATGAAGCCACAAGCGTCAGACTGTAGAATGAACACATGTGGACAGTGCTTATTCTCTAGCTCGGTGCCGACCCGAACATGCTTATGGCTCCAAACATCAGCCTTAGTTGTCTGTGTGCAGCTCCTTTCAGTCCTGAGCTCATGTTTCCTCTCCACACAGAACTATTGTACATGTTATTAGTGGTAGGGGAAACCGGAGCACCTGGAGGAAACCTACACAGACCCAGAGAAACTCCACACAGAAGCCTTCAGGACCTTCTTGCTGTGGGTTAGGGTGCTTTAGAGAAACAAGCTCCAGTCGCACGTTGTTGAAAAATATTTATTTCACATAAAGTTAAAACAGATTTTTAAAAACATAAAATCTTTTTTTTTTTTTACATCAGAACAAACACACGTCTAAAACTGAAAATAAAACGTGTTAAATACATGTGACTAAAACCGTTTAGTCTTCTGTGTTTCAGACTTAAAACCTTAAGTCTTAAACACAGTCTGACGCTGCACATGGAGCCCCCTGCTGGACGAGTCTGGAACTGCACTGTCCTCTACTGTCATGAAGTCAGCTGTTCATTGCTATTCACCCGCTGTCCCACACGATTATGGGTCCTGGTCCTCGGCCCCGGGTCCATGGCCCCTGGTCCATGGCCCCTGGTCCATGGCTCCATGTGTTATGCATTTGTGTTTCAGTGATTCTCTGCTGTGGGTGTGCGCTACATAGATAAAGTCACTGCGGCCCGAAGATGGAGAGCAGCAGCGCGATGGCGCCGGTGAGCAGCACGATCATGAAGATGACGGCGGTGAGGAGGAAGGCACGACAGGCCGGACGATCTGTCAATCTGAACAGAGCTCCGCCCACTCCACCTCTGGCTCCGCCCCTGGGCACCGGACTGGGAAGCCCCACATCCAGAGAGCGCCGCCGCGAGCTCTGGGTCAGCGCCGAGTCAGGTCTGTGGAGAGGAGAGCCCGGTCAGTGCGGAGCAGCGGCAGTGCCTCCCTCTCTCTCCCCCCCTCTGGCCTCTCTCCCCCCCTCTGGCCTCTCTCCCCCCCCCCTCCCCCCTCTCACCTCTTGAGCTGCAGTCGTCCCCTGCTCCTCTGGAACCTGATGCTGTAGACCTTCTGCATGTTGAGGGGCAGGTGGTGCAGGATCCTGGGGTCTGTGCTGAGCTTGGGGGGTCCCAGGGGGGGCAGGGGGGTGGGTGTCCTGCAGAAGGGGCACAGGACCTGCCCGGGATCCTCCGCCTTCACGTTCATACGGGACAGACACTCCAGGCAGAAGGTGTGGCCACACTGCAGCCGCTTGGGGCAGCGGAAGGCGTTGTTGAAGCCACTGAAGCAGATGGCGCAGTCCAGGTCCAGGTCTGGGTCCAGATCTGGGTTCGGGTCCAGGTCTGGGTTTCGCACAGAGACCACAGAGACACGCCGGGTCTCATCCCCCGCCTCAAACTGCTCCAACTGGTCAACTACAGAAATGTTCAAAAATGTTAAATAGAAAAATAATGACACCATTTTCTGGACTCTCTCGGGCACGGTCTCAGACTGGATCCAGAAAGGACCATGTGGCCGCAGGATCCAGAAAGGACCATGTGGCTGCAGGATCCAGAAAGGACCATGTGGCCGCAGGATCCAGAAAGGACCATGTGGCCGCAGGATCCAGAAAGGACCATGTGGCCGCAGGATCCAGAAAGGACCATGTGGCAGCAGGATCAAACTGAACAGGAGCACAGATGACTCCCCCCATTTCCTCAAACCTTTCTGGAACCGGTTTGAGACCCCTGCCCTCAGGTCTCTCTCTCTCTGGTCGGTCTCTCTCTCGCGCGCGCTGGTCTCTCTCTCGCTGGTCTCGGTCTCTGGTCTCTCTCCGGCCTCTCTCTCCGGCCTCTCTCTCTCTCCGGCCTCTCCCTCTCTCCGGCCTCTCCCTCTCTCCGGCCTCTCCCTCTCTCCGGCCTCTCCCTCTCTCCGGCCTCTCTCTCTCTCCGGCCTCTCCCTCTCTCCGGCCTCTCCCTCTCTCCGGCCTCTCCCTCTCTCCGGCCTCTCCCTCTCTCCGGCCTCTCCCTCTCTCCGGCCTCTCCCTCTCTCCGGCCTCTCCCTCTCTCCGGCCTCTCCCTCTCTCCGGCCTCTCCCTCTCTCCGGCTCTCTCTCTCCGGCCTCTCCCTCTCTCCGGCCTCTCCCTCTCTCCGGCCTCTCCCTCTCTCCGGCCTCTCCCTCTCTCCGGCCTCTCCCTCTCTCCGGCCTCTCCCTCTCTCCGGCCTCTCTCTCTCTCTCCGGCCTCTCCCTCTCTCCGGCCTCTCCCTCTCTCCGGCCTCTCCCTCTCTCCGGCCTCTCCCTCTCTCCGGCCTCTCCCTCTCTCCGGCCTCTCCCTCTCTCCGGCCTCTCCCTCTCTCCGGCCTCTCCCTCTCTCCGGCCTCTCTCCTCTCTCTCCGGCCTCTCTCTCTCTCCGGCCTCTCCCTCTCTCCGGCCTCTCTCTCTCTCGGCCTCTCCTCTCGGCCTCTCTCTCTCTCCGGCCTCTCCCTCTCTCCGGCCTTCCCTCTCCCGGCCTCTCCCTCTCTCGCCTCTCTCTCTCTCCGGCCTCTCTCTCTCCGGCCTCTCTCTCTCCGGCCTCTCTCTCTCTCCGGCCTCTCCCTCTCTCCGGCCTCTCCCTCTCTCCGGCCTCTCCCTCTCTCCGGCCTCTCCCTCTCTCCGGCCTCTCCCTCTCTCCGGCCTCTCCCTCTCTCCGGCCTCTCTCTCTCTCCGGCCTCTCTCTCTCTCCGGCCTCTCCCTCTCTCCGGCCTCTCCCTCTCTCCGGCCTCTCCCTCTCTCCGGCCTCTCCCTCTCTCCCTCTCTCTGGTCTCTCTCGACAGGCTTGACTTAAACTATCCATTGAATTCAAACAGATATTTCCCTCCTTACCATTGATGCTCTCTGATTGGACGAGAGTAGCGTGGGGGTCGGGCCTTGGAAACACCAGTTCAGCGTACGGATTAGAGAGCCCCAATTGGTCCGTCTGGCATTGCAGGTCATGCTGAAGCTCCTCTGATTGGTCGTTGGGCAGAGGGGCGGGGCTAAGATGGATGGAGGGAGTGACATCATCGGTAGACAAGGAAGTGAGGTCATAGCGCGGCGTGAGGGTGATGTCACTGTACGGGTTCATGGTGAAGTCACCGAGACACGAGATCTACGAGAAAACACAGGAGCTGGAAACACGGCAGATTTATTTATATATAACAACTAGGCCTGTCGCGATAGTCAATAAATCAATTAATCGCACAATAAATAAAATTTGCTCAATAACTTTTCTGGCCGCGATAAATCCCATTTGCAGCTTGTTTGTTTTCCCCGTCTCTCTCGGGTCAGAGAGCCGCAAAGTGGTCACGGGAACATTAGCGGTCTAGCAAGCAGACGGAAATTATTCAAAAATACAAAATACAGCCAAAACAGGACCTAAACCAGGACTTAACCAGGATTGACAATGGGGGACACAGTAGTTGTGAACATATGCCGGCAGCTGAGTTCTCATTCAGGCTTGATTACTGACTATACTAGCGCAGCTAGCGTTAGCGTGTTTGCCGATGCAGAAGTACCGTACCATACCAATAAAATAAACTTATGGCGCACCTCCGTGAACACATACTGCTGTTTTATAAAGTCTCTAGCGCCCCGCTACTTCCGGTGGGCGCTACCGCAGCAGGACTTCTGTACGCCCCATTGGTGAACCCACATGTCAGTCACTTGTCATTCGCCTGGTGTGTGGGGAGGTGGGACTACTCCTGAGAGATCTTGTCTTAAGCCACACAAAGTCAACATGTTGGTATTTCTTTCTCGTAATCTGCCATAAAGTCTGAGAAATTATTGACATTTGAGGCATCCGTTTCATATTTTCTTTACAAAGGTCCTGGCAGTTTTATTCCTGGTCATTTTTTGTTAAGAGACTGAGTCTATTTTATTTATTGCTTTTGGTAGTTTGTTAATTTATTGTGTTCTAGCGTTAAATATTCGTTAAAAATAAAAGTTTATTTCTCTTTGAAAAGGTGTACCTGCATTATCATTGTAATCGATGCAAATGATCTCAGAACGACAATATAATCGCTTATCGCAATAATTTCTGAGACAATTAATCGTCCAGCAAAATTTGTAATCGAGACAGGCCTAATCGTGTTGCTACGGTAATCTGCAGTTACACGAATGAAGGCCTCTGATTGGTCAATCGTTAAATGGTCATATCTGGACAGAGACAATATCACATAAACAGTCTCTCTCTGGTCTCTCCCTCTCTCTGGTCTCTCCCTCTCTCTCTGGTCTCTCCCTCTCTCTCTGGTCTCTCCCTCTCTCTCTGGTCTCTCCCTCTCTCTCTGGTCTCTCTCTCTCTCTCTGGTCTCTCTCTCTCTCTCTGGTCTCTCTCTCTCTCTCTGGTCTCTCTCTCTCTCTCTGGTCTCTCTCTCTCTCTGGTCTCTCTCTCTCTCTGGTCTCTCTCTCTGGTCTCTCTCTCTCTCTCTGGTCTCTCTCTCTCTCTCTCTCTGGTCTCTCTCTCTCTCTCTGGTCTCTGGTGTCTCTCTCTGGTCTCTGGTGTCTCTCTCTGGTCTCTGGTGTCTCTCTCTGGTCTCTGGTGTCTCTCTCTGGTCTCTGGTGTCTCTCTCTGGTCTCTGGTGTCTCTCTCTGGTCTCTGGTGTCTCTCTCTGGTCTCTGGTGTCTCTCTCTGGTCTCTCTGGTCTCTCTCTCTGGTCTCTGGTCTCTCTCTCTGGTCTCTGGTCTCTCTCTCTGGTCTCTGGTCTCTCTCTCTGGTCTCTGGTCTCTCTCTCTGGTCTCTCTCTCTCTCTCTCTCTCTCTGGTCTCTTGGTCTCTCTCTCTGGTCTCTGGTCTCTCTCTCTCTGGTCTCGCTCTCTCTCTCTCTGGTCTCTCTCTCTGGTCTCTCTCTGGTCTCTCTCTGGTCTCTCTGGTTCTCTCTGGTCTCTCTCTGGTCTCTCTCTGGTCTCTCTCTGGTCTCTCTCTGGTCTCTCTCTGGTCTCTCTCTGGTCTCTCTCTGGTCTCTCTCTGGTCTCTCTCTGGTCTCTCTCTCTCTCTGGTCTCTCTCTCTGGTCTCTCTCTCTGGTCTCTCTCTCTGGTCTCTCTCTCTGGTCTCTGGTCTCTCTCTCTGGTCTCTCTCTCTCTCTCTCTCTCTCTCTGGTCTCTCTCTCTCTCTCTCTCTCTCTCTCTCTCTGGTCTCTCTCTCTCTCTCTCTCTCTGGTCTCTTGGTCTCTCTCTCTGGTCTCTGGTCTCTCTCTCTGGTCTCTCTCTCTCTGGTCTCCGCTCTCTCTCTGGTCTCTCTCTCTCTCTCTCTGGTCTCTCTCTCTCTGGTCTCTCTCTGGTCTCTCTCTCTCTGGTCTCTCTCTCTCTCTCTGGTCTCTCTCTCTGGTCTCTCTCTCTCTCTCTCTGGTCTCTCTCTCTCTGGTCTCTCTCTGGTCCCTCTCTCGTGTCTTACCTTGTTTGTGGCTCCTTCTCCGGTCACGCGCGTCCATCCCCGTGCGCGTGCAATCCCGTGGTCCCCTTGAGTGAAGTCAGGACACCAGGACTCAGACCAGGACCAGGACAGCTCGGACACTGGACACATGCACGAGCTCACCTGTGCGTGGACTGGAGCGCGCGCACAGGTGCAGATGCGTTGCTGATTGGACACGTGACTCCCACACACCCTTCTGTCCAATGAGAACACGCCAGACTCCTGCTGGTCCCTAAAGGGTCGAAAAGTGACGTCGGAGGCAGAACATTTGGCACTAAACCCAGTCTCTGTGTTCAAGACCCAAACAGTCGTTACTTCAGACTCAGGGAAGACTTAGAAATACATCTTTAACTTTAAAGCACTGCTATAGGGCCCCCTGCTGGACAAGTCTGGAACTGTGCAGCCTCAGTCCTGGGTCTACGGCCTCAGTCCTGGGTCTACGGCCTCAGTCCTGGGTCTACGGCCTCAGTCCTGGGTCTACAGCCTCAGTCCTGAAAATGTGATTAACCTATAAACCTAGATTTGAGTTTGAACTTAAACTTAAACTGTTGCAGAAATAAATGAAACATAGAAATATTTAGATTAAAAACTGTTATTTCTGTCGATCCTGAAGAAATCCCAAACAAAAAACACACTTAAAGTGCTGCTCTCTCTCTCTGGTCTCTCTCTGGTCTCTCTCTCTGGTCTCTCTCTGGTCTCTCTCTGGTCTCTCTCTCTGGTCTCTCTCTGGTCTCTCTCTCTGGTCTCTCTCTGGTCTCTCTCTGGTCTCTCTCTCTGGTCTCTCTCTCTGGTCTCTCTCTCTGGTCTCTGTCTCTGGTCTCTCTCTGGTCTCTCTCTCTGGTCTCTCTCTGGTCTCTCTCTCTGGTCTCTCTCTCTCTGGTCTCTCTCTCTGGTCTCTCTCTGGTCTCTCTCTAGTCTCTCTCTGGTCTTTCTCTGGTCTCTCTCTGGTCTCTATCTCTGGTCTCTCTCTCTGGTCTCTCTCTCTGGCCCCTCTCTGGTCTCTCTCTCTGGTCTCTCTCTGGTCTCTCTCTGGTCTCTCTCTGGTTTCTCTCTGATCTCTGGTTTTTCTCTGATCATGTTAGTCCCATATGAACCAGCCCGGACTCTGAGGAGCACAGGGACTGGACTCCTGCTGGGACTCTGAGGAGCACAGGGACTGGCCTCCTGCTGGGACTCTGAGGAGCACAGGGACTGGACTCCTGCTGGGACTCTGAGGAGCACAGGGACTGGACTCCTGCTGGGACTCTGAGGAGCACAGGGACTGGACTCCTGCTGGGACTCTGAGGAGCACAGGGACTGGACTCCTGCTGGGACTCTGAGGAGCACAGGGACTGGTCTCCTGCTGGGACTCTGAGGAGCACAGGGACTGGCCTCCTGCTGGGACTCTGAGGAGCACAGGGACTGGCCTCCTGCTGGGACTCTGAGGAGCACAGGGACTGGACTCCTGCTGGGATTCAGAGGAGCACAGGGACTGGACTCCTGCTGGGACTCTGAGGAGCACAGGGACTGGACTCCTGCTGGGACTCTGAGGCGCACAGGGACTGGACTCCTGCTGGGACTCTGAGGAGCACAGGGACTGGACTCCTGCTGGGACTCTGAGGAGCACAGGGACTGGACTCCTGCTGGGACTCTGAGGAGCACAGGGACTGGACTCCTGCTGGGACTCTGAGGAGCACAGGGACTGGACTCCTGCTGGGACTCTGAGGAGCACAGGGACTGGACTCCTGCTGGGACTCTGAGGAGCACAGGGACTGGCCTCCTGCTGGGACTCTGAGGAGCACAGGGACTGGACTCCTGCTGGGACTCTGAGGAGCACAGGGACTGGACTCCTGCTGGGACTCTGAGGAGCACAGGGACTGGACTCCTGCTGGGACTCTGAGGAGCACAGGGACTGGCCTCCTGCTGGGACTCTGAGGAGCACAGGGACTGGACTCCTGCTGGGACTCTGAGGAGCACAGGGACTGGACTCCTGTTAGTGCCCAGAGTCAGAACTAAACATGGGGAGGCTGCTTTTCAGATTCATGCTGCTAAAATCTGGAACAGTCTTCCTGAAGATGTGAGACAGGCCTCCTCTCTGGCAATGTTTAAAACCAGGTTAAAGACAGTTCTGTTTAGCTGTGCTACAACTGAGGGATTTTATATTTTTATCTTTCTTTTTAATGTTCTGTGATAATTTATGATTTTAATGCTTTCTTGTTTTGTTCAGCACTTTGAGTTGCCTTGTGTATGAATTGTGCTATATAAATAAACTTGCCTTGCCTTGCCTCTCTCTGGTCTCCCTCTCTGGTCTCTCTCTGGTCTCTCTCTGGTCTCTCTCTGGTCTCTCTCTGGTCTCTCTCTGATCTCTCTCTGGTCTCTCTCTGGTCTCTCTCTCTGGTCTCTCTCTGGTCTCTCTCTATGGTCTCTCTCTGGTCTCTCTTTGGTCTCTCTCTGGTCTCTCTCTCTCTCTGGTCTCTCTCTGGTCTCTCTCTGGTCTCTCTCTGGTCTCTCTCTGGTCTCTCTCTCTGGTCTCTCTCTGGTCTCTCTCTGGTCTCTCTATGGTCTCTCTCTGGTCTCTCTATGGTCTCTCTCTCTGGTCTCTCTCTGATCTCTCTCTGGTCTTTCTCTCTGGTCTCTCTCTGGTCTTTCTCTGGTCTCTCTCTCTGGTCTTTCTCTGGTCTCTCTCTCTGGTCTCTCTCTGGTCTCTCTCTGGTCTCTCTCTGGTCTCTCTCTCTGGTTTCTCTCTCTGGTCTCTCTCTGGTCTCTCTCTGGTCTCTCTCTGGTCTCTCTCTGGTCTCTCTCTGGTCTCTCTCTCTGGTCTCGCTCTGGTCTCTCTCTCTGGTCTCTCTCTGGTCTCTCTCTGGTCTCTCTCTGGTCTCTCTCTGGTCTCTCTCTCTGGTCTCTCTCTGGTCTCTCTCTCTGGTCTCTCTCTGGTCTCTCTCTCTGGCCTCTCTCTCTCTGGTCTCTCTCTCTGGTCTCTGTCTCTAGTCTCTCTCTGGTCTCTCTCTAATCTCTCTCTCTCTCTCTCTCTCTGGTCTCTCTCTCTCTGGTCTCTCTCTCTGGTCTCTCTCTCTCTCTCTGGTCTCTCTCTCTGGTCTCTCTCTCTGGTCTCTCTCTCTGGGTCTCTCTCTGGTCTCTCTGTGGTCTCTCTCTGGTCTCTCTCTGGTCTCTCTCTGGTCTCTCTCTGGTCTCTCTCTCTGGTCTCTCTCTGGTCTCTCTCTGGTCTCTCTCTGGTCTCTCTCGGTCTCTCTCTCTGGCCTCTCTCTCTCTGGTCTCTCTCTGGTCTCTCTCTCTGGTCTCTGTCTCTAGTCTCTCTCTGGTCTCTCTCTAGTCTCTCTCTCTCTCTCTCTCTGGTCTCTCTCTCTCTGGTCTCTCTCTCTGGTCTCTCTCTGGTCTCTCTCTGGTCTCTCTGTCTGGTCTCTCTCTCTGGTCTCTCTCTAGTCTCTCTCTGGTCTCTCTCTGGTCTCTCTCTGGTCTCCCTCTCTGGTATCTCTCTGGTCTCTCTCTCTGGTCTCTCTCTCTGGCCCCTCTCTGGTCTCTCTCTAGTCTCTCTCTGGTCTCTCTCTGGTCTCTCTCTGGTCTCTCTCTGGTCTCTCTTTGGTCTCTCTCTGGTCTCTCTCTCTGGTCTCTCTCTGGTGTCTCTCTGGTCTCTCTCTGGTCTCTCTATGGTCTCTCTCTCTGGTCTCTCTCTGGTCTCTCTCTGGTCTCTCTCTGGTCTCTCTCTGGTCTCGCTCTGGTCTCTCTCTGGTCTCTCTCTGGTCTCTCTCTGGTCTCTCTCTGGTCTCTCTCTCTGGTCTCGCTCTGGTCTCTCTCTCTGGTCTCTCTCCGGTCTCTCTCTCTGGCCTCTCTCTCTCTGGTCTCTCTCTGGTCTCTCTCTCTGGTCTCTGTCTCTAGTCTCTCTCTGGTCTCTCTCTAGTCTCTCTCTCTCTCTCTCTGGTCTCTCTCTCTGGTCTCTCTCTGGTCTCTCTCTGGTTTCTCTGTCTGGTCTCTCTCTCTGGTCTCTCTCTAGTCTCTCTCTGGTCTCTCTCTGGTCTCTCTCTGGTCTCTCTCTGGTCTCTCTCTGGTCTCTCTCTGGTCTCCCTCTCTGGTATCTCTCTGGTCTCTCTCTCTGGTCTCTCTCTCTGGCCCCTCTCTGGTCTCTCTCTGGTCTCCCTCTCTGGTCTCTCTCTGGTCTCTCTCTCGTGTCTCTCTCTCTGGTCTCTCTCTGGTCTCTCTCTCTTTGGTCTCTCTCTGGTCTCTCTCTGGTCTCTCTTTGGTCACTCTCTGGTCTCTCTCTCTGGTCTCTCTCTCTGGTCTCTCTCTGGTCTCTCTCTCTTTGGTCTTGCTCTGGTCTCTCTCTGGTCTCTCTCTCTTTGGTCTCGCTCTGGTCTCTCTCTGGTCTCTCTCTCTGGTCTCTCTCTGGTCTCTCTTTGGTCACTCTCTGGGCTCTCTCTCTGGTCTCTCTCTGGTCTCTCTCTCTTTGGTATCTCTCTGGTGTCTCTCTGGTCTCTGTCTCTAGTCTCTCTCTCTGGTCTCTCTCTGGTCTCTCTCTCTCTCTCTGGTCTCTCTCTCTCTCTGGTCTCTCTCTGGTCTCTCTCTCTGGTCTCTCTCTCTGGTCTCTCTCTGGTCTCTCTCTCTGGTCTCTCTCTGGTCTCTCTCTTTGGTCTCTCTCTGGTCTCTCTCTCTCTCTGGTCTCTCTCTCTGGTCTCTCTCTGGTGTCTCTCTGGTCTCTCGCTCTGGTCTCTCTCTGGTCTCTCTCTCTCTCTGGTCTCTCTCTGGTCCCTCTCTCTCTGGTCTCTCTCTCTGGTCTCTCTCTGGTCTCTCTCTGGTCTCTCTTTGGTCTCTCTCTGGTCTCTCTCTGGTCTCTCTCTCTCTCTGGCCCCTCTCTGGTCTCTCTCTCTGGTCTCTCTCTGGTCTCTCTCTCTGGTCTCTCTCTCGGGTCTCTCTCTCTGGTCTCTCTCTCTGGTCTCTCTCTCTCTGGTCTCTCTCTGGTCTCTCTCTCTAGTCTCTCTCTCTGGTCTCTCTCTTTGGTCTCTTTCTCTGGTCTCTCTCTCTGGTCTCGCTCTGGTCTCTCTCTCTGGTCTCTCTTTGATCCCTCTCTGGTCTCTCTCTCTGGTCTCTCTCTCTGGTCTCTCTCTCTGGTCTCTCTTTGGTCTCTCTCTCTGGTCTCTCTCTGGTCTCTCTCTGGTCTGTCTTTGGTCTCTCTCTGGTCTCTTTCTGGTCTCTTTCTCTGGTCTCCCTCTGGTCTCCCTCTCTGGTCTCTCTCTCTGGTCTCTCTCTGGTCTCTCTCTCTGGTCTCTCTCTGGTCTCTCTTTGGTCTCTCTCTGGTCTCTCTCTCTGGTCTCTCTCTCTGGTCTCTCTCTTTGGTCTCTCTCTCTGGTCTCTCTCTCTGGTCTCTCTTTGGTCTCTCTCTGGTCTCTCTTTGGTCTCTCTCTCTGGTCTCTCTCTCTGGTCTCTCTTTGGTCTCTCTCTGGTCTCTCTCTGGTCTCTCTTTGGTCTCTCTCTGGTCTCTTTCTGGTCTCTCTCTCTGGTCTCTCTCTGGTCTCCCTCTCTGGTCTCTCTCTCTGGTCTCTCTCTGGTCTCTCTCTCTGGTCTCTCTCTGGTCTCTCTTTGGTCTCTCTCTGGTCTCTCTCTCTGGTCTCTCTCTCTGGTCTCTCTCTTTGGTCTCTCTCTCTGGTCTCTCTCTCTGGTCTCTCTTTGGTCTCTCTCTGGTCTCTCTTTGGTCTCTCTCTGGTCTCTCTCTCTGGTCTCTCTCTCTGGTCTCTCTCTTTGGTCTCTCTCTCTGGTCTCTCTCTCTGGTCTCTCTCTGGTCTCTCTCTCTAGTCTCTCTCTGGTCTCTCTCTGGTCTCTCTCTCTGGTCTCTCTCTCTGGTCTCTCTCTCGGGTCTCTCTCTCTGGTCTCTCTCTCTGGTCTCTCTCTCTCTGGTCTCTCTCTGGTCTCTCTCTCTAGTCTCTCTCTCTGGTCTCTGTCTTTGGTCTCTTTCTCTGGTCTCTCTCTCTGGTCTCGCTCTCTCTCTCTCTGGTCTCTCTTTGATCTCTCTGGTCTCTCTCTCTGGTCTCTCTCTCTGGTCTCTCTCTCTGGTCTCTCTCTCTGGTCTCTCTCTTTGGTCTCTCTCTGGTCTCTCTCTGGTCTCTCTTTGGTCTCTCTCTGGTCTCTTTCTGGTCTCTCTCTCTGGTCTCTCTCTGGTCTCACTCTCTGGTCTCTCTCTCTGGTCTCTCTCTGGTCTCTCTCTCTGGTCTCTCTCTGGTCTCTCTTTGGTCTCTCTCTGGTCTCTCTCTCTGGTCTCTCTCTTTGGTCTCTCTCTCTGGTCTCTCTCTGGTCTCTCTTTGATCTCTCTCTGGTCTCTCTTTGGTCTCTCTCTGGTCTCTCTCTCTGGTCTCTCTCTCTGGTCTCTCTCTTTGGTCTCTCTCTCCGGTCTCTCTCTCTTTGGTCTCTCTGGTCTCTTTCTGGTCTCTCTCTCTGGTCTCTCTCTGGTCTCTCTCTCTGGTCTCTCTCTGGTCTCTCTTTGGTCTCTCTCTGGTCTCTCTCTCTGGTCTCTCTCTCTGGTCTCTCTCTGGTCTCTCTCTGGTCTCTCTCTTTGGTCTCTCTCTCTGGTCTCTCTATGGTCTCTCTCTGGTCTCTCTCTCTCTCTCTGGTCTCTCTCTGGTCTCTCTCTGTGGTCTCTCTATGGTCTCTCTCTGGTCTCTCTTTGGTCTCGCTCTGGTCTCTCTCTCTGGTCTCTCTCTGGTCTCTCTCTGGTCTCTCTCTGGTCTCTCTATGGTCTCTCTCTCTGGTCTCTCTCTGGTCTCTCTCTGGTCTCTCTCTGGTCTCTCTCTGGTCTCTCTCTCTGGTCTCGCTCTGGTCTCTCTCTGGTCTCTCTCTGGTCTCTCTCTGGTCTCTCTCTGGTCTCTCTCTCTGGTCTCGCTCTGGTCTCTCTCTGGTCTCTCTCTGGTCTCTCTCTGGTCTCTCTCTGGTCTCTCTCTCTGGTCTCTCTCCGGTCTCTCTCTCTGGCCTCTCTCTCTCTGGTCTCTCTCTGGTCTCTCTCTGGTCTCTCTCTGGTCTCTCTCTCTCTCTCTATCTGGTCTCTCTCTCTCTGGTCTCTCTCTCTGGTCTCTCTCTGGTCTCTCTCTGGTCTCTCTGTCTGGTCTCTCTCTCTGGTCTCTCTCTAGTCTCTCTCTGGTCTCTCTCTGGTCTCCCTCTCTGGTATCTCTCTGGTCTCTCTCTCTGGTCTCTCTCTCTGGCCCCTCTCTGGTCTCTCTCTAGTCTCTCTCTGGTCTCTCTCTGGTCTCTCTCTGGTCTCTCTCTGGTCTCTCTCTGGTCTCTCTCTGGTCTCTCTCTCAGAATCAGAATCAGAATCAGAATCATTTTTATTGCCAACGTAAGTAACAGGAGGTCACAGACTTGGAAATTGCTTTGGCTCAGTGCAACAGTCAAAAAGAGATAATAAAAATAAGAATAAAAAACACTTCTAAAGAATAAAAAATTTAAATTTAAAATAAAGTTACAGTTACTATTTACAATATACAAGTGCACATGGTGCACACAATGTAAGGTGACAGCAGTACAGTGAAGTAAAGTGACGTATGATGGGCAGTAAAGTGACTTTATAAAGGGCGGGGACAGGTTAAGAAGTGTTCAAGAGTCCAACAGCAGAGGGGAAGAAACTGTTCTTGTGGCGGGAGGTTCTAGTCCTGATGGACCGCAGCCTCCTGCCTGAGGGGAGTGGTTGGAATAGTCCATGTGCAGGGTGAGAGGGGAGTGGTTGGAATAGTCCATGTGCAGGTGAGAGGGGAGTGGTTGGAATAGTCCATGTGCAGGTGAGAGGGGAGTGGTTGGAATAGTCCATGTGCAGGTGAGAGGGGAGTGGTTGGAATAGTCCATGTGCAGGTGAGAGGGGAGTGGTTGGAATAGTCCATGTGCAGGTGAGAGGGGAGTGGATGGAATAGTCCATGTGCAGGTGAGAGGGGAGTGGTTGGAATAGTCCATGTGCAGGTGAGAGGGGAGTGGTTGGAATAGTCCATGTGCAGGTGAGAGGGGAGTGGTTGGAATAGTCCATGTGCAGGTGAGAGGGGTCGGCTGTGATACGACCAGCCCGGCCTCGAGCTCGGGCGACGTACAGGTCCTGCAGCGATGGAAGGCTGCGGCCGATCACTTCCTCTGCAGAGCGCACAATGCACTGTAGTCTCTGTTTGTCCCTGACTGTGGCTCCAGCGAACCACACGGTGACGGAGGAGGTGATGGAGGAGGTGCTGGAGGAGGTGATGGAGGAGGTGCTGGAGGAGGTGATGGAGGAGGTGATGGAGGAGGTGATGGAGGAGGTGATGGAGGAGGTGATGGAGGAGGTGATGGAGGAGGTGATGGAGGAGGAGATGGAGGAGGTGATGGCCGTGTAGAACTGCAGCTTGGCTTTCCTGAGCTGCCGCAGGAAGTACATCCTCTGCTGGGCCTTCTTGATGAGGAGCTGATGGTCGGCTCCCACTTGAGGTCCTGGGTGATGGTGGTGCCCAGGAAACGGAAGGACTCCACAGAGGTGATGGGGGAGTCCATCACGGAGGGTGGGGGCGGGGGGACAGTGCTCTTCCTGAAGTCCACAATCATCTCCACTGTCTTCTGGGCGTTCAGCTCCAGGTTGTTACCACTGCACCAGGACACCAGCCGGTCCACCTCCCTCCTGTAGGAGACACCAGGACACCAGCCGGTCCACCTCCCTCCTGTAGGAGACACCAGGACACCAGCCGGTCCACCTCCCTCCTGTAGGAGACACCAGGACACCAGCCGGTCCACCTCCCTCCTGTAGGAGACACCAGGACACCAGCCGGTCCACCTCCCTCCTGTAGGAGACACCAGGACACCAGCCGGTCCACCTCCCTCCTGTAGGAGACACCAGGACACCAGCCGGTCCACCTCCCTCCTGTAGGAGACACCAGGACACCAGCCGGTCCACCTCCCTCCTGTAGGAGACACCAGGACACCAGCCGGTCCACCTCCCTCCTGTTGGAGACACCAGGACACCAGCCGGTCCACCTCCCTCCTGTAGGAGACACCAGGACACCAGCCGGTCCACCTCCCTCCTGTAGGAGACACCAGGACACCAGCCGGTCCACCTCCCTCCTGTAGGAGACACCAGGACACCAGCCGGTCCACCTCCCTCCTGTAGGCGGACTCATCGTTGTTGGAGATGAGTCCAATGAGGGTGGTGTTGTCCGCGAACTTGATCAGCTTCACGGAGTCGTGGCTGGAGGTGCAGTGGTTGGTGTACAGGGAGAAGAGCAGGGGAGAAAGAACACAGCCCTGTGGGGCTCCTGTATTTATAATCCGAGAGTCCGAGACATTCTTCCCCAGACGCACTCGCTGCTTCCTGTCCGTCAGGAAGTCAGTGATCCACCTGCAGGTGGAATCGGGCACGTTGAGCTGGGAGAGCTTGTCCTGGAGCAGGGATGGCAGGATTGTGTTGAAGGCAGAGCTGAAGTCCACGAACAGGACCCTGGCGTAGGTCCCCGGGGAGTCCAGGTGCTGTAGGATGTGGTGGAGGGCCAGGTTAATGGCGTCGTCTACAGATCTGTTGGCTCTGTAGGCGAACTGCAGGGGATCCAGGAGGGGGGAGGTGAAGGACTTGAGATGGGAGAGAACCAGGCGTTCAAATGACTTCATGACGACAGACGTAAGTGCTACAGGTCTGTAGTCATTGAGTCCTGTGATCCTGGGCTTCTTCGGGACGGGGACAATGATGGAGGATTTGAAGCAGGCCGGGACATGGCAGGACTGCAGAGAGGTGTTGAAAATGTCCGTGAACACAGGAGTAAGCTCACTGGCGCAGTGTCTCAGAGTGGCCGGAGACACGTGGTCCGGGCCAGGAGCTTTGCGGGGGTGCAGCCTCAGGAAGAGTTGTTTAATCTCTTTAGAGGCTATTGTTAGGCTGGGGGCAGGGCTGATGGGTGGGTCGTTAGAGTAGTGGGGGGTGGGGGAGGTGTCAGGGGCAGCATCAAAGCGACTGAAAAATAAGTTCAGTTCGTCAGCTAGCTTGTGGTCATCAGCACAGGGGGGGGCTTTGGGTTTGTAGTTGGTGATCTCCCGTAGGCCCCTCCAGACAGAAGCAGTATCGTTGTTACCAAACTGCTCCTGTAGTCATTCTCTGTGCCGGGACTTGGCTGCTTTCAGTTCTTTCCTGAAATGGAGCTTAAGCGGAGGTTCAGGATGGTAGACTACCTACGTTATCACGCCAGGCTTGACCACGCCTTACTCAGCCTGTCTTAATCAACTCCCCGCAGCCGTGTCAATCAAGCCAGCGTTTAAGAGCAAAGCAGAGCACAGCTCACCAAACGGACTTCAAGCTGCAATGGGCTGCTCTTCGTCACCTTGTTACTCACGCCTCGCACATTGTTCGTCCTGCATGGTCGCGGCTCCTCTTCAACATCACATGTTTGGGGCTGCGCGCCATGGTCGCTGTGTCTCCACCGCGGGTCCTCTCCTGCGGACTCGCTGCCGCTCGTCTCCCCGTGGCCGCTGCGCTCGCGGCCAGGCTCCGCGCACCCTGCCGCTTCCATACCGGGAACGGGACTTCTGTCTGCCTGCCGTCGTCTGCTGCCTCTGTCCACCCGTCTCCCTGCCTCCACTCACGGTACAGTGTCCGTTTCGTTGTTTTCCCCACTACCATGAACTGCACTGAACTGCGGCGTGTCAGTTAATCCCGCCGAATTGGCTCGCAGGCTGTGTTTTTACCCGATGCATTGTCTGCAGGCTGTTCGTTTTACCATCTGCACTGGCATTTAGACCGTCCGTTTTCACCATGGACCGCACATTTTAACCACTGTATTGGCCTTCTGGCTGTCCGTTTTACTCATGGGATGAACATTCTACACAATGCAGTGACCTCCAGGCTGTCCGTTTGACTATGGTCTGAACATTTACCCACTGCATTGACCTTCAGGCTGTCAGTTGTAACCATGGACTATAACATTTGTCGTCTGCTTGGCCTTTGCGCTGTCTATTTGACCGTGGACTGTAAGTTTTGCCCACTGCATTGCCTCCCGGCTGTCCGTGTCTGATGAGCTGCTCTGATTGGTCGGAGCGCGGCCGAGCCCCTCTGTACTGTTCGACAACCAGCACTTTTAACCAGTGCGTTGGCCTTCAGGCATGCTTCAACGGCCTCACTTCAACGCTTCATCGCAGCACACGTCGGCGGCCGCACACTTCAACGCCCACACGCTTCGCCGACGCCACTTCGGTGGCCGCACGCTTCGGTGACGCCGCTTCGGTGACGCCACTTCGGTGGCCGCACGCTTCGACGACGCTTCGACGACTCCACGCTTCGACTCCTCCTCCACGCTTCGACTCCTCCTCCACGCTTCGACTCCTCCTCCACGCTTCGACTCCTCCTCCACGCTTCGACTCCTCCTCCACGCATCGACGACGGCGCACGCATCGACGAAGGCGCACGCATCGACGAAGACGCACGCATTGACGGAGAGAGAGAGAGAGAGACCAGAGAGAGACCAGAGAGAGACCAGAGAAAGAGACCAGAGAGAGACCAGAGAGAGACCAGAGAGAGAGACCAGAGAGAGACCAGAGAGAGACCAGAGAGAGAGACAGAGAGAGACCAGAGAGAGACCAGAGAGAGAGACCAGAGAGAGACCAGAGAGAGACCAGAGAGAGAGACCAGAGAGAGACCAGAGAGAGAGACCAGAGAGAGACCAGAAAGAGACCAGAGAGAGACCAGAGAGAGAGACCAGAGAGAGACCAGAGAGAGAGACCAGAGAGAGACCAGAGAGAGACCAGAGAGAGAGACCAGAGAGAGACCAGAGAGAGACCAGAGAAAGAGACCAGAGAGAGACCAGAGAGAGAGACCAGAGAGAGACCAGAGAGAGAGACCAGAGAGAGAGACAGGAGAGAGAAACCAGAGAGAAACCAGAGAGAAACCAGAGAGAAACCAGAGAGAGACCAGAGCGAGACCAGAGAGAGAGACCAGAGAGAGACCAGAGAGAGACCGGAGCCAGACCAGAGCGAGACCAGAGCCAGACCAGAGAGAGACCAAAGAGAGACCAGAGAGAGACCAGAGAGAGAGACCAGACAGAGACCAGAGAGAGACCAGAGCGAGACCAGAGCCAGACCAGAGAGAGACCAGAGAGAGACCAGAGAGAGACCAGAGAGAGAGACCAGACAGAGACCAGAGAGAGACCAGACAGAGACCAGAGAGAGACCAGAGAGAGACCAGAGAGAGACCAGAGAGAGACCAGAGAGAGACCAGACAGAGACCAGACAGAGACCAGAGAGAGACCAGACAGAGACCAGACAGAGACCAGAGAGAGACCAGAGAGAGACCAGAGAGAGACCAGAGAGAGACCAGAGAGAGACCAGAGAGAGACCGGAGCGAGACCAGAGAGAGAGACCAGAGAGACCAGAGAGAGAGAGACCAGAGAGAGACCAGAGAGAGACCAGAGAGAGACCAGAGAGAGACCAGAGAGAGACCAGAGAGAGACCAGAGAGAGACCAGAGAGAGACCAGAGGGAGACCAGAGAGAGACCAGAGAGAGACCAGAGAGAGACCAGAGAGAGACCAGAGAGAGACCAGAGAGAGACCAGAGGGAGACCAGAGAGAGACCAGAGAGAGACCAGAGAGAGACCAGAGAGAGACCAGAGCGAGACCAGAGAGAGACCAGAGAGAGAGACCAGAGAGAGACCAGAGAGAGACCAGAGAGAGACCAGAGAGAGACCAGACAGTAGTGACAGTAGTGACAGCAGAGAGAGACCAGAGAGAGACCAGAGAGAGAGACCAGAGAGAGACCAGAGAGAGACCAGAGAGAGACCAGAGAGAGACCAGAGAGACCAGAGAGAGAGACCAGAGAGAGACCAGAGAGAGAGACCAGAGAGAGACCAGAGAGAGACCAGAGAGAGACCAGAGAGAGACCAGACAGTAGTGACAGTAGTGACAGCAGAGAGAGACCAGAGAGAGACCAGAGAGAGAGACCAGAGAGAGACCAGAGAGAGACCAGAGAGAGACCAGAGAGAGACCAGAGAGAGACCAGAGAGAGACCAGAGAGAGACCAGAGGGAGACCAGAGAGAGACCAGAGAGAGAGACCAGAGAGAGACCAGAGAGAGACCAGAGAGAGACCAGAGAGAGACCAGAGGGAGACCAGAGAGAGACCAGAGAGAGACCAGAGAGAGACCAGAGAGAGACCAGAGCGAGACCAGAGAGAGACCAGAGAGAGAGACCAGAGAGAGACCAGAGAGAGACCAGAGAGAGACCAGAGAGAGACCAGACAGTAGTGACAGTAGTGACAGCAGAGAGAGACCAGAGAGAGACCAGAGAGAGAGACCAGAGAGAGACCAGAGAGAGACCAGAGAGAGACCAGAGAGAGAGACCAGAGAGAGAGACCAGAGAGAGACCAGAGAGAGACCAGAGAGAGACCAGAGAGAGACCAGAGAGAGACCAGACAGTAGTGACAGTAGTGACAGCAGAGAGAGTAGTGACTTCCGAACCTGAATCTGTAGAATGCTTACTTAATGTACGCTACATGTTCAAGCATCCAGTCACGTGATTACGTTTAGAGTAACGTCATACGTCATACGTCAAAGTGAATCCCGTCTTTAGTGTGTTTTGATTAAAGATACATAACACAGACATATACAATGTATATATATGTGTAATCGCAGTTTTCAGTATTTCTGCGGGCACAAAAACAACTACGTTAAAAGTATTTGTAAAACTGTGAGTAGCCCGAGCACACAGCAGGGGGCGCCACCTCATAATCCTCCCGTTCATCTGAGAGGGACTTCCGGGAGCACACAGCAGGGGGCGCCACCTCATAATCCTCCCGTTCATCTGAGAGGGACTTCCGGGAGCACACAGCAGGGGGCGCCACCTCATAATCCTCCCGTTCATCTGAGAGGGACTTCCGGGAGCACACAGCAGGGGGCGCCACCTCATAATCCTCCCGTTCATCTGAGAGGGACTTCCGGGAGCAGGAAAAGGAGCCAAAGCACGGAGCTCACACTTCTACACGTCCATCAGAGACTGCAGCCGCAGAGATGGTGGGACTCCCTCTGCATTCTACATTTAGACTTTAGTTATATATATTTATATTCATTCACCAGTCTCCTACCCCGGGTTTGAGCAGAAAGACCACTCACAGCTAGCTCATGTTAGCATCCCGGGCTGTAGACCCAGGACTGAGGCTGTAGACCCAGGACTGAGGCTGTAGACCCAGGACTGAGGCTGTAGACCCAGGACTGAGGCTATAGACCCAGGACTGAGGCTATAGACCCAGGACTGAGGCTGTAGACCCAGGACTGAGGCTGTAGACCCAGGACTGAGGCTGTAGACCCAGGACTGAGGCTGTAGACCCAGGACTGAGGCTGTAGACCCAGGACTGAGGCTGTAGACCCAGGACTGAGGCTGTAGACCCAGGACTGAGGCTGTAGACCCAGGACTGAGGCTGTAGACCCAGGACTGAGGCTGTAGACCCAGGACTGAGGCTGTAGACCCAGGACTGAGGATGTAGACCCAGGACTGAGGCTGTAGACCCAGGACTGAGGCTGTAGACCCAGGACTGAGGCTGTAGACCCAGGACTGAGGCTGTAGACCCAGGACTGAGGATGTAGACCCAGGACTGAGGATGTAGACCCAGGACTGAGGCTGTAGACCCAGGACTGAGGCTGTAGACCCAGGACTGTAGACCCAGGACAGTAATGGTTCTGTTTCTTTCAGCTTCCTTTGTCGCTGCTGAAGACGGCCCAGAATCATCCCATGGTGAGAAAATACATCTATTAAAGAAACGTGACCTAAAACGCAGCTTTGGTTATTTAAATCCTCAGATACACCGCCATTGCCTTCCCCTCAGTCTTCGGATGGCCACACCTAGCCCCTCCCCCTGCTCCCACCTAGCCCCTCCCCCTGCTCCCACCTAGCCCCTCCCCCTGCTCCCACCTAGCCCCTCCCCCTGCTCCCACCTAGCCCCTCCCCCTGCTCCCACCTAGCCCCTCCCCCTGCTCCCACCTAGCCCCTCCCCCTGCTCCCACCTAGCCCCTCCCCCTGCTCCCACCTAGCCCCTCCCCCTGCTCCCACCTAGCCCCTCCCCCTGCTCACACCTAGCCCCTCCCCCTGCTCACACCTAGCCCCTCCCCCTGCTCACACCTAGCCCCTCCCCCTGCTCCCACCTAGCCCCTCCCCCTAGGAGACTGAAGCAGGAACTACACATCTTTCTTCCATAGTATTGTTTGAGCTCGGTCTGGACCATGGGTCTGGACCATGGGTCTGGACCATGAGTCTGGACCATGAGTCTGGACCATGGGTCTGGACCATGGGTCTGGACCATGAGTCTGGACCATGGGTCTGGACCATGGGTCTGGACCATGGGTCTGGACCATGGGTCTTAAACTCGACGGCTGTGGAACCATGAAGCGGGTTATGTTCATCACACGTTTGTGTGTGGGCTCATTGTTTATGGTCATTTACATGTTCGGTTGTTCTTGATGACCCAGTCCTGATGAAACCTGTTTGTTGCAGTTGGTGGAGCTGAAAAATGGTGAAACTTATAATGGACACTTGGTGAGCTGCGACAACTGGATGAACATCAACCTGCGAGAGGTCATCTGCACGTCCAGGGTGAGGATCCTCTCTGGTCTGGACCAGTCTGGACCAGTGTAAAACCATGAATCCTCTGCAGTTTCCAGAACATTCTAAAGTAATAAATAGTCAGAAAAGGAGAGAGTTTTGCTCAATCGTATAATAATTTAAAAAACATTTCTTTTACCTAAAATGTATTAAGTCTCTGGGTCCTCTCTGGTCCCTCTCTCTGGTCCCACCCTGGTCTGTCCCTGGTGTCTCTCTTTCTGGTCCCTCTCTGGTCTCCCTCTCTGGTCTCTCTCTGGTCTCTCTCTCTGGTCTCTCTCTCTGGTCTCTCTGGTCTCTCTCTCTGGTCTCTCTCTGGTCTCTCTCTCTGGTCCCTCTCTGGTCTCTCTCTCTGGTCCCTCTCTGGTCCCTCTCTGGTCTCTCTCTGGTCTCTCTCTGGTCCCTCTCTGGTCCCTCTCTGGTCTCTCTCTCTGGTCTCTCTCTGGTCTCTCTCTGGCCTCTCTCTCTGGTCTCTCTCTGGTCTCTCTCTGGTCTCTCTCTGGTCTCTCTCTCTGGTCTCTCTCTCTGGTCTCTCTCTCTGGTCTGTCCCTGGTCTGTCCCTGGTCTGTCCCTGGTCTGTCCCTGGTCTGTCCCTGGTGTCTCCCTGGTCCCTCTCTGGTCCCTCTCTGGTCTCTCTCTGGTCTCTCTCTGGCCTCTCTGGTCTCTCTCTCTGGTCTCTCTCTCTGGTCTCTCTCTCTGGTCTCTCTCTCTGGTCTCTCTCTCTGGTCTCTCTCTCTGGTCTCTCTCTCTGGTCTCTCTCTCTGGTCTCTCTCTCTGGTCTCTCTCTGGTGTCTCCCTGGTCTCTCCCTGGTGTCTCTCTGGTCTCTCTCTCTGGTCTCTCTCTGGTCTCTCTCTGGTCTCTCTCTCTGGTCTGTCCCTGGTCTGTCCCTGGTGTCTCCCTGGTCTCTCCCTGGTGTCTCTCTGGTCTCTCTCTCTGGTCTCTCTCTCTGGTCTCTCTCTGGTCTCTCTCTCTCTGGTCTCTCTCTCTGGTCTCTCTCTCTGGTCCCTCCCTGGTCTGTCCCTGGTCTGTCCCTGGTCTGTCCCTGGTCTGTCCCTGGTCTGTCCCTGGTCTGTCCCTGGTCTGTCCCTGGTCTGTCCCTGGTCTGTCCCTGGTGTCTCCCTGGTGTCTCTCTGGTCTCTCTCTCTGGTCTCTCTCTGGTCTCTCCCTGTTCCCTCCCTGGTGTCCTTCTGGTCTCAGGATGGAGATAAGTTCTGGAGGATGCCTGAGTGCTACATCAGGGGCAGTACCATAAAGTACCTGAGGATCCCTGATGAGATCATCGACATGGTGAAGGAGGAGGTGCTGTCCAAGGGGAGGGGCCGAGGAGGAGGCGCACAGCAGAACAAGCAGATGGGCAAAGGAAGAGGAGGCCCAGGCCGAGGTAAGGAGACCATGGGGAGAGACCAGCATGTCTCTCTCTCATGTCTCTCTCTCTCATGTCTCTCTCTCATGTCTTCTCATGTCTCTCTCTCTCATGTCTCTCTCTCTCTCATGTCTCTCTCTCTCATGTCTCTCTCTCTCATGTCTCTCTCTCTCTCATGTCTCTCTCTCTCATGTCTCTCTCTCTCTCATGTCTCTGTCTCATGTCTCTCTCTCTCATGTCTCTGTCTCATGTCTCTCTCTCTCATGTCTCTGTCTCATGTCTCTCTCTCTCATGTCTCTCTCTCATGTCTCTGTCTCTCATGTCTGTCTCTCTCTCTCTCTCTGTCTCTGTCTCTCATGTCTCATATGTCTCTCTCATGTCTCTGTCTCTCATGTCTCTATCATGTCTCTGTCTCTCTCTCTCATGTCTGTCTCTCTCATGTATCTGTCTCTCATGTCTCTGTCTCTCTCTCTCATGTATCTGTCTCTCATGTCTCTGTCTCTCTCTCTCTCTCATGTCTCTCTCTCATGCCTCTCTCTCTCGTGTCTCTCTCTCATGTCTCTCTGTCATCTCTCTGAGACATGACATGTCTGTCATGTCTCTCTCTCTCATGTCTCATGTCTCTCTCTCTCATGTCTGTCTCTCTCTCTTATGTCTCTGTCTCTCATGTCTCTGTCTGTAATGTCTCTGTCATGTCTCTCTCTCTCATGTCTGTCTCATGTCTGTCTCTCTCATGTCTCTGTCTCTCATGTCTGTCTCTCGTGTCTCTGTCTCTCATGTCTGTCTCTGTCATGTCTCTCTCTCTCATGTCTGTCTCATGTCTGTCTCTCTCATGTCTCTGTCTCTCATGTCTGTCTCTGTCTCTCATGTCTGTCTCTGTCATGTCTCTCTCTCTCATGTCTGTCTCATGTCTGTCTCTCTCATGTCTCTGTCTCTCATGTCTGTCTCTCGTGTCTCTGTCTCTCATGTCTGTCTCTCTCGTGTCTCTGTCTCTCGTGTCTCTGTCTCATGTCTCTCTCTCTCGTGTCTCTCTCTCTCATGTCTCTCTCTCTCATGTCTCTGTCCAGCTCCTGTCCACACAGCTCCTGTCCACACAGCTCCTGTCCACACAGCTCCTGTCCACACAGCTCCTGTCCACACAGCTCCTGTCCACACTGCTCCTGTCCACACAGCTCCTGTCCACACAGCTCCTGTCCACACAGCTCCTGTCCACACAGCTCCTGTCCACACAGCTCCTGTCCACACAGCTCCTGTCCACACAGCTCCTGTCCACACAGCTGTTCACGCAGCTCCTGTCCACACAGCTCCTGTCCACGCAGCTCCTGTCCACGCAGCTCCTGTCCACACAGCTGTTCACGCAGCTCCTGTCCACACAGCTCCTGTCCACACAGCTCCTGTCCACACAGCTCCTGTCCACGCAGCTCCTGTCCACACAGCTCCTGTCCACGCAGCTCCTGTCCACACAGCTCCTGTCCACACAGCTCCTGTCCACGCAGCTCCTGTCCACGCAGCTCCTGTCCACGCAGCTCCTGTCCACACAGCAGCAGCTCCTGTCCACACAGCTCCTGTCCACACAGCTCCTGTCCACACAGCTCCTGTCCACACAGCTCCTGTCCACGCAGCTCCTGTCCACGCAGCTCCTGTCCACACAGCTCCTGTCCACACAGCTCCTGTCCACACAGCTCCTGTCCACACAGCTCCTGTCCACACTGCTGATCAGGCTGGTGCTGCTGATGCTGGTCCTGCTCATCATCAGGCCCTGGCTCCTCTTCCACTGGCTCACAGAGATCACCATCGCTGACGCAGATGTTGTGCAGGATGGCGCAACAGGCAGTCACCTCGACTGCAAAGGTGGGTTGGACTTCCAGTGCCTTAGAGAAAATGGATCGCCATCTTGCTTTCATCATGCCAAACGCTCTCTCTGTTACAGATCGTGCCCGTGCATGGTGCCGGTTGAAGCGGGCTTCCACTGGGCTCCGAACAGGCTCTCTGTATGGAGGGAGGAGTGTGATGGGCTGACGGAGGCAAGGGTAACCCCCATCCCCAAGGAGGACGTGTCCATTTGGGGGATAGAGCCGGTGGACGTAGAGGGGGCTGTTTTTAAGCGCTAGAGAATCGTGCACAGATCCGGGGTAGCCAACAAACAAATCAATAAATAAGCCACGGTGATTACACACAGCCTGCATTTGAATAGAATAAAACAATTTCCTGTTAAAATAACACTGTGCATTTTCTTGAAGGGGCTTTATTCTGATGTGGCAGCCGTCGATGCTCCCCACAACATTATTGAGAGCAGCTGATCCAGCCAGCAACTGAAACCCAGCTGCAACTTGGGGAAGTTCCTCCAGGGAAGGGAAATGAATTATTTGGCCACGCATTTGAAGGATCTGGTTGGCCACCCTGTGGATCACATCGTGGACTGTGGACTGGGGCATGTCAAATGCCCTGGCGACAACACGGTACGCGGTGCCACTGGCCAACCAAAAGAGGAAGACCAAAACCTCCATGTCCTGGCTCCAGCCCTGGTGATGAGCACTCCTCAGGTGGCTAACCAGACGGGTGATGGTGGTTCGAGTGAGACGAAAATCGGGGCGAAGGTCAGACTGGCCATTTAAGTACATGCTGACTAGGGGTACATGGTGGTTCAGTCGGCAGTACACCGGTGGTTCACCCTAAAACAAAACAAAAATTCTCTTAAACTTAATATGATACTTCTAGATTCATTTTTTAATTCTGTATCTGCACTTTTAGTTATGAGTGCAGACACAGGAATAAGTACTCATTTTTCATTTTGAGATTTAAAAATGTAAATAAAAATGAAGAGTATATAGTCAAAGCAAAGGAAGGTTTCTCACCCATCATCTGTACTTCTTAGCAAGTTTTCCCAACGTTTCGTCCTCAACCTGGGGACTTCTTCCCTGAAGAAGTCCCCAGGTTGGTGTCCCCAGTATGGTGTCTGCTCTCATACATACACAACATGGTGTCTGCTCTCATACATACACAACATGGTGTCTGCTCTCATACATACACGACAGTGTCTGCTCTCATACATACACAACATGGTGTCTGCTCTCATACATACACGACATGGTGTCTGCTCTCATACATACACGACATGGTGTCTGCTCTCATACATACACGACATGGTGTCTGCTCTCATACATACACAACATGGTGTCTGCTCTCATACATACACAACATGGTGTCTGCTCTCATACATACACAACATGGTGTCTGCTCTCATACATACACAACATGGTGTCTGCTCTCATACATACACAACATGGTGTCTGCTCTCATACATACACAACATGGTGTCTGCTCTCATACATACACAACATGGTGTCTGCTCTCATACATACACAACATGGTGTCTGCTCTCATACATACACGACATGGTGTCTGCTCTCATACATACACGACATGGTGTCTGCTCTCATACATACACGACATGGTGTCTGCTCTCATACATACACAACATGGCCGCCAGCGGCAGGACGCATTATTATAGATCCATGGCGCAGACCTCTCTAGCTCTTGTGTTTCAGACACAACATGAGGACAGTTTCGATGTATCGATGTACAGTTTGTCCCAAACATGAAAGAGGCGGCTGTAGAGGCGTCTCTGACCTGAGCCCCGAGTCAGCAGAGCCTCCAGCAGCTGCTGGTTCCTCTGGTTCTGCTCTTTGGAGCGACACACTTCCTCCTCATACTCCGCTATAGTTCTCTCCAGAAGCACAAAGATCTCTTCTGCAGCCGCAGCCAGCCGCTCATTCACCGCAGCTCTCAGCAGACTGCGCCTCTCACTCATCTTACTCTGCTTAGCTTTAGCACACGAGCTAACTGTTGTTAGCACACGAGCTAACTGTTGTTAGCGTTAGCACAGGAGCTAACTGTTATCAGCACAGGAGCTAACTGTTATCAGCACAGGAGCTAACTGTTATCAGCACAGGAGCTAACTGTTATTAGCACAGGAGCTAACTGTTATCAGCACAGGAGCTAACTGTTATTAGCACAGGAGCTAACTGTTATTAGCACAGGAGCTAACTGTTATTAGCACAGGAGCTAACACCTCAAGCAGAGTTCTTATAAATCCATGAAGCAGAGTGTGACTTCAGCTCTAACCCCCTCCACAATAAGAGCTTTATTACGTTAAAGCTGCGGTACCTAACTTTTAAACCACAGCATTGGAACTATATGACAGCCGACCAGCTCTCATGTTGCATTCACGTGACCTCAGAGACTGGAGTATTTTCAGACTTCCCAAAACCAAAGCGTCCGTGACGAGCACAAATAAAACTGAAAAGTCCAGGTTGAATTTCCGTCAGCATTTAAATATGATTCAAACACGTTTTTCCAAGTGGGAGCTCGAAACTTTTGAGTTTCCAGGAACAAAAACGTCAAATAATGACTCACAGGGCTCTTTCTTACAGGTGTTTAGGTGACTGTTAGTAATTTTTCAAACGAAAGTGAGGTACCTCAGCTTTACTGTCTCTGGAGGAGATTCATAACGGCTTATTAACCGAGCGCGAGGTCTGTATGGAGAAATATCAGACCGAGCCTTAATGCACAGACCGAGTCTTAATGCACAGACAGAGCCTTAATGTACAGACCGAGCCTTAAAGCACAGACAGAGCCTTAATGTACAGACCGAGCCTTAATGCACAGACAGAGCCTTAATGTACAGACCGAGCCTTAATGCACAGACCGAGCCTTAATGCACAGACCGAGCCTTAATGCACAGACCGAGCCTTAATGCACAGACAGAGCCTTAATGTACAGACAGAGCCTTAATGTACAGACCGAGCCTTAATGCACAGACCGAGCCTTAATGCACAGACAGAGCCTTAATGTACAGACCGAGCCTTAATGTACAGACCGAGCCTTAATGCACAGACCGAGCCTTAAGACCGAGCCTTAATGCACAGACCGAGCCTTAATGTACAGACCGAGTCTTAATGCACAGACCGAGTCTTAATGCACAGACAGAGCCTTAATGTACAGACAGAGCCTTAATGTACAGACCGAGCCCTAATGTACAGACCGAGCCTTAATGCACAGACCGAGCCTTAATGCACAGACCGAGCCTTAATGCACAGACAGAGCCTTAATGCACAGACCGAGCCTTAATGCACAGACCGAGCCTTAATGCACAGACCGAGCCTTAATGCACAGACCGAGCCTTAATGCACAGACCGAGCCTTAATGCACAGACAGAGCCTTAATGCACAGACCGAGCCTTAATGCACAGACCGAGCCTTAATGTACAGACCGAGCCTTAATGCACAGACCGAGCCTTAATGCACAGACCGAGCCTTAATGTACAGACCGAGCCTTAATGCACAGACCGAGCCTTAATGTACAGACAGAGCCTTAATGTACAGACCGAGCCTTAATGCACAGACCGAGCCTTAATGCACAGACCGAGCCTTAATGTACAGACCGAGCCTTAATGTACAGACAGAGCCTTAATGCACAGACCGAGCCTTAATGTACAGAGTGAGCCTTAAAGAAGCTATACCCGATTTTTTTTCTAAGTAGTTCATAAAAATGCTTTTTACTACATACAAGTTGTATCATAATACATCATTTAATTGAAAACTTGAGGTAATTGATTCAGCTGTGTAAGAATTACAAGCAGTGAAAAGTGCTGAGTAGAGTCTGAGCGGGCCGCTCTTTCTCCTCCGCTCACAGAACAAGAAGTGACCAGCCTGCGTCCTCTAGCCTCTACAGCGCTGCGGAACACCAGGGCTTCGACTTCAAAATTCGAATATAATTCTAAAATAAAAAATGTGAACAAATCTTAGACAACCCTTGTAATTTGAAATGTATTTAATGACTGCAAATAAAATAGTTAGCTCCCAAAGGTTTCACCGGGACGTGCTAGGCAGGTAACAGCTAAGCTAGCTAGTTGTTTCATGGTAACTTCCGGGTTTTTCGCAATCGCTTTTTGTCACATTGAAACAGTATTTTTGTCATGAAAACGTTAACAGCAAATTCAGAAATCATCCGTGCATGTGTGTTAAGGATGTATCTGTGTACTGTATTGTCCGATTGACGTTTAATGGTGTTGATTGATAGATATGTAGTTGTTTATTGAGCGTGGCTAGCTCCGCTAGCTCCGTTGGCTTCTCTACACAGACAAGTGTATAGTGACAGGCGCTGATAGCTTGTTCTTGCAGAGTAATGGCAGTATTTTACACACCTGAATTACAAACAGAGGTTGCATTGGGGCTTCGGTCATTATTGGTTTGAGAGTTCTGTTATCAAGAAAAAATGATCGGAAGAATTGCTGCTGCTGCTTTGAGGAGCTCTATAACACATTATAATTAAATATTAGAATATATTCTAAGGTTTTAAATTAATACATTCGGACGCGAAACTAGCGGTATTCTTTTACTTATATATTGTGTTAGCAGTGCGTTGCTTTAGTGCCATTTCATCAGTGATTGTTGTTGAGCTTACAAGAAGTTGCGCTAATGCTAATGTTAGCATATGTATCAGATCGCAAATAAAACTAGGTGGCTCTGTGTTATGAGAGCGTAGGGGAAATGAGAAGCCATTGAGTGAGTTGGGGGGCGGTGCTAAACATTCAAACATTGCAGCAACGGGTATAGCGCCTTTAATGCACAGACAGAGCCTTAATGTACAGACCGAGCCTTAATGCACAGACCGAGCCTTAATGCACAGACCGAGCCTTAATGCACAGACCGAGCCTTAATGCACAGACCGAGCCTTAATGCACAGACCGAGCCTTAATGCACAGACCGAGCCTTAATGTACAGACCGAGCCTTAATGCACAGACCGAGTAAGTAAGGTTAATAAATGTTTTATTATATGACTCTCGTCTGTGTCCAATGCTTTTGAGATATTTGTGAAGTATGTTCATGTCCGACTTGGTTTTGTGTGATACGCGCTGCGGACAGATTGTCATGGTAACGGTCCAAGATGGGAAAATATCAGACCGGTAATCAGCCAATCAGAGCGCGCGTACGGTCCAAGTCATATAATAATACTGTTTAAACTCAATGCAACAGACACGAAGAGGGAAATCAAATATGTTTTTATTTAAATAACAGAACAAATCAGACGGACATTAAAACACATCTAACGAGAACTACACACACACACACACACACACACACACACACACACACACACACACACACACACACACACACACACACACACACACACACACACACACACACACACACACACACACACACACACACACACACACACACACACACACACACACACACACACACACACACACACACACACACACACACACACACACACACACACACACACTAAGGAGATCAGCTCTGAGGCTACAGTCTGGGGCCAGTCCAATAATCTCCTGGTTGTTGCTCAAGGCTTTGTTTTGCCGTTAGACACAGAAAATACTTTACATCTCCACCCAGGTATAATACAGGACTAAACCAGGCTTAAACCAGGTCTATAACAGGACTAAACCAGGCTTAAACCAGGTCTATAACAGGACTAAACCAGGCTTAAACCAGGTCTATAACAGGACTAAACCAGGCTTAAACCAGGTCTATAACAGGACTAAACCAGGCTTAAACCAGGTCTATAACAGGACTAAACCAGGCTTAAACCAGGTCTATAACAGGACTAAACCAGGCTTAAACCGGGTCTATAACAGGACTAAACCAGGCTTAAACCAGGTCTATAACAGGACTAAACCAGGCTTAAACCAGGTCTATAACAGGACTAAACCAGGCTTAAACCGGGTCTATAACAGGACTAAACCAGGCTTAAACCAGGTCTATAACAGGACTAAACCAGGCTTAAACCAGGTCTATAACAGGACTAAACCAGGCTTAAACCGGGTCTATAACAGGACTAAACCAGGCTTAAACCAGGTCTATAACAGGACTAAACCAGGCTTAAACCAGGTCTATAACAGGACTAAACCAGGCTTAAACCGGGTCTATAACAGGACTAAACCAGGCTTAAACCAGGTCTATAACAGGACTAAACCAGGCTTAAACCGTGTCTATAACAGGACTAAACCAGGCTTAAACCGGGTCTATAACAGGACTAAACCAGGCTTAAACCCGGTCTTTAACAGGACTAAACCAGGCTTAAACCAGGTCTATGACAGGACTAAACCAGGCTTAAACCAGGTCTTTAACATGACTAAACCAGGCTTAAACCAGGTCTATGACAGGACTAAACCAGGCTTAAACCAGGTCTTTAACATGACTAAACCAGGCTTAAACCAGGTCTATAACAGGACTAAACCAGGCTAAAACCAGGTCTATAACAGGACTAAACCAGGCTTAAACCAGGTCTATGACAGGACTAAACCAGGCTTAAACCAGGTCTATAACAGGACTAAACCAGGTCTATGACAGGACTAAACCAGGCTTAAACCAGGTCTATAACAGGTCTGAAATTATGGTTTTCTAAAACAAATGGGAATATTAAGACTATTGAAACACAAACATACTCAACACATGGTACAACACATGGTACAATACATCATCCATGCTTCCCGTGAGACTGAGTTTATCGCTCTATCTATGAGGGAGCAGCGGCTCTAGTCTCTAAGGAGCTCCATTCTGTTACCGCTCTATCTATGAGGGAGCAGCGGCTCTAATCTCTAAGGAGCTCCATTCTGTTATCGCTCTATGAGGGAGCAGCGGCTCTAATCTCTAAGGAGCTCCATTCTGTTATCGCTCTATCTATGAGGGAGCAGCGGCTCTAATCTTTAAGGAGCTCCATTCTGTTATCGCTCTATCTATGAGGGAGCAGCGGCTCTAATCTTTAAGGAGCTCCATTCTGTTATCGCTCTATCTATGAGGGAGCAGCGGCTCTAATCTCTAAGGAGCTCCATTCTGTTATCGCTCTATCTTTGAGGGAGCAGCGGCTCTAATCTCTAAGGAGCTCCATTCTGGAGGAAGCTCATGTGGAGGTTGTATCCACGATCTCGTCCTTTTGGTCATTACCCAAAACTCATGACCAGAGGTGAGGGAACGTAGAGCTCTGACTGCAGACGCTGCTCCCTCATGACCAGAGGTGAGGGAACGTAGAGCTCTGACTGCAGACGCTGCTCCCTCATGACCAGAGGTGAGGGAACGTAGAGCTCTGACTGCAGACGCTGCTCCCTCATGACCTGAGGTGAGGGAACGTAGAGCTCTGACATCAGACGCTGCTCCCTCATGACCAGAGGTGAGGGAACGTAGAGCTCTGACATCAGACGCTGCTCCCTCATGACCTGAGGTGAGGGAACGTAGAGCTCTGACTGCAGACGCTGCTCCCTCATGACCTGAGGTGAGGGAACGTAGAGCTCTGACATCAGACGCTGCTCCCTCATGACCAGAGGTGAGGGAACGTAGAGCTCTGACATCAGACGCTGCTCCCTCATGACCGGAGGTGAGGGAACGTAGAGCTCTGACTGCAGACGCTGCTCCCTCATGACCTGAGGTGGTCAATGCTGCATTAAATCAACAATAAAAAGTAAAGAATTTTAGTTTTCTTGACCTGGTTCTGTAGACGCTACAGACAGTTTGGTGAAGGTTCTGTAGACGCTACAGACAGTTTGGTGAAGGTTCTGTAGACGCTACGGACCGTGACGTTTGGTGAAGGTTCTGTAGACGCTACAGACCGTTTAGTGAAGGTTCTGTAGACGCTACGGACCGTGACGTTTGGTGAAGGTTCTGTAGACGCTACAGACCGTTTAGTGAAGGTTCTGTAGACGCTACAGACCGTTTAGTGAAGGTTCTGTAGACGCTACGGACCGTGACGTTTGGTGAAGGTTCTGTAGACGCTACGGACCGTGACGTTTGGTGAAGGTTCTGTAGACGCTACGGACCGTGACGTTTGGTGAAGGTTCTGTAGACGCTACAGACCGTGACGTTTGGTGAAGGTTCTGTAGACGCTACGGACCGTTTAGTGAAGGTTCTGTAGACGCTACGGACCGTGACGTTTGGTGAAGGTTCTGTAGACGCTACAGACCGTTTAGTGAAGGTTCTGTAGACGCTACGGACCGTGACGTTTGGTGAAGGTTCTGTAGACGCTACAGACCGTTTAGTGAAGGTTCTGTAGACGCTACAGACCGTTTAGTGAAGGTTCTGTAGACGCTACAGACCGTTTAGTGAAGGTTCTGTAGACGCTACGGACCGTGACGTTTGGTGAAGGTTCTGTAGACGCTACGGACCGTGACGTTTGGTGAAGGTTCTGTAGACGCTACGGACCGTGACGTTTGGTGAAGGTTCTGTAGACGCTACAGACCGTGACGTTTGGTGAAGGTTCTGTAGACGCTACGGACCGTGACGTTTGGTGAAGGTTCTGTAGACGCTACGGACCGTGACGTTTGGTGAAGGTTCTGTAGACGCTACAGACCGTTTAGTGAAGGTTCTGTAGACGCTACAGACCGTTTAGTGAAGGTTCTGTAGACGCTACAGACCGTTTAGTGAAGGTTCTGTAGACGCTACGGACCGTGACGTTTGGTGAAGGTTCTGTAGACGCTACGGACCGTGACGTTTGGTGAAGGTTCTGTAGACGCTACGGACCGTGACGTTTGGTGAAGGTTCTGTAGACGCTACAGACCGTGACGTTTGGTGAAGGTTCTGTAGACGCTACGGACCGTGACGTTTGGTGAAGGTTCTGTAGACGCTACAGACCGTGACGTTTGGTGAAGGTTCTGTAGACGCTACAGACCGTGACGTTTCATGTGGGTGGTTAAGGTTCCTTTGAGAGCAAATGTTTTGCCGCAGATGAGACAGTTATAGAGCTTCTCTGTGTGGCTGCTCATATGTCTAGAAAGAGCGCCTTTAAGGGGAAAGGTTTTCTCACACACTGAGCAGCTGTAAGGTCTGTCTCCTGTGTGGTTGGTCATATGACTTTTCAGGTGATGCGATTGGGAAAATGTTTTCTGACAAACTGAACAACTGTAAGGTTTCTCCCCTGTGTGGATTCGTATGTGCTTTCTTAGGTTAGAGCTGTCTGCAAACATTTTTTCACAAAAAGAGCATCTGTAAGGTTTCTCTCCAGTGTGGATTCTCATGTGGACTTTCAAGTTAATTTCATATATAAATCTCTTCATACAAACAAAGCACTCATATCTCCTTTCAGATCCTTCATCTCCCACAGTCTCTGCTCCTATGTCTCTGGGTCCGGTCCCAGACAGTCCGGTCCCTGACAGCAGGTCTCTGGGTCCGGTCCCTGACAGTCCGGTCCCTGACAGCAGGTCTCTGGGTCCGGTCCCTGACAGCAGGTCTCTGGGTCCGGTCCCTGACAGTCCCTGTGTGTGGACTTGGTTGTAGAGGTCTCCCTCAGCCTCTGTCTGCATCTGTGCAGTAGAACTGCTGCCTGGATGTCCCCAGTCTTCATCATCGTCGTCATCATTGTCAAGATAATAGATTTCCCTTTGTGCCCTTTGTTCTTCTTCACTTTTCACACTCGTGAAGTGTGGAAGCTGCTCTTCCTCCTGTTTGAGGCTCTCCTCTTCCTCCTCTTCCTCCTGGTTGATGCTCTGTTCTGATGGTTCCTCTTTAATCTCTGGAGTCTTTGCAGTTTCCTGCTTCAGTCTGGTCTCTGGCTCTGATCCACTGGTGCTGATGAAGATGCCTGAAACAACAAGAATCAAATATTCAGAGAAATCCTGCAGGTGTTGGTCATGTATTAAAGACCTTTAGATTCGAGGTCAGTCTGTCCCAGCAGCTCCGACTATACCCTCAGGATGCGGATTTGTATATGCAGGGCTTAAAGTTTTCCGGCACCGTGCCGGAAATCCGGCGTGAGAAAAAAAAAAAAAAAAACATCACTTTTTTTTTTTTTTATATATATATATAAATAAATAATGATTGCTGTCATTTGAAAAAGGTGTGTTCTACCAATTGTATGAAAGGATTGCATGTGTATAGCGCAGGGATTAAAGAGTTCCGTCTAAGTGACGGATTTCCGTCAAATGAAATTGGTCTGAAAAAAAAACAAAATATATAATAATAATATAATACACACAATGAAATGGTTAATTATAACAAAATATATAGTAATACGTGTGAATCTGTTGTATATATCTAGATATATATTAATAATTTGAATATAATTGTATTTATATGTATATAGAAATAAAAAGTAATATAATCACGAGTGGGCCTTGAACGTGCCGTGGCTAGCTACATGAGCGCTCCGTAAATGATTCAAGGCAATGGGACGTAGCCAAGTTAGCGATGGTAACACGGAGGTGAAAGTTTCTGAAAAGTGCACGGAGCTTTTGAAAAGGAGAAGAGGACAAGGAAAATGTAATCCCGAACGGAGCAATAACAGCCAGCAGCCCGCGGACCGGTAAACTGGGCGCGTTATCAGAGGAAAGGTAGGACATAATTAACGTTTACCAAACGCAATGCTTTTTTATTTAACGGAATGTACAATATGTACTTTGCTGTGACTGGGAATGGGGACAAGCATGTCTTGGTGAGCTTTTGATAATATCTTGGTGGCGATCCCCATGCAAAACTGCGTGATAAAAAGAGCCAATCAACGAGAGCGAACGGAAGAAACTCGCTGAAGAAAGGTGTGTGTTAGCAGGTCTTATATTCATTCATCAAAGCTAGCCTAGCATGCACGCACAATCACAATCATGGATCGTTGTTTATGGAAGAAGGAGCTGTATAAGTTGCTGTTGATAACAGTGAAAAATAAATGGAGGTGGGCACGGCTGGATGAGGTGGAGACGATGGGATTCTGTTGCTTCATGGTGCAAAAAGATAAAGGTGTCCGGTGCTTGTTCGTACTTCGCTATTATTATTTTTTTATATGGGAGTAATGAGAAAACAGCTTTGGATTAACCACCAGCTCAAAACTGCGCACTTGGCAGCTGTCCGTGCGCTTTCCCACACTTCTTTACCTGGTGCATCAGATTCAGCGACAACTGAGACTAGGCTTGCTCTGGTGGACTGTGTCTGTGACCTAAAACTATCTGTGGCTTTATCGCAGAAAATAACCTGTCGTTCAGAACCATCACTACCGCTGGTAGATTTAATTATCATTAATCATTTGCAGTTGATAAAACTGCGCTGTGCACTAGCACCAAGTTGATAGGGAAACCTTTTTCTTAAACATTGAGTGTCCACAAACAAATGTGGACAGAATTTTGAATGTCCTTTTGCGATATTTTGACGAGGACAGAGCCAAAGGACAACGCCTCATCTCGCCTCAAGTAAAGCCAATGATGCAGATGAACTACTCTCACTAATATTCTGTCAAAGAGTTGACAAGTTGCTTGATCCACTGGTTGTAATTTCACATCAAAATACACCAGTTTAAATGTATATCTTTGAAGAATTCGTTTGATCTGTAATTCATTATATTTCCATGAGAAAATTTTCAGTCAAATCTTTTTTTTTTGCTTTAACCCCTGGCCGCTTATAAAAAACGCTTATTAGTGATCATTCTATGATTCATATAGATGGTTCAGGCTCAGGAATTTTTTCAACTTTAACCCATGTATATGTCATGACACTTTGAAGCAACTGTGGTTAAAGTACATATAACAACACGCACAAAGCAATACTTTTCCATTGCATGTTTTGTATTCTGAAGGCCAAGCTACTGGCAATGTGTCAAAAGCTGATTGGAGGAGTCCATTCCTCCTGCTGTATTATATCACAGTCTGTAACAACTTTGTTCGTATTCGTGCTGTCTCTACCATCGACAATGAAACATGTCTTCTGTCTGAATCAAAGACACGATCCCCAGACTATTGTCATCTTCTTCAATTACACCCCACTGTTTTTACAGCTCAAGGCAGCAACCCGCGGCCCCGGAGCCGCATGCGGCTCTTGAGTGCTCCGGGAGCATAGACTGTATATATTAATGGACAGAGTCACATCTATCTCCGCCAAAAAATGTGCTCTACTGGAGCGATCCAAAATGGCCGCGAGTGGTCCCGCCCACAAGAAAATTGTGAAAAAACGCATTTGCGCTTGCGTCAGCCGGAGCAGCTCCTCATTTGAACGAGAGAGTTCAAAAATTCACAGCAAGTAAACTAGACTGGTCCAGAACACTCAGCATTGACACACAGCTTTGGGCCAAGAGACAACTTTGGACCATCTTGTAAAGACGTTTTTGAGAGGTCTGTCAACGCTATATGTTAGCATTGGCTAATTCTACTTCTGGGTCCACCCCCATCGGCCCGGGGTGGTATTGCAGCATGTCAGCGCACGTCATTTTGGACACTGGGACCCTCCCCCACTGTCCGGGAGAGGCTCCTGGAGAGTGTGAGGGCTATATTTTATTTCTAGTTTGAATGTGGTTTCTGTAGGAGGAAAAACGTTCTTTACGTTTTTAAATACTGTACAAATGTGTATAAGTAAAATTTGATTTCAAAATTTCTTTCAACGTAGTGCGTCATATCCTATGACGCGCGGTTACGCGGCCCCGCGCCAGGCGGCAGCTGCTGTAAACAAACCGGCGTGTGAGCAGGGATCCCAAAGCTAAAACGAGAAAGAGTCGATAATAAGACTGGACTAAGAATGAACATTTGTTTGTAATGAGATCAAAAAGTCAGAACACCTATTTTCAGACTTCAAAACCTTCGCAAAGACGGTGAAAGAAAAGGCCATAAAGGACATTAATTCAGCTCCAGCAAACTTCAGCCTGTGACGTGATCGATATGAGCAGTGATGCAGGTGAACTCTGAGCCCAAAACAGATTCATTTTACTGTATTTCTACAGTTGCATGAAGACAAAAAAATGGAAGTTAAACTAAAGCAGAGTCGTCACGTGGTGCGTCATTCAGGACACGCTGCAGTGAAAATACACATTTGATAATCATGAATGCTTATTATGTATTTGTATTTAGATATTAGGCTAATATAGCTAATACAGCTGCAGCCTGTGTTAGCTTCATATAAGCCTTATACAAGGCTGTTTTTTTGCGGCTCCAGACAGATGTTTTTAGTTTTTTTGTCAAATATGGCTCTTTGAACCTTTTGGGTTCCCGACCCCTGGCCCAATGCAACAGAGAACATTCTGATTTTGAACGCCCAGCACATAAAGTCTGAAACTCAACAGTTTGGTGCCAATTTATGAAAAAAGGAAGCTTCGTAACTGTGGCCAAAATGTTACCACAGGGTTTGAATATTAGGAGCAACAAGGCATTTATATCAAGCCAAATATCTAATTATGCAAACGATGTATATTTTGGCCGTGTGTGCAGGGTGATGTCATGTTAACTGTTATATATTTTGAAAGTGACATAACAACAAAAGACTCACACGTTCTATGGCCTAGAAATCAGATAACAGCATCGGCCCGAGTTTAATATCGTTTCTATTTATAAAAAAACATTTGCGACTGTGAGAGGAGGCACCTTTATCCCCGGGGAGCAGGACTCTGGGCCGCAGAGCCTCCAGCAGCTGCTGGTTCCTCTGGTTCTGCTCTTTGGAGCGACACACTTCCTCCTCATACTCCGCTATAGTTCTCTCCAGAAGCACAAAGATCTCTTCTGCAGCCGCAGCCAGCCGCTCATTCACCGCAGCTCTCAGCAGACTGCGCCTCTCACTCATCTTACTCTGCTTAGCTTTAGCACACGAGCTAACTGTTGTTAGCACACGAGCTAACCGCAGAGACTGGCTGTAGCTCTAAGCCCCGCCCACAGACACGCATCGTCAAAATAAAACGTGCTCTTGTTTCCGCTTTCAGAATCAGAATCAGAATCATCATCAGAATCATTTTTATTGCCACGTAAGTAACAGGAGGTCACAGACTTGGAAATTGCTTTGGCTCAGTGCAACAGTCAAAAAGAGACTTTCATGTGATCTCGGAAGCACTCGCTCGCTCGGAGGACCCAAGCAGAGAGAGGAGAACCACCCATGTACTGAACAGTGGGGGCAGGTCTCGGCTCCAAAAGGTCCATGAACACGTGCGCTTACATGCTGCAATCTCCGGTGTGGACCCGGAAAGAGAATTACCCAATGCATGGCGTCTTCTTTCTTCTGGAAAACTTCTTTACAAGATGGTAGAAGAAAAAGAAGGCCCTTTATTCGTCCCACAATGGGGAAATGTCAGTGGTCCAAAAGTCTCTTGATCCAGAAGTCTCTCTTGGTCCAAAGCTACGTTCCAGATGCGGTCAATTATTATGGACCAGTTTAGTTTAGTTGCTGTAGATTTTTGAATGGGGCTAGTGCAACTAACTCATGCGCAAATGTGTTTTCACTTTTTCCTGGCGACCATTTTGACAAAGCCACAGAAGGTAAAAGTGGTGACACATTAGTTTGAACGGCGGAGATAGACGTGTTTAATATTTACAGTTTATGGTCCTGGCGCTGAACGATAAAGGAAAATGTTTTATTTTGGAGACTTTGCAGCTGGGCTCGGCTTCCAGCGGAAGTAAGACTCTGTTTCCGGTGTTAGCTCCTGTGCTAACGCTAACAACAGTTAGCTCGTGTGCTAAAGCTAAGCAGAGTAAGATGAGTGAGAGGCGCAGTCTGCTGAGAGCTGCGGTGAATGAGCGGCTGGCTGCGGCTGCAGAAGAGATCTTTGTGCTTCTGGAGAGAACTATAGCGGAGTATGAGGAGGAAGTGTGTCGCTCCAAAGAGCAGAACCAGAGGAACCAGCAGCTGCTGGAGGCTCTGCTGACTCGGGGCTCAGGTCAGAGACGCCTCTACAGCCGCCTCTTTCATGTTTGGGACAAACTGTACATCGATACATCGAAACTGTCCTCATGTTGTGTCTGAAACACAAGAGCTAGAGAGGTCTGCGCCATGGATCTATAATAATGCGTCCTGCCGCTGGCGGCCATGTTGTGTATGTATGAGAGCAGACACCATGTCGTGTATGTATGAGAGCAGACACCATGTCGTGTATGTATGAGAGCAGACACCATGTTGTGTATTATGAGAGCAACACCATGTTGTGTATGTATGAGAGCAGACACCATGTTGTGTATGTATGAGAGCAGACACCATGTTGTGTATGTATGAGAGCAGACACCATGTCGTGTATGTATGAGAGCAGACACCATGTTGTGTATGTATGAGAGCAGACACCATGTTGTGTATGTATGAGAGCAGACACCATGTTGTGTATGTATGAGAGCAGACACCATGTTGTGTATGTATGAGAGCAGACACCATGTCGTGTATGTATGAGAGCAGACACCATGTCGTGTATGTATGAGAGCAGACACCATGTCGTGTATGTATGAGAGCAGACACCATGTCGTGTATGTGATGAGAGCAGACACCATGTTGTGTATGTATGAGAGCAGACACCATGTTGTGTATGTTATGTATGAGAGCAGACACCATGTTGTGTATGTATGAGAGCAGACACCATGTTGTGTATGTATGAGAGCAGACACCATGTTGTGTATGTATGAGAGCAGACACCATGTTGTGTATGTATGAGAGCAGACACCATGTCGTGTATGTATGAGAGCAGACACCATGTTGTGTATGTATGAGAGCAGACACCATGTTGTGTATGTATGAGAGCAGACACCATGTCGTGTATGTATGAGAGCAGACACCATGTTGTGTATGTATGAGAGCAGACACTGTCGTGTATGTATGAGAGCAGACACCATGTTGTGTATGTATGAGAGCAGACACCATGTTGTGTATGTATGAGAGCAGACACCATGTTGTGTATGTATGAGAGCAGACACCATGTTGTGTATGTATGAGAGCAGACACCATGTTGTGTATGTATGAGAGCAGACACCATGTTGTGTATGTATGAGAGCAGACACCATGTTGTGTATGTATGAGAGCAGACACCATGTTGTGTATGTATGAGAGCAGACACCATGTTGTGTATGTATGAGAGCAGACACCATGTTGTGTATGTATGAGAGCAGACACCATGTTGTGTATGTATGAGAGCAGACACCATGTCGTGTATGTATGAGAGCAGACACCATGTCGTGTATGTATGAGAGCAGACACTCTCACGTATGCTGTAACCAACCAATTACTTTTGCATCTCTGTTTATGCATACAACTGCTGAGGCTGCACTTCCTAAGCACACGGTACGCAGGAGAGAGGCGAGACCACTTGTGTTCCTCCCACAGAAGGGAGGGTGTTGTTGGTATTGTGCAAAAGGAAATGTTCGGGACCTGGAGACGCTCAGGACTGTTTTTATTCAGATTATTTTTTTGTCAAAGCTGCTGTTCTTATCTTCTCTCCTGCAGACTCGTTCTGTCCTGATCCCAGCCTGAAGCAGGAAACTCCACAGACTATAGAGGAACCGTCAGAACAGGAGGAAGAGGAGGCAGAGGAGAGGCTGAAACAGGAGGAAGAGGAGGCAGAGGAGAGGCTGAAACAGGAGGAAGAGAAGCTCCCAGACTTCACTGCTGTGTGTGTGAAGAGTGAAGAGCAGTCCTCACTGATTGAAGAAGACAGAGAGGAAGCACAGGGACAGCTCTGTGGAGGAGCAGACATCAGCTCACAGACACATTTACACTCAGAGACAGAAGAACAGAGACACCACTCTTACACTGACCATGATGAAGACCCTGATGAAGACCATGATGAAGACTATGATGAAGACCATGATGAAGACTGGGTACATCCAGGCAGCAGTTCTACTGCACAGATGCAGACAGAGGCTGAGGGAGACCTCTACAACCAAGTCCACACACAGGGACTGTCAGGGACCGGACCCAGAGACCTGCTGTCAGGGACCGGACCCAGAGACCTGCTGTCAGGGACCGGACCCAGAGACCTGCTGTCAGGGACCGGACCCAGAGACCTGCTGTCAGGGACTGGATACAAAGATACAAGAGAGCGGAAATATGAGTGCTTGATTTGTGAGAAGAAATTTACCAATAAACCCAATTTAAAAAGACACTTGATTCTACACACTGGAGAGAGACCTTACAGCTGCTCAGTTTGTGGCAAAAACTTTTCCCAAATGGAGCACCGGAAAACTCATATGAGTTGTCACACTGGAGAGAGACCTTACAGCTGCTCCATCTGTTTGCAAACATTTACTCGGAAAGCTTCGTTAAGTCGCCATGTTTTTCGGTTCCACTCTGCAGACAGCGTTCTCCTCTGCCTCTGACTCACACCTGGAGGACCGCCCTGCACACCCCAGGTTGAGAATCATTCCTCTCCATCAGTGGTTTCCAAAGTGGAGGTCGGCGATTTTAGACGCAGTGTAACGATGGCCCTCACTGTGCTCAGTGATACAGAGGTACAGACACCCTACTCTACCCTACCCTACTCTATCCTACCCTACCCTACTCTATCCTACCCTACCCTACTCTATCCTACTCTACTCTACTCTACTCTACTCTATCCTACTCTACTCTATCCTACCCTACTCTACCCTACCCTACCCTACTCTATCCTACCCTACCCTACTCTATCCTACTCTACTCTATCCTACCCTACTCTATCCTACCCTACTCTATCCTACCCTACTCTATCCTACTCTACTCTACTCTACTCTACTCTATCCTACCCTACTCTATCCTACCTTACTCTACTCTACTCTATCCTACTCTACTCTACTCTATTCTACTCTACTCTATCCTACCCTACTCTACTCTATTCTATCCTCTATTCTATCCTCTACTCTACTCTATCCTACTCTATCCTACTGTACTCTACTCTATCCTACTCTACTCTATCCTACCCTACTCTACTCTATCCTACTCTACTCTACTCTATCCTACTCTACTCTACTCTATCCTACTCTATTCTATCCTCTACTCTATCCTACTCTACTCTACTCTATCCTACTCTATTCTATCCTCTACTCTATCCTACTCTATCCTACTCTACTCTATCCTACCCTACTCTATCCTACCCTACTCTATCCTACCCTACTCTACTCTACTCTACTCTACCCTACTCTCCCATCTCTGTGTGGAGTGAGAGGACAAGTGCTCAAAAAATAACAATTGTAAACCGCTTTGTGACTCTGGTCTGTGAAAGGCGGTATATAAATAAAGCTTACTCTATCCTACCCTACGCTATCCTACCCTACTCTATCCTACCCTACTCTATCCTACTCTACTCTACCCTACCCTACCCTACCCGGACCTGAACCCGATGGAAAGATACTGTTATCATGGTGCAATCAAATCCACATCTATTTATTGAACATTTTCACTCTGCATGAAACACTCGCACACATTATATATATATATATATATATATAATATAATGTGTGCATCCAGGAAGTATTCACAGCGCTTCACTTTTTCCACAGTTCGTTATGTTACAGCCTTATTACAAAATTCCATCCATCCATTTTCTTCCCTTTAATCCATTTCTGGGTCAGGGGGGTGGCAGTCAGAGATGCACCAGCCCCTCACTGACCCTCTGCAGGTGGTGAGTCCACAGGAGGACGGCTGCTCTCTGACTGTGAGCATAGCCTTGATCTTTCAGTGGGGGCTTTGGGCAAAGTGGAATTAAGTGTCTTGCCCAAGGACACAACGACAGCAGTCATCAGTGGGAGTCGGTGGAGAAGGTGCAGAGGTGAGAATTGAACCCACGACCTTCTGGCCTTAAGGCCAATGCTCTACCAACTGAGCTACTGTCGCAAAATTCTTTCAATTAATTTTTTTCCTCACAATTCTACACAAAACACCCCATAATGACAACATGTAAACACTTTTTTTTGAGATTCTTGCGAACTGTCTTTCCCCCGAAGCTCACACTGAGCTCAGGTACATCCTGTTTCCACGGATCATCCTGAGATATACACCTGTATATATAAGGTCCCACAGAAAGGCACCTGTATATATAAGGTCCCACAGAAAGGCACCTGTATATATAAGGTCCCACAGAAAGGCACACACCTGTATATATAAGGTCCCACAGAAAGGCACACACCTGTATATATAAGGTCCACAGAAAGGCTCACACCTGTATATATAAGGTCCCACAGAAAGGCACACACCTGTATATATAAGGTCCCACAGAAAGGCACACACCTGTATATATAAGGTCCACAGAAAGGCTCACACCTGTATATATAAGGTCCCACAGAAAGGCACCTGTATATATATAAGGTCCACAGAAAGGCTCACACCTGTATATATAAGGTCCCACAGAAAGGCTCACACCTGTATATATAAGGTCCCACAGAAAGGCACACACCTGTATATATAAGGTCCCACAGAAAGGCACCTGTATATATAAGGTCCCACAGAAAGGCACACACCTGTATATATAAGGTCCCACAGAAAGGCACCTGTATATATAAGGTCCCATAGAAAGGCACCTGTATATATAAGGTCCCACAGAAAGGCCCCTGTGTATATAAGGTCCCACAGAAAGGCACCTGTATATATAAGGTCCCACAGAAAGGCACCTGTATATATAAGGTCCCACAGAAAGGCACCTGTGTATATAAGGTCCCACAGAAAGGCACACAGCTGTATATATAAGGTCCCACAGAAAGGCACACACCTGTATATGTAAGGTCCCACAGAAAGGCACACACCTGTATATATAAGGTCCCACAGAAAGGCACACAGCTGTATATATAAGGTCCCACAGAAAGGCACACACCTGTATATGTAAGGTCCCACAGAAAGGCACACACCTGTATATATAAGGTCCACAGAAAGGCACACACCTGTATATATAAGGTCCCACAGAAAGGCACACAGCTGTATATATAAGGTCCCACAGAAAGGCACACACCTGTATATGTAAGGTCCCACAGAAAGGCAACACAGCTGTATATATAAGGTCCCACAGAAAGGCACCTGTATATATAAGGTCCCACAGAAAGGCACACACCTGTATATGTAAGGTCCCACAGAAAGGCACACAGCTGTATATGTAAGGTCCCACAGAAAGGCACACAGCTGTATATATAAGGTCCCACAGAAAGGCACACAGCTGTATATATAAGGTCCACAGAAAGGCACACGCCTGTATATATAAGGTCCCACAGAAAGGCACACACCTGTATATATAAGGTCCACAGAAAGGCTCACACCTGTATATATAAGGTCCCACAGAAAGGCACCTGTATATATATAAGGTCCACAGAAAGGCTCACACCTGTATATATAAGGTCCCACAGAAAGGCTCACACCTGTATATATAAGGTCCCACAGAAAGGCACACACCTGTATATATAAGGTCCCACAGAAAGGCACCTGTATATATAAGGTCCCACAGAAAGGCACACACCTGTATATATAAGGTCCCACAGAAAGGCACCTGTATATATAAGGTCCCATAGAAAGGCACCTGTATATATAAGGTCCCACAGAAAGGCCCCTGTGTATATAAGGTCCCACAGAAAGGCACCTGTATATATAAGGTCCCACAGAAAGGCACCTGTATATATAAGGTCCCACAGAAAGGCACCTGTGTATATAAGGTCCCACAGAAAGGCACACAGCTGTATATATAAGGTCCCACAGAAAGGCACACACCTGTATATGTAAGGTCCCACAGAAAGGCACACACCTGTATATATAAGGTCCCACAGAAAGGCACACACCTGTATATATAAGGTCCCACAGAAAGGCACACACCTGTATATGTAAGGTCCCACAGAAAGGCACACACCTGTATATATAAGGTCCACAGAAAGGCACACACCTGTATATATAAGGTCCCACAGAAAGGCACACACCTGTATATATAAGGTCCCACAGAAAGGCACACACCTGTATATGTAAGGTCCCACAGAAAGGCACACAGCTGTATATATAAGGTCCCACAGAAAGGCACACACCTGTATATGTAAGGTCCCACAGAAAGGCACACAGCTGTATATGTAAGGTCCCACAGAAAGGCACACAGCTGTATATATAAGGTCCCACAGAAAGGCACACAGCTGTATATATAAGGTCCACAGAAAGGCACACGCCTGTATATATAAGGTCCACAGAAAGGCACACACCTGTATATATAAGTAAGTAAGTAATCTTTATTTATATACCGCCTTTTCACTGCATTCTCAAAGCGGTTTACAATTGTGATTTTTGGGAGTGGGGCCAGTACAGGAGGCACATGCCAGACCTATTGTACATATTTTTAGTGGTAGGGGAAACCGGAGCACCCGGAGGAAACCTACGCAGACACGGGGAGAACATGCAAACTCCACTCAGAAAGGCCCTGGTCCAACCGGGAATCGAACCCAGGACCTTCTTGCTGAGAGGCGAGAGTGCTATCCACTCAGCCACCGTGCCGTATAAGGTCCCACAGAAAGGCACGCACCTGTATATATAAGGTCCCACAGAAAGGCACGCACCTGTATATATAAGGTCCCACAGAAAGGCACGCACCTGTATATATAAGGTCCCACAGAAAGGCACGCACCTGTATATAGAAGGTCCCACAGAAAGGCACGCACCTGTATATATAAGGTCCCACAGAAAGGCACGCACCTGTATATATAAGGTCCCACAGAAAGGCACCTGTATATATATAAGGTCCACAGAAAGGCACACACCTGTATATATAAGGTCCCACAGAAAGGCACACACCTGTATATATAAGGTCCCACAGAAAGGCACACACCTGTATATATAAGGTCCCACAGAAAGGCACCTGTATATATAAGGTCCCACAGAAAGGCACCTGTATATATATAAGGTCCACAGAAAGGCACACACCTGTATATATAAGGTCCCACAGAAAGGCACACACCTGTATATATAAGGTCCCAATGAGCACAGAGGCCTCCATGATCCGTAAATGGAAGAAGAACCAGGACTCTTCCTAGGACTGGCCGGCCTCTGAACTGAGCGATCGGGGGAGAAGGGCCTTAGTCAGGGAGGTGACTAAGAACCCCATGGTCACTTTGTCAGAGCTCCAGCGTTCCTCTGTGGAGAGAGGAGAACCTTCCAGAAGGACAACCATCTCTGCACCAATCCACAAATCAGGCCTGTGTGGTAGAGTGGCCAGACGGAAGCCGCTCCTTAGTTTGGAGTTTGCCAAAAGGCACCTGAAAGACTCTCTGACCATGAGTAAAAACATTCTCTGGTCTGATGAGACAGAGATTGAACTCTTTGGCGTGAATGGCAGGCGTCATGTTTGGAGGAAACCAGGCACTGCTCATCACCGAGCCAATATCATCCCTACAGTGAAGCATGGGGGTGGTAGCATCATGCTGTGGGGATAATACCATCCCTACAGTGAAGCATGGGGGTGGTAGCATCATGCTGTGGGGATAATACCATCCCTACAGTGAAGCATGGGGGTGGTAGCATCATGCTGTGGGGATAATACCATCCCTACAGTGAAGCATGGGGGTGGTAGTATCATGCTGTGGGGATAATACCATCCCTACAGTGAAGCATGGGGGTGGTAGTATCATGCTGTGGGGATAATACCATCCCTACAGTGAAGCATGGGGGTGGTAGCATCATGCTGTGGGGATAATACCATCCCTACAGTGAAGCATGGGGGTGGTAGCATCATGCTGTGGGGATAATACCATCCCTACAGTGAAGCATGGGGGTGGTAGCATCATGCTGTGGGGATGTTTTTCAGCGGCAGGAGCTGGGAGACTAGTCAAGATAGAGGGTAAGATGAATGCAGCAATGTACAGAGACATCCTGGATGAAAAGCTGCTCCAGAGCTCTTGACCTCAGACTGGGGCGACGGTTCATCTTTCTGCAGGACAACGACCCTAAGCACAGCCACGATAACAAAGAAGTGGCTTCAGGACAACTCTGTGAATGTCCTTGAGTGGCCCAGAGCCCAGACTTGAATCCAACTGAACATCTCTGGAGAGATCTGAAAATGGCTGTGCACCGACACTCCCCGTCCAACTGGATGGAGCTTGAGAAGTTCTGCAAAGAGGAATGGGCCAAAACTGCCCAAAGACAGGTGTGCCAAGCTTGTGGCTCATAGTCACAAAGACTTGAGGCTGTAATTGCTCCAAAGGTGCATCAACAAAGTATTAAGCAAAGGCTGTGAATACTTATGTACATGAGCTTTCTTAGTTTAATTTTAATACATTTGCAAGAATCTCAAATCTCTCATGTTGTCATTATGGGCTGTTGTGTGTAGAAATGTGAGGAAAAAAAATAATTAAATCAATTTTGGAATAAGGCTTTAACAAAACAAAATGTGGAAAAAGTGAAGCGCTGTGAATACTTTCTGGATGCACTGTATATATATTTTATGTATAAATATATATATATATATATATATATATATACATATATTTAAATGTATATATAATGTGTGTGTATAATATACATGTTACTTTCAATGACAATAGAAATAATTATGTTTGGACCGAAAGGACGTGAGGAGAAGAACCAAAGCTGCAGAGGTCTTGGCTTCAGCAGAAACACGTTTTATTGACATTTTATTTGGGGAGCTCGGAGTAGAGCCGCTGCTCCTCTACGTAGAGCGGAGCCAGTGGAGGTTGCTCATCTGTTTGGGATGCCCCCCGGGAGACCAGAAGACCAGTGGGAGACCAGGACACAGAGTGACTGTCTCTGGGAATGCCTCAGGATTCCCTCAGATGAAGTGGATGGATTTCAAATATTACTGCTCCTTGTGCTAATGTAAGGTCCTCATATTTATTTATATAGCACCTTTCATAGACTGAGTCACTGTTGTAGTATCACTTGAAACTATTCAAAACCCGTGTAAATGTCGCCCTCTACTGGCCGTTTGCAGAACTGCAAAATAAACCAAGAAGGAACTGGTCTTATTAAACTTTTATGGGAGTGAATATTAGGCTCTTTCTGACAGTTTTAGATACAGCCTCATGTCACTGCGAAAAGAAACAAGGAAACAAGGAAAAGGCCTGTGGGCGGAGCGTGAGACCTTTGGGCGGGGTTAAAGGCGGAAGTGAAGCCTCAGCAACAGGGGCTCAAACACACGTAGCTTTAACCCGGGTTATACAACATGTTCAACGGAGAAATCCTCCGGGTGTTGGTGAAGGAGGAAGAGGAGGACAGGCCGCTGTCGGCGCTGGCCGCGGGTGCGTCTCTGTTCTGTTGTGATACAGATGTTTATATGAATGTGTTCGTGGTTAGATCTGGGTCAAATGCGGCTCAAACGTGTTACAGATGTCAGACCTGAGACTCAGTCCGACTGAGCTTTCCCCCTGCGCCTTTTGACGTGGTTTACGGGAACAGTAGAACTGCGCAATTGTAGTGGGTGGATGCATCCGATTCCACAACAAAGACCTCCTCGAATCCTTCATTATACAACACAATACCATTTATTCTTGTATTTCCCTAAATCACAACAGCATCATCTCAGAGACTTAACAAAACCATTGAAATCACCAACACAGATCAGAGAATCAACAGTTAAAACACAAAAAAAAATTATTATCCTTCTTCGTTTGTTGAGCTTGACTTTACAAGAAACAGAACATTTACAAGTTCTCAAAGGACTTTTCAAAGCCTTGAATGTAGAGACCGTGTCTGTTTCTTTAGCGTGGACGAAGCTGATTCCACAGTAAAGAGCTTGGAGCTAAATGCTCTGCCACAGACAGAGCTTTTTGACTCTTTAGGACCCAGCAGATGCCTGTGTTTGGTTGAAGATAAGAAGGAGCCATTTATGGCTTTGTTAAAGTATTTTAAATGTTGTTCTATCCTCCACAAGAAGCCAGTGGAGGGATTTTAACTCTGGAGTCATGTGCTCCTCCTTTAGGTGGCTTTTAAGATCCTTCCTGCTGTATTTTGGACGAGTTGGAAACTTTTCATAAATGATTTTGGGCACGACTGGTGTCCTGCTGCAGCAGGAGGAGGACCAGCAGGAGTCCTGCTGCAGCAGGAGGAGGACCAGCAGGAGTCCTGCTGCAGCAGGAGGAGGACCATCAGGAGTCCTGCTGCAGCAGGAGGAGGACCATCAGGAGTCCTGCTGCAGCAGGAGGAGGACCATCAGGAGTCCTGCCGCAGCAGGAGGAGGACCATCAGGAGTCCTGCTGCAGCAGGAGGAGGACCATCAGGAGTCCTGCTGCAGCAGGAGGAGGACCATCAGGAGTCCTGCTGCAGCAGAAGGAGGACCAGCAGGAGTCCTGCTGCAGCAGGAGGAGGACCATCAGGTGTCCTGCTGCAGCAGGAGGAGGACCATCAGGAGTCCTGCTGCAGCAGGAGGAGGACCATCAGGAGTCCTGCTGCAGCAGGAGGAGGACCATCAGGAGTCCTGCTGCAGCAGGAGGAGGACCATCAGGAGTCCTGCTGCAGCAGGAGGAGGACCATCAGGTGTCCTGCTGCAGCAGGAGGAGGACCATCAGGTGTCCTGCTGCAGCAGGAGGAGGACCATCAGGAGTCCTGCTGCAGCAGGAGGAGGACCATCAGGAGTCCTGCTGCAGCAGGAGTCCTGCTGCAGCAGGAGGAGGACCAGCAGGAGTCCTGCTGCAGCAGGAGGAGGACCAGCAGGAGTCCTGCTGCAGGAGGATATAATATTGTAATATTTCTATTACTGTTGTTTGGTTTCAGGAGGATCCACCTCAGAGACCAGACTGAAGCAGGACGTCCCAAAGACTCTTCACATCAAAGAGGAACCGTCAGAACAGAGCCTCAACCAGGAGGAAGAGGAGGAGGAGGAAGAGCAGCTCCCAGAGTTCACTGCTGTGTGTGTGAAGAGTGAAGAAGAACCAAGAGACCATGATGAAGACTATGATGAAGACTGGGGACATCCAGGCAGCAGTTCTACTGCACAGATGCAGACAGAGGCTGAGGGAGACCTCTACAACCAAGTCCACACACAGGGACTGTCAGGGACCGGACCCAGAGACCTGCTGTCAGGGACCGGACTGTCAGGGACCGGACTGTCAGGGACCGGACTGTCAGGGACCGGACTGTCAGGGACCGGACTGTCAGGGACCGGACCCAGAGACCTGCTGTCAGGGACCGGACCCAGAGACCTGCTGTCAGGGACCGGACCCAGAGACCTGCTGTCAGGGACCGGACCCAGAGACCTGCTGTCAGGGACCGGACTGTCAGGGACCGGACTGTCAGGGACCGGACTGTCAGGGACCGGACTGTCAGGGACCGGACTGGCAGGGACCGGACCCAGAGACCTGCTGTCAGGGACCGGACTGTCAGGGACCGGACCCAGAGACCTACTGTCAGGGACCGGACTGTCAGGGACCGGACTGGCAGGGACCGGACCCAGAGACCTGCTGTCAGGGACTGGATACAAAGATACCAGAGAACGGAAATACGAGTGCTCAATCTGTTCAAAGGGATTCACGACTAGAATTAATTTGGAAATACACATCAGAATCCACACGGGCGATAAACCTTTCAGCTGCTCATTTTGTGAGAAAACTTTTGCTCAAAAAGGAAATCTCCTAAGACACGAGCAAACACACACAGGTGAAAAACCTTACAGTTGTTCAGTTTGTCAGAAATTGTTTTCTCGAAAGTCTAATCTGAATGAACACATGAAAACTCACACTGGGGAGAAACCTTACAGCTGTCCGTACTGTGAAAAGATGTTCATAGAAAACTCCACTCTCAGACGGCACATGAGGACTCACACAGGAGAGAAGCCTTACAGCTGTTCCACCTGTAAAAGAAAGTTTGCTCAAAGATCAACGTTGGATAAACACATGGTGATACACACGGGGGAGAGACCTTACAGCTGTTCGTTCTGTGATAAAACTTTTACATCCAAGTCTGCCCTTGGTGTACATGTTCGAATCCACACTGGAGACAAACCCTACAGGTGTTCAGATTGTGGGAAAGATTTTATTTCTAAGCGTACACTGATTGGTCATATGGTCACTCACACGGGGGTGAATCCTTACAGCTGTTCCTTCTGTGGGAAAGGTTTTGCCTACAAGTTTGGCCTTGAAGTCCACACTCGAGTTCACACTGGAAAGAAGCCCTACAGCTGTTCAGTCTGTGAGAGCACCTTTCTATATGGGTCAGCCCTGAAGAAACACATGAAAACTCACACAACAGAGAAACCCTGCAGCAGTTCAGACTAGAACCTTTTTACTAAACTTTCAAAGTTAAAGTAGTACTAGAATGTAATATGCTGCTATCCAGAATATATAACTACAATATGTGTTTATAATATTTCGGGTGTTCATTTTGACATGTTCAGATGAACTATGTTAAAAAAACGGCTTTGAAGTGGCCCCTTATAACAAACGCTAGGGGGCGCCAAAATGTCGGCGATGACGTAGGAGAAGGACCTCTCACAGCAGCAGCAGCAGTCTGGGCTGAATCTGTAGGAGGTTTCACTGTCATCTGAACAACGTATAAACATATTTTCATCAGTTTGTACATAATAGTGTGCAACTCTTTTAACCTTTTAGCCTTATTTGTGAGATTCAAGCTAATTAGTGTTGGGCAAGTTAGCTAACTCTACTTGATATCATAAAACATGCTAACAAGGCTAATATTCGTTTTTACATTATGCCAGTCTCACTTTGCCTTAGATTTATTTACCACAATGTACATTGTAATATCCATAAATGCTAATCAAAATAACTTGAATTAAATAAATATTTTACTTTTATGAACAAAAAGTTGCAGAAGTTGAAAACATAGACTACATGTGATGCAATCATTGATAAAAATGCTAATTAAACCGTTAATAGGTGTTAGCATTTATGGATATTACAATGTACATTGTGGTAAATAAATCTAAGGCAAAGTGAGACTGGCATAATGTAAAAACGAATATTAGCCTTGTTAGCATGTTTTATGATATCAAGTAGAGTTAGCTAACTTGCCCGACACTAATTAGCTTGAATCTCACAAATAAGGTTAAAAGAGTTGCACACTATTATGTACAAAACTGATGAAAATATGTTTATACCTTGTTCAGATGACAGTGAAACCTCCTACAGATTCAGCCCAGACTGCTGCTGCTGCTGTGAGAGGTCCTTCTCCTACGTCATCGCCGCCATTTTGGCGCCCCCTAGCGTTTCTATGCGGAAGTGAAAAGGTGCCACTTCAAAGCAGTTTTTTTAACATAATTCATCTGAACATGTCAAATTGAACACCCGAAATATTATAAACACATATTGTAGTTATATATTCTGGATAGCAGCATATTAAACTCTAGTACTACTTTAAAGGTGACATGACTGGAGTCTGTCACCTTCTTTACTCTTCCGCATGTTCAGTCTGCGTCACACGGCAGGATATTTAGACAGATTTTGCATCTGATTCTTCCTTAACGACAATCTTAGAATCTTAAAATCCTGCCGCGTCGTCTCAGACTTTTCCTGAGCTCGAGGAGTTTACTTTGAAAGTAGGAGCCAAACTTCACCATGAGCACTTCCATATTGGGCTGAATAAAATTTTAGGGTTAGCATTGAGCTAGCGGGTTAGCATTGAGCTAAGCAGTCTGTTTCTGTCTCGCTCTGGTCTCCTGTTTTGTTAAACTTTGCTTTTTGTTTTCTCAGTTAATATTTGAGTTGATTGTGTTTAGTTTGAACAGGACTGTGTTGTTTTCATGGTTAATAAAGTTCTTTCAGTCACTGAGTCTTCTTCAACACACAAACTGTTCGTCACAGAAACAAACTCATTTACAATCGGGTTTTATATATTTCTAATTAGACGCTTGTGGCTCAACGTCAGTGTTGATGAAAGGTACACAAATAAATACACAATCTATTATAGATATTTAAACAACATAATATATACAAATATACACAACACAATATATACAAATATACACAATACAATATATACAAATAAAAAACAACACAATATATACAAATATACACAACACAATATATACAAATATACACAATATAATATATACAAATATAAACAACACAATATATACAAATTGATATAGACAAAATATATATAGATCATTTCCAAAATATCTTGAGTTAAATATTACTGAAGTTAAAATTAAACTTTTGTAACTTTTTCTTCAAAAACGGTCAGACATGATCTGTTATAGACACGTGAATATTTTCTGCAGGATTCCACGTACTTCAGACTTTTTTGGTCGAAAAGTAGGTTCTGTTTTAAATTTTATTATTATTTTTTTTAATTATTATTATCTTATTTTTCAGACTCGAAGTCCATAAAAAACATAAATAACACTTCACAAAAAACATACTGAACAATAAATACAGTTATAATATGAAAAACTGTACACTAGAGCTTAAAAGAGCGGACTGGTAATCATTTTCGGGGTTCAAAAGAGTCCGCACAATATAGTTCTCACTGACATTCAGGACGGAATATAAAAACCTTGTACATCATTGTTCTAATGTTGAGCATGGAAAGAGTTCACAACGAATAGCAGAATGGAGGCACTATTGGACCTGGCTTTTTCTGCCAGAATCATTGAAAGCATCATTTATATGCATAATTTGAGCTTCTGTAAGTGCAGCCTTATTATTTCTGATCCACATTGGGGCTGTTTACTGTGGTGAACAGTTAATTTTAAACAGTTTAATTTTAAATCGACTGTGAACAGTGTGATAAATTTCCGCAATGAGGTGTTGGCTTGAGCGTACTGTTAGGACAACTGGCGATTAATGTCATCATAATCACAGAGTCGGGAGCTTTTGATGTGACCAAGTATTTAATTTTGATGAATTAACAACAGCTTGTGGACTGATTTGTAAAAGTTGGTAAACAAAGATGTTTATCCCTAAAATTTTCTATAATGTGTGAACCGCAGGACATTTTCTGTTGTTTGATGTAAGTTCTTAAAATGGGATTCACATCCTCCGTTCTGATCACTAGAGCAGACGCGTTGTAAGGAAGGCTGTGGCGCTTTAAAAACACATCAGCTAATACGAACATAAGTACTTACGTGGTATCCATGCACAGTGCATAAACGCGAAGACAGATCCAAGAAGTGAGAAAGAAACTATAGACGTGCAGACAGAACCATTAATCGTGCTGACAGAAAACTATAGATGTGCAGAGAACCAATGACGTGCCAGATAGAATCCATAGATGTGCAGAACAGTATCATAAACGTGCTGACAGAACTATAGATGTGAATGAAAGAAAACAAATATGGGGATAAGAAAGGTGTTTGTGGAGCAGGGCTGCTGCTGCTGCCAGGACAGAGGAGAGAGAGAGATGGTTGGATAAGGTGGGTACTTGTAGACTTCCAGAAGGGGTACCTGATGCTGGCTGGAAATCCTGGAAGTGGAGCTGGATATGGTAATGGTATGAGTAGCAAGGTCTGTGTAGCCTAGCTCCACTTAACAGCCACTTAGATGGCCAAGGGCAGAAAGGACTGGTTTTACTGTGATAGTTATTCACTACTTTCTTAGTGAAGTCTATAGATGCAGCATTTTGAATGTACTGCAGCTATTTTACTGCATATTTAAAGAGACCAGTGAGTAGGCCGTTTAAAGTTGTCTAACATAACAGGAGGCCTAAAAGCATGGATTTGAATCTACAGGTCTTGCTTTGGTCAGATATTTTTATATATGTTCTTCAGATGGTAAAAAGCTGTTGATCTTATAGTGGCTAGTTTTCTGGAACTTCTCTTAGATCAGAATTTAGGGGGGGGAGTATGCTGAAGCTGATATATAACGCTTTACTCTTTGTTTATGGGGACAAAAGACATTAATTTTGATTTTGTCGCATTTAACGGGAAGGAGATTTTTGATGCATACATCACTGATCTGTTGGTTGCAGTGAAGGAGCGGAGGTACAAGTGGTCCATGTTCTCCTACAGTACTCATCGTATCTGCATGAGGATCTCATGGTTGTTAGGGTCGAATGTGGTCTCAGTTCAAACATGACTAAAACTAGTGACTTTACTCAGTAGCAGTGTGATAGTCGAGGGTAGTTCGTTACTTCATCTAGAAGGTCTCTCTATATTCATGATTTCATGGGGAAATTAAGTAGATATATCGGAGGTGAAGAATGGCCCAAAGCACTTTGACTTAATATTCGTTATTGTTGAAGGGACGCCTGAATTGGATTGGTATTTCATTTGTATAAATGTAATTTTTTTGGTATTAAATTATTAGAAAACTGGGCATTTTGGTCAAAATAATTATAATAATTGTGGTTTTATTATCTTGAAAGAATAAGCTATACATGGTGCATATGGTTGCAGAAATCGCTTGACAGTCTTAATTGGAGTTATTCAATCCTAAAAACAAAAACCTGAGGTTGATAGACCTCATTTGAAGGTTCCTTCCATCCATGCCATTTTCTTACCATTTAATCCATTTCTGGGTCTGGGGGGGTGGCAGTCTAGAGTTGCCACCCATGTTCATTGCACACTGCCCTTCACTGACCTCTGCAGGTGGTGGGTCCACAGGGTGGACAGCTGCTCTCTGAGTGTGTGCAATAGCCTTGATCTTCAGTAGGGGGCTTATGGGCAAAGTTGGGGTTAAAGTGTCTTGCCAAGGTATTTTTTTACAAACGACAAGCTATATCAGTGGGACGTCGATGGAGAAGGTGTTATAGTGGTGGGAATTGATCCCACGTCCTTCGACATTTAGGCCAAATGCTCTATCCTAATGAGCTACTATCGGCCACAATTTCATTTTTTGTTAATTTTCATCTTGCAGTTTTAGAGTCAAATGTGTGCGCGTGTGCAATTGTGTAAAAGATAGATAAAGCATGTACAAAATGACAGAGGAAGAAGAGGACTCTTTCGACTGTTTTAAGTAGTTTGGGAAATATAAATTCTCTCAAACCGGAGTAAGAAACAGCGTTGGAAGCGTTCCTCATGAAAAAGGACGTTTTCGCAATGCTTCCCACTGGATTTGGGAAGAGTTTAATCTACCAGTTGTCTCCACTTGTTGCCAAAGAAATGAAATTTTTTCAAATCCTGTGGTAGTCGTCGTTTCTCCTCTCGTGGCACTAATGGAGCAACAAGGGGTGGAAGCAAGCCGCCTTGGTATCGTAGCGATGCAACTTGGTGTCAACAGCTATGAAGAAATCTTGAACGGGAAACCCGAATTGCTGTTTGGTAGTCCGGAGTCATGGCTACTAAACCGTAAATGGTGTGGATTTTTGGCTACAATGACAGAGCTGGTCGGGATAGTTGTCGATGAGGTTCATCTCACCTATAAATGGTAAGCAAACATTGTAAAAAGTAATTTCTGTAGTTTACCGTTTATGTTATCTTTCGGCTTAATGTAAACAAGCATGTTTTTCGCAAACTACTGTGTTGATCAATGATCAACGTTAACATTATAGCCAAATATAATTTTAAAAAATGGTAGTGGATGCTTGTGTCTCGCTAAGGGCCACCACGTCTCACCTGACTTTTTATACTGTGATTATATCTTTGTTTGAATTTCCTCAATTTAAACAAATAAAATGCATGGGCCTTGATGAAAGTCTTTCCAAATATGACGCTTGTTTATATTTTCAATGAAAAATGCAGACTATTCAACAAATAACCTGTGTTATCCCTCTCTTGCTAGGGGACAGGCTGAAAAGGGGAAAAGTGCCTTTAGAGAAAGCTTTGCAAGGCTTGGGGAACTACGCTCCATAGTTCAACCTGGTGAGTATATTATTTAACTTTTTTTAATTAACAATGACTTACTGTAGCATTCTCCGCTGCTAAGATTATTAGAGTAATCTTAGAAATGTAAATGTAGTTGTAGTAATAAGAAAAAAACATGACAAATATACACTTGAAGTAACTTAGTACTTTACTACTAACTCCAGAAACACGTGGCATTGCTGGTTTTATTTATTTGTTTGGCTTATGTTTTCCAGGTACTCCTGTATTGGCACTGACAGCTACAGCTGATCTTGCTGCCAGGGCTAGGGTGAAGAGACAGCTGCATCTGGAGAATGCTACAGTCATAACAGCTAGCCCCAATAGAGAAAATGTTCGGCTTGGCCTGAAGAAGATCGCTGGATCATCTCTGGAGTGCCTTGATTGGCTTGTGCAAGAGGTTAAATCAGAAGGACTTTGCATGTCTCCAGTTCTCATTTACTGCCGTACTTTTAAAGATACCGGCAGGATCTTTTGCTATTTGAAAGCTGAACTTAGTGACTTTGCTTGGATAAATCAAGATCCCCAACGTAACCAAGAAAACATGCTCATTGGTATGTTTCACAGTAAAACTCTAGCAGACAACAAACGTAGGGTTCTGTCCTCCTTGTCTGGAGAAGGAAACTGCAGAGTTATCGTTGCCACGACTGCCCTTGGGATGGGATTAAATTTTTCTTCTATTTCTCATGTGGTTATGTATGGTTTACCTGATGATTTGGAGGCTGTGGTACAACAAATTGGGAGGGCAGGGAGGGATGGAAAACAATCCCATGCAATTGTGTATGCAATTACACAGCACACTCGTGTGGACGACAGTCAAAAAGCTGGTGCAGACATGCCAAAAGTCTTGTTTTAGAAGGTTTTTGTTTAGTTATTTTGAAGAGTCTGTCTCTGTGGTTGAACCTGGTCATCTGTGCTGCACTTACTGCCACAACAAATGTCAATGTCACACAGATGGTTGTAATCAGCCCATGCCTGTGTATGAAACATATGAAAGGGACATTTTACCACAGGCCACAAGACGGGTTACAGAGGATGACCGGATGAAGCTTCGACAACTCTTAGAGGAATATAGATGTACTTTACTAATGGAAGGCACACACCTGTACACAAGCTCAACTGCATGCACAGGCTTTGGAGTTGAACTTGTACAAGAGATAATAGAGCACAGCGCAAACATTTTTGATGTGAATTACATTATTCAGCATCTACCTGTGTTCCAAAAGAAACATGGCGAAGACATTCTTCTGATCATAAACACAGTATTTAAAGATGTTAAATGCTGCCCTACTGCATCCACAACACCTGTCGCAATCCCTCCCCTTGATATTGATTATACAGGGTATGTTGATAAAGACAACTTTGATCAGGATTGTGAAGACACACCATCAGATACGAGTCCTGTATCAGGTGTGACCTCTCTAGAGCCCTCTGACTAATGGTGTCATGTATACATGTATATATATATTTTTTTGCCTCAACACTTGTTCCGTTTTGTTTTATTAAAATAAAAGATTTTGTGTTCTCCTAGTTATCCTAGTATTTGAATGTATTACCTTGACTGACACAAATGGTAGAGTAGTAAAAAGAACTAATACATTATAATGAAATTAAGTTTTTATGTTAAATTTTCAAAACCCAACAAGCCAGTGTTACTATAATATAAATAAATGTATAGCATAAATAAATAAATAAAATTGTACAATGTTACATCAGAACACAAACATTGATTGCAACTAAAAATACCTGTATGCACAGAACATGCACAATAATTATTTGCAAAGAAAACATTGACCCAGTATATCTACTTCAAGTAATGGAGTAAACTAAACAAAAAACAACATCTTCTATAGTACATTTAACTTTTAGTATTTTATATTGCTCACCTACATTCCTCAAATAAAAATACTATGTACTCTTTTACATTTCTAGAAAGACCCAAATATTACAAGTAAAATAATTACTTGGCTTTTGTTTATCCAAACACAGCCTTAAGATACACATTCCAAAGTCACTAGGTAACAGTTTTTTTGTAACACTACTACACTTCAAATACTATTGCAAAGCTTAGTCTTTGTTTTCAAAGAAAAAATAATTATTTTGGCATTAACTACATTTGTAGTTAATGCCTTTGTTGTAAAAAGTGTATACTTAAAATACAATTTTTATCCGTTACTGTTATATGCTCTTATATTTGTACTTTTTGTGTACTTCTTGGAGTAACTGTTACTAATTGGCATACATGTCAATACAATATTCAAAGGGCTACTTTTCGCCAATCTTTGATTTTAGCACGCATCCATTTGTAAGACTACTGTAACTTAACCTTTCCAACAGGTTTTTCGAGAAGGCGGGGAATGATATGTATTCTCTTCCTGCATTAAACTTAAAAATGTCAGCATCTTTGAAAATCTTTGCAAGTGCATGGATGTCCATAACCTCCTTAGCTGCTCGATGTAGCCCACTTGGAGGATTGATTTCAAGCTCTGCATCTGTCTTGTCCATCATATCTTTCAAGATGCCGATGGAACAGCTGATTCGACGTGCAGAGTCCTCATTAAGATTTGGCCCTAATCCTTTTAGATAGGACTTGAGGTAGTTGTTAAGGTGCTCAAGGTGTACATCCAAGGGTACATTGTTTCCTGTACCTCCTCTTCTGTTCCAAAATCTGTTCCACATAACACTGTGTGCCATGCGTGGAGATAGGGTAGAATTCAGTTGAAGTGACAGAAGAAAAGTGCTGTAAGCATAGTTTGTGTGTCTGTATGCTTTGTAAAAAAGCAAAGCCACTTCATAAAGTCGCATGAGGCGTCTTCCATCTCCTTCTTTGACAGCATCAAGCATGTTTAGAAGAAGAAATCCAAAGCCTAGTCTTGCTTCAGAATGCTGCTTGATATGATCTTCACCTGCGGGACACAACTCAAGAGTCATGTTATGTTTTGTAGTCTCATGTCTTTGTCGGTCATTGTCATTCCTGTGGACTTTTCCACATCCCTGCTGTCGACATACAAATCTTCTGTTTTGTTCCTTTGCATATTGCTCGAGGACCTCACTGAGCATGACTGATTTATCAACCACCTCAGCAGTCTTTAGATTTAACCAGTGCCTCTTTACCTGTGTTGAGCCTGAACAAATGTCATCAGGAATGAAGTCCTCCGGGATTTCTAATAAAAGAAATACAAATTGTTGCTTAACGAGCAGTGGTATATACAATAAAAGGAATTATTAATCACCTGTCACATCGTGTAGCCCAAAATGCTCCATTGCTGCAGCAACAAATAGTGCACTGGTGTCTCTTATCAGGAAGTTTTTGTATGCATCGTAAGATTTCATTGGGCCTTGTTTTGCATTTGAACATCTGCAAGACAAAAACATATCACCTCCACTTTTTAACAAATGAGAAAAACATGCAATATAATGTAAAATTTATATTGGCAGGACTGCTACAGCAGATCAGCTCATGAAGCACATTGACCATGTATGACCAACCGTAATTCTGCAAGAACCCTTGTGCTCTTTGAGCCTTCCTAAGAAGCTCCCTGGGACTAGTGCTACAAATAACACAGTGCACTTTAAACTTGATTTTGTGAAGTTATACAAATAGGGTCAGACTTACCAATTTACTACTTTTTTGCTTTGAACATCAAATAAATTGTTTATCAAATGTTTAGCTGTTGCCCTGTACATTAAAACGATTGATGGAATGAGTATGTTTTGGAGAAATGAATACATAAGGTGTACCTCAACACATTCATGTTTGCATAGACAGTCCCATGATCTCTGGCAGACTCTTGCTTGAAGAATATGTTGTAATGAATCTATCTCAATCAATTTAAAAAATATGTAAACGTCCTACATTCATAACAAATTGAAAGTACTATTGTACTCACTTCCATAAGATTTCGGATTGCATGCCAGTCTTCAAAGCAAAATGTAAGACCTTCGAGGCGGTCTGCCTCTTTTGCTCCATCTGCAAATGCCCATTGAATATTGCGACAGCAACCCTCTGTCAATCGGTCACCTCCACCTAACACAGTTGACAATCCGCCTGGGCCCTCTGGAACATACCTTTAAAGACATTCATATTTTTAGTTGACCAATAAATATTTTCTTCCCTACATTTGTTGAATTTGCCCAATTAACTTACTCCTTTTGGAGATGCTCAAGAACATCCACCAGATCCCCCATATTTGTTTCGGACTTAAAGATAAGTCCAAGAGGGTACTAAATAATAGAAACACAAAGCTTTTAGAAGAACAAGACATGGAATATTATTATGTTGACAAGTTTCACTTACATCTTTTGATCTTTGGGACATTTCCTCTGAGTATTCTTGGGGGATATGCCTCACGACCGCACTTGCCAATGGCTTAAAAGAACTCAGATATTGAGTATTGAGGATTGATATTGTTGCTGGATTTCAGGTCCTGGCAATGACTGGCTGAGATCATAAGTTGAGATGTCTGTATCTGGCCGTCCATTGGCAAGGTGATTTATGTGTACACAATCCTCCACTGCAATATGGTGAATCCAGTGTATTGACTTGTTGGTGTGAAGGACAGACTGGTGGTGAGCCTTCATGTGGAAATCAATGTTGTCAAACGGTAATGTGAAGGTGGGTGGTAGAGCTTCAAGTGTAGTGGACAATGTGGGAGTGGAGTCTGACGCTTCAAGAACTGTCACTTGCATGAAAGGCAATGTTTCCAAATCTTCTTCGCCGCACTGCAATACGCTTCTTTCATTATGTCCTTCTGTTGAGTAATATAAAAAAATACAAGACAATTTAGTACAGTATTTGAATTAATTCTATTGATTCTTTATACGTGTATCTAGGAAGAAACATCTCACCTGACAAAGTTATATTCTCCATGCTTTTGTGCATGTCATCTAGCAGCAAGTGTCTTTCAGATTGAGAATGTAGAAAAACTTCATTTTCAACTTTGAGGGTTAGAAGATCTTCTCCACATCTTGATGCCAAGTCTTTCTGCTTTCCAACAGCATGTTGATAGGATGTTGTTATTCCCAGTTTGCACAGTCTGTTAAACGCAGCTTTTTTGGTTCCACCATGCTGTAGTATGGTATTTACATAATAAGAAAATGCTGACATTTGGGGACATCTTCCTCTAAGTGCTATGCAAATAGCAGCACAAGCAGTGTGCAGACTTTTGTAGCCAATATTTTTAAAAATAGACCAAACAAATGGTGAAAGACGCTCAAAATCCAGTTGTAGCTTATCAAAAGAAAATGACCGCAGGTCCTCTGGTGTCGTTTTCCATAGCATAAATCCATGCTCACGCTTTGCAAGTGTTTCGCATTCTGCATTTACCATCTGAACAATGTGCTTTTTAATTTCCTCCATAAGATGCGGATGGGACGATATTAAATTGGCTGCAGTTTTCCAGTTTTGATTCGTTACATGCTGAATGATGCCTGCTTCTTCTGGGGACGAGATCTTCACCACAGTTTTACTTGGAAACGTCGAGATAACCTAAAATAAACAAAGACACACAGAAAGTACTTAAATTAATGGACGTTTGAAATGTTACAAATGTGTCAATGGACCACATGTCATTGTCTATGAGGGGGATCGCCGTGTCGTCACGTCCGAGGCACTGGTGGGCAACGCAAATGTATTTAATAGATATTAATAGTTCTATGGTGGGTCAAAACATCGTTCACAAACAGAGCATTGCATCTGTGAAAAGATCTGTGCTGTAAAATATCTGTGATTTAAATAAACAGCTCTTCAAGCTCGGAAAAATCAGCTGTTTGCCCACCAGTCACCAAAACATCCGGTGAAATAAACAATAACAGCGATCCTCCCTATATGCAATTGTGTAGTCTAACAAAAAGATTGAATGTACCCTTAAGCGTTACGTAGTCACGAAAGGAATACAGAATTAAAATATGATGAAAAACATGTTACCTGCGTAATACTTTTCCGTGCGAGTGTCAATTGGCCACGACAAAGTTTCTTCGCAGCCCTCGGCGTTTTTGCCGGTGTACGGCCTCTTTTGTCACTAGATGTAGATTGCGTTTCACTCGAAGTAGATTGCGCTTGTGCTTCACCTTTTTGTGCTTCATCTTCTTGCTGTCGCCAAGTATTCAAAGACTTGATGTCCCGTTCCAAACGACAAACCACATTGAAACACACGTTGCACGCTCGTATTGACCGATTGGGATTTGGGGATAGGAACAAACCCAAATCCGCCACTCTTTCAACAAGTAGCTTGTCACTTCTGCTTGGAACAAACAACGGAATTGAGTTGCTAATAACTCCTCGTATCTTTAAGTTTTTGTTACAAAATCGACAGCAGTCGTTTACATTTGCACTAGCTGACATGCCGCCATCCCTTGTTTTGTGTTTACTGAAACGGCTTGGGTGCCGCTAGTTGCTGCGTCATATCCTGTGTGCATCTAATTGGTTGATGCAGTCTGTCAACCACGCCCACCGGGAATTCAAGCTCGTTCCCAGACTATATGTCTTTGAAAAAGCATATCGTTTGGCAGGCCAGGCAACTCAAAAACTACACCATGGGAGTGCCGCAGGGCTCCATTCTGGGGCCTCTGCTTTTTAGCATTTATATAAATGACCTCCCCTCTGTCTGCACTGCAAATGTCATCATGTATGCTGACGACACAGTGTTGTTTGTTCATGGCAAAAACGTAAGTGATGTGGCCACAAAATTAACAAATGAAATGAAAAATGTTGCTGACTGGCTGTGTCAAAACTGTCTGACATCAAACACAGACAAAACCGTTTCAATGTATTTTACAAACCGAGGTAAGCATATCAGTTGTCCAGATATTTTTATTAATGGCAGTAAAATTAAAAATGTTGATGTATTCTCATATTTAGTGTAGTTAATATTTAGTAGGGTGAGTGACTGAGTGAGATATTCTAGTAGAAATTGGAACTTTTTTTATTGTTATTAAACTTAATGTTTTTGTGAATGATGTTACTGTATTTAAAGCCTGTAAATGTAAGACACAGTCATGTATCCATCTACATTGTAGTCAGTTTAAATGAACATAACACCAGCCTGCCCAGGGACTACAGGTGGACATTAGCATCTCTGCTATAACCTGGTACATGCATCTCTCCTTTTGTGTTAATGCTTAACTGTACACTGTCCCTGTTCAAATAAAGTACATACAATACAATACACCACACCAGACAAGACCCAAGGTGTCGGTTGTGCAAAGAGGCACCTGAGACGATCCAACACATAACTGCAGGGTGCAAGATGCTGCAGGGAAGGCCTACATGGAACGCCATAACCAAGTGGCTGGCATAGTGTACAGAAACATCTGTGCAGAGTATGGGCTGGAAACCCCAAGGTCTAAGTGGGAAACTCCTCCAAAGGTGGTGGAGAATGAGAAGATCCTGTGGGACTTCCAGATACAGACCGACCGAATGGTAATGAACCAACCTGACATCGTGGTGGTGGACAAAGGGCAGAGGACAGCCGTGGTGGTGGACAAAGGGCAGAGGACAGCCGTGGTGGTGGACAAAGGGCAGAGGACAGCCGTGGTGGTGGACAAAGGGCAGAGGACAGCCGTGGTGGTGAACAAAGGGCAGAGGACAGCCGTGGTGGTGGACAAAGGGCAGAGGACAGCCGTGGTGGTGGACAAAGGGCAGAGGACAGCCGTGGTGGTGGACAAAGGGCAGAGGACAGCCGTGGTGGTGGACAAAGGGCAGAGGACAGCCGTGGTGGTGGACAAAGGGCAGAGGACAGCCGTGGTGGTGGACAAAGGGCAGAGGACAGCCGTGGTGGTGGACAAAGGGCAGAGGACAGCCGTGGTGGTGGACAAAGGGCAGAGGACAGCCGTGGTGGTGGACAAAGGGCAGAGGACAGCCGTGGTGATGGACAAAGGGCAGAGGACAGCCGTGGTGGTGGACAAAGGGCAGAGGACAGCCGTGGTGGTGGACAAAGGGCAGAGGACAGCCGTGGTGGTGGACAAAGGGCAGAGGACAGCCGTGGTGGTGGACAAAGGGCAGAGGACAGCCGTGGTGGTGGACAAAGGGCAGAGGACAGCCGTGGTGGTGGACAAAGGGCAGAGGACAGCCGTGGTGGTGGACAAAGGACAGAGGACAGCCGTGGTGGTGGACGTGGCAATTCCAAGCGATGGTAACATCCGGAAAAAGGAACATGAAAAGCTTGAGAAATACCAAGGTCTCAGAGAGGAGCTGGAGAGGGCCTGGAGGGTAAAGGTCACAGTAGTGAGAGGGCCTGGAGGGTAAAGGTCACAGTAGTGAGAGGGCCTGGAGGGTAAAGGTCACAGTAGTGAGAGGGCCTGGAGGGTAAAGGTCACAGTAGTGCCTGTGGTGATCGGTGCACTCGGGGCAGTGACCCCGAAGCTAGAAGAGGTTACAGCGGATCCCTGGAACAACCTCGGACATCTCGGTCCAGAAATGTGCAGAGCTAGGAACAGCAAAGATACTGAACCCTCAAGCTCCCAGGCCTCTGATAGAGGACCTGAGCTTAGAGAGGGATAACCGCCAATTTAAAAAAAAATATATAAATATATATAAAAATATATTAGTGTGGGGCGACAGTAGCTCAGTTGGTAGAGCATTGGCCTTCAGGCCTGAAGGTCGTGGGTTCAATTCCCACCTCTACACCTTCTCCATCGACTCCCACTGATGACTGCTGTCGTTGTGTCCTTGGGCAAGACACTTAACCCCACTTTGCCCAAAGCCCCCACTGAAAGATCAAGGCTATGCTCACACTCAGAGAGCAGCCGTCCTCCTGTGGACTCACCACCTGCAGAGGGTCAGTGAGGGGCTGGTGCATCTCTGACTGCCACCCCCCTGACCCAGAAATGGATTAAAGGGTAGAAAATGGATGGATGGATATATTAGTGTGTGTTTTAGTGATCCCGGTGAACCGCATCCCCATCATGGCGAAGCAGGTGTATGAGTGTGTGTGTATATATGTGTGTATATATATGTATATGTGTGTGTTTTAGGGACCCCGGTGAACCGCATCCCCATCATGGCGAAGCAGGTCCTGGACCTGTACAGTCTGTATGAGTTGGTGACAGACAAAGGAGGTTTAGTGGAGGTCATCAACAAGAAGCTGTGGAGAGAGATCACCAAAGGCCTGAACCTGCCCACCTCCATCACCAGCGCCGCCTTCACCCTGAGGACGCAGTGAGTATGAGGCCACGCCCCCACAGGGCACTGCCAGATAGACCACGCCCCCACAGGGCACTGCCAGATAGGCCACGCCCCCACAGGGCACTGCCAGATAGGCCACCCCCCCCACAGGTCACAGCCAGATAGACCACACCCCCACCGGGCACTGCCAGATAGGCCACACCCCCCACAGGGCACTACCAGATATGCCACGCCCCCACAGGGCACTGCCAGATAGGCCGCACCCCCACCGGGCACTGCCAGATAGGCCACACCCCCCACAGGGCACTACCAGATAGGCCACGCCCCCACAGGGCACTGCCAGATAGGTCACTGCCAGATAGGCCACACCCCCACAGGGAACCAGATAGGCCACGCCCCCACAGGGCACTGCCAGATAGGCCACGCCCCCACCGGGCACCAGATAGGCCACACCCCCACAGGGCACAGCCAGATAGGCCACACCCCCACAGGGCACCAGATAGGCCACACCCCCACAGGGCACCAGATAGGCCACACCACCCACAGGTCACAGCCAGATAGGCCACGCCCCCACAGGGCACCAGATAGGCCACGCCCCCACAGGGCACTGCCAGATAGGCCACGCCCCCACCGGGCACAGAAAGATATGCCAAGCCCCCACAGATGTCTGTAAAAACCATGGGTCTATTATATCTGTCCCACCCTTGGGCCTAGGGGCCACCTGTGGTCCTGCAGACTAAACTCACGTCACCCAGAAACCTGACAGAGTACCGTGTGTGTGTGTGTGTGTAGGTACATGAAGTACCTGTACCCATATGAATGTGAGAAGCGTGGGCTGAGTAACCCTAACGAGCTGCAGGCCGCCATCGACAGTAACCGCAGAGAAGGTCGTCGGCAGAGCTTCGGCACCAGCCTCTTCACCTACTCTCCCAACGGGACCCCCACCATGCTGTCCTCCTCCAAGACCTCTGGCCTCCCCCTGGGCCTCTCTGTGGGCACGGCCTCCAACGGGACCTTCAGCCCCATCCACAAGATCAAGAACGGTCTGACCCTGAATCCTCCTAGCATAGACTGTATACACATGCTAATGCTAACATAGACTGTATACCTGCCTCTGTCTCTCTGCCTCTCTGCCTCTGTCTCTCTGCCTCTGTCTCTCTGCCTCTGTCTCTCTGTCTCTCTGCCTCTGTCTCTCTGCCTCTGTCTCTCTGCCTCTGTCTCTCTGCCTCTGTCTCTCTGCCTCTGTCTCTCTGCCTCTGTCTCTCTGTCTCTCTGCCTCTCTGCCTCTGTCTCTCTGCCTCTCTGCCTCTGTCTCTCTGCCTCTGTCTCTCTGTCTCTGTCTCTCTGCCTCTGTCTCTCTGCCTCTGTCTCTCTGTCTCTCTGCCTCTGTCTCTCTGTCTCTCTGCCTCTGTCTCTCTGCCTCTGTCTCTCTGCCTCTGTCTCTCTGCCTCTGTCTCTCTGCCTCTGTCTCTCTGTCTCTCTGTCTCTCTGCCTCTCTGCCTCTGTCTCTCTGCCTCTGTCTCTCTGCCTCTGTCTCTCTGCCTCTGTCTCTCTGCCTCTGTCTCTCTGTCTCTGTCTCTCTGCCTCTGTCTCTCTGCCTCTGTCTCTCTGCCTCTGTCTCTCTGCCTCTGTCTCTCTGCCTCTGTCTCTCTGCCTCTGTCTCTCTGCCTCTGTCTCTCTGCCTCTGTCTCTCTGTCTCTCTGTCTCTCTGCCTCTCTGCCTCTGTCTCTCTGCCTCTGTCTCTCTGTCTCTGTCTCTCTGCCTCTGTCTCTCTGCCTCTGTCTCTCTGTCTCTCTGCCTCTGTCTCTCTGCCTCTCTGCCTCTGTCTCTCTGCCTCTGTCTCTCTGCCTCTGTCTCTCTGCCTCTGTCTCTCTGCCTCTGTCTCTCTGTCTCTGTCTCTCTGCCTCTGTCTCTCTGCCTCTGTCTCTCTGCCTCTGTCTCTCTGTCTCTCTGTCTCTCTGCCTCTCTGCCTCTGTCTCTCTGCCTCTGTCTCTCTGTCTCTGTCTCTCTGCCTCTGTCTCTCTGTCTCTCTGCCTCTGTCTCTCTGTCTCTCTGCCTCTGTCTCTCTGCCTCTGTCTCTCTGTCTCTCTGTCTCTCTGCCTCTCTGCCTCTGTCTCTCTGCCTCTGTCTCTCTGTCTCTCTGCCTCTGTCTCTCTGTCTCTCTGCCTCTGTCTCTCTGTCTCTCTGCCTCTGTCTCTCTGCCTCTCTGCCTCTGTCTCTCTGCCTCTGTCTCTCTGCCTCTGTCTCTCTGTCTCTCTGCCTCTGTCTCTCTGTCTCTCTGCCTCTGTCTCTCTGCCTCTCTGCCTCTGTCTCTCTGTCTCTGTCTCTCTGCCTCTGTCTCTCTGCCTCTGTCTCTCTGCCTCTGTCTCTCTGCCTCTGTCTCTCTGCCTCTGTCTCTCTGCCTCTGTCTCTCTGCCTCTGTCTCTCTGTCTCTCTGTCTCTCTGCCTCTCTGCCTCTGTCTCTCTGCCTCTGTCTCTCTGTCTCTGTCTCTCTGCCTCTGTCTCTCTGTCTCTCTGCCTCTGTCTCTCTGTCTCTCTGCCTCTGTCTCTCTGCCTCTCTGTCTCTCTGTCTCTCTGCCTCTCTGCCTCTGTCTCTCTGCCTCTGTCTCTCTGTCTCTGTCTCTCTGCCTCTGTCTCTCTGCCTCTGTCTCTCTGCCTCTGTCTCTCTGTCTCTGTCTCTCTGCCTCTGTCTCTCTGCCTCTGTCTCTCTGCCTCTGTCTCTCTGCCTCTCTGCCTCTGTCTCTCTGCCTCTGTCTCTCTGCCTCTGTCTCTCTGCCTCTGTCTCTCTGTCTCTGTCTCTCTGCCTCTGTCTCTCTGCCTCTGTCTCTCTGCCTCTGTCTCTCTGCCTCTCTGCCTCTGTCTCTCTGCCTCTGTCTCTCTGCCTCTGTCTCTCTGCCTCTCTGCCTCTGTCTCTCTGCCTCTGTCTCTCTGCCTCTGTCTCTCTGCCTCTGTCTCTCTGTCTCTGTCTCTCTGCCTCTGTCTCTCTGCCTCTGTCTCTCTGCCTCTGTCTCTCTGCCTCTCTGCCTCTGTCTCTCTGCCTCTGTCTCTCTGCCTCTGTCTCTCTGCCTCTGTCTCTCTGCCTCTGTCTCTCTGCCTCTGTCTCTCTGCCTCTGTCTCTCTGTCTCTCTGTCTCTCTGCCTCTCTGCCTCTGTCTCTCTGCCTCTGTCTCTCTGTCTCTGTCTCTCTGCCTCTGTCTCTCTGTCTCTCTGCCTCTGTCTCTCTGTCTCTCTGCCTCTGTCTCTCTGCCTCTCTGTCTCTCTGCCTCTCTGCCTCTGTCTCTCTGCCTCTGTCTCTCTGTCTCTGTCTCTCTGCCTCTGTCTCTCTGCCTCTGTCTCTCTGCCTCTGTCTCTCTGCCTCTGTCTCTCTGCCTCTGTCTCTCTGCCTCTGTCTCTCTGCCTCTGTCTCTCTGTCTCTGCCTCTCTGCCTCTGTCTCTCTGCCTCTGTCTCTCTGCCTCTGTCTCTCTGCCTCTGTCTCTCTGCCTCTCTGCCTCTGTCTCTCTGCCTCTGTCTCTCTGTCTCTGTCTCTCTGCCTCTGTCTCTCTGCCTCTGTCTCTCTGCCTCTGTCTCTCTGCCTCTGTCTCTCTGCCTCTGTCTCTCTGCCTCTGTCTCTCTGCCTCTGTCTCTCTGTCTCTCTGTCTCTCTGCCTCTCTGCCTCTGTCTCTCTGCCTCTGTCTCTCTGTCTCTGTCTCTCTGCCTCTGTCTCTCTGCCTCTGTCTCTCTGTCTCTCTGCCTCTGTCTCTCTGTCTCTCTGCCTCTGTCTCTCTGCCTCTGTCTCTCTGCCTCTGTCTCTCTGCCTCTGTCTCTCTGCCTCTGTCTCTCTGCCTCTCTGCCTCTGTCTCTCTGCCTCTGTCTCTCTGCCTCTGTCTCTCTGCCTCTGTCTCTCTGCCTCTGTCTCTCTGTCTCTGTCTCTCTGCCTCTGTCTCTCTGCCTCTGTCTCTCTGCCTCTGTCTCTCTGTCTCTCTGTCTCTCTGCCTCTCTGCCTCTGTCTCTCTGCCTCTGTCTCTCTGTCTCTGTCTCTCTGCCTCTGTCTCTCTGTCTCTCTGCCTCTGTCTCTCTGTCTCTCTGCCTCTGTCTCTCTGCCTCTGTCTCTCTGTCTCTCTGTCTCTCTGCCTCTCTGCCTCTGTCTCTCTGCCTCTGTCTCTCTGTCTCTCTGCCTCTGTCTCTCTGTCTCTCTGCCTCTGTCTCTCTGTCTCTCTGCCTCTGTCTCTCTGCCTCTCTGCCTCTGTCTCTCTGCCTCTGTCTCTCTGCCTCTGTCTCTCTGTCTCTGTCTCTCTGCCTCTGTCTCTCTGCCTCTGTCTCTCTGCCTCTGTCTCTCTGCCTCTGTCTCTCTGCCTCTGTCTCTCTGCCTCTGTCTCTCTGCCTCTGTCTCTCTGTCTCTCTGTCTCTCTGCCTCTCTGCCTCTGTCTCTCTGTCTCTGTCTCTCTGCCTCTGTCTCTCTGTCTCTCTGCCTCTGTCTCTCTGTCTCTCTGCCTCTGTCTCTCTCTGCCTCTCTGTCTCTCTGTCTCTCTGCCTCTCTGCCTCTGTCTCTCTGCCTCTGTCTCTCTGTCTCTGTCTCTCTGCCTCTGTCTCTCTGCCTCTGTCTCTCTGCCTCTGTCTCTCTGTCTCTGTCTCTCTGCCTCTGTCTCTCTGCCTCTGTCTCTCTGCCTCTGTCTCTCTGCCTCTCTGCCTCTGTCTCTCTGCCTCTGTCTCTCTGCCTCTGTCTCTCTGCCTCTGTCTCTCTGTCTCTGTCTCTCTGCCTCTGTCTCTCTGCCTCTGTCTCTCTGCCTCTGTCTCTCTGCCTCTCTGCCTCTGTCTCTCTGCCTCTGTCTCTCTGCCTCTGTCTCTCTGCCTCTCTGCCTCTGTCTCTCTGCCTCTGTCTCTCTGCCTCTGTCTCTCTGCCTCTGTCTCTCTGTCTCTCTGCCTCTGTCTCTGTCTCCAGAGGACGGGGTCCAGCCTGTACCTGTGAGCCTTGGTCGTTACCCTGGGGGGGTACAGGCGGCTCTAGCTCAGGTGGCAGCTCTGGAGCAGCTCAGGGACAAACTGGAGACAGGAGAACCTCCAGAGAAGAAGAAGGCCCTCCCCCCACAGGACCATCACAGACTGCTGCAGAGAGCTCTACAGCACAACCTGCTGGCTATGAGCCACATGCCCATCCGCATCAACCAGCACACAGGTACAAGCACAGGTACATGCACAGGTACATGCACACAGGTACATGCACACAGGTACATGCACACAGGTACATGCACACAGGTACATACACTCAGGTACATACACACAGGTACATACACACAGGTACATGCACTCAGGTACATGCACACAGGTACATACACAGGTACATGCACACAGGTACATACACACAGGTACATGCACACAGGTACATACACTCAGGTACATGCACACAGGTACATGCACACAGGTACATGCACACAGGTACATACACTCAGGTACATGCACACAGGTACATACACTCAGGTACATACACACAGGTACATACACACAGGTACATGCACTCAGGTACATGCACACAGGTACATGCACACAGGTACATGCACACAGGTACATGCACACAGGTACATGCACACAGGTACATGCACACAGGTACATACACTCAGGTACACACTCAGGTACATACACTCAGGTACATACACACAGGTACATACACACAGGTACATACACACAGGTACAAGCACAGGTACACATAGGTGCATTCACAGGTACACTTACAACTACAAACACAGGTATATGCACACAGGTACATGCACACAGGTACATACACACAGGTACATGCACACAGGTACACACTCAGGTACATACACACAGGTACATACACACAGGTATATGCACACAGGTACATGCACACAGGTACATACACACAGGTACATGCACACAGGTACATACACTCAGGTACACACTCAGGTACATACACTCAGGTACATACACAGGTATATGCACACAGGTACATGCACACAGGTACATGCACACAGGTACATGCACACAGGTACATACACTCAGGTACACACTCAGGTACATACACTCAGGTACATACACACAGGTACATACACACAGGTACAAGCACAGGTACACATAGGTGCATTCACAGGTACACTTACAACTACAAGCACAGGTACATACACAGGTATATGCACACAGGTACATGCACACAGGTACATGCACAGGTATATGCACACAGGTACATGCACACAGGTACATGCACACAGGTACATACACTCAGGTACACACTCAGGTACATACACTCAGGTACATACACACAGGTACATACACACAGGTACAAACACAGGTACACATAGGTGCATTCACAGGTACACTTACAACTACAAGCACAGGTACATACACAGGTACATGCACACAGGTACATGCACTCAGGTACACACTCAGGTACATACACTCAGGTACATACACAGGTATATGCACACAGGTACATGCACACAGGTACATGCACACAGGTACATACACTCAGGTACACACTCAGGTACATACACTCAGGTACATACACACAGGTACATACACACAGGTACATACACACAGGTACAAGCACAGGTACACATAGGTGCATTCACAGGTACACTTACAACTACAAGCACAGGTACATACACAGGTACATGCACACAGGTACATACACTCAGGTACATACACACAGGTACATACACACAGGTACATGCACACAGGTATATGCACACAGGTACATGCACACAGGTACATACACACAGGTACATACACTCAGGTACACACTCAGGTACATACACTCAGGTACATACACTCAGGTACATACACAGGTATATGCACACAGGTACATGCACACAGGTACATGCACACAGGTACATGCACACAGGTACATACACTCAGGTACATACACACAGGTACATACACACAGGTACATACACAGGTACATACACTCAGGTACATACACTCAGGTACATACACAGGTATATGCACACAGGTACATGCACACAGGTACATGCACACAGGTACATGCACACAGGTACATACACTCAGGTACATACACACAGGTACATACACACAGGTACATACACACAGGTACAAGCACAGGTACACATAGGTGCATTCACAGGTACACTTACAACTACAAGCACAGGTACATACACAGGTACATGCACACAGGTACACGCACACAGGTACATACACTCAGGTACATGCACACAGGTATATGCACACAGGTACATGCACACAGGTACATGCACACAGGTACATGCACACAGGTACATACACTCAGGTACATGCACACAGGTACATACACTCAGGTACATACACACAGGTACATACACACAGGTACATACACACAGGTACAAGCACAGGTACACATAGGTGCATTCACAGGTACACTTACAACTACAAGCACAGGTACATACACAGGTACATACACAGGTACATGCACACAGGTACATACACTCAGGTACATGCACACAGGTATATGCACACAGGTACATGCACACAGGTACATGCACACAGGTACATGCACACAGGTATATGCACACAGGTACATGCACACAGGTACATGCACACAGGTACATACACACAGGTACATACACTCAGGTACACACTCAGGTACATACACTCAGGTACATACACTCAGGTACACACTCAGGTACATACACTCAGGTACATACACTCAGGTACATGCACACAGGTACATGCACACAGGTACATACACACAGGTACATACACACAGGTACATACACACAGGTACATACACACAGGTACATGCACACAGGTACATTCACACAGGTACATACACTCAGGTACATACACACAGGTACATACACACAGGTACATACACTCAGGTACACACACAGGTATATGCACACAGGTACATGCACACAGGTACATGCACACAGGTACATACACAGGTATATGCACACAGGTACATGCACACAGGTACATGCACACAGGTACATACACTCAGGTACACACTCAGGTAAATACACACAGGTACATGCACACAGGTACATGCACACAGGTACATGCACACAGGTACATTCACACAGGTACATGCACACAGGTACATGCACACAGGTACATTCACACAGGTACATTCACACAGGTACATGCACACAGGTACATACACTCAGGTACACACTCAGGTACATACACACAGGTACATGCACACAGGTACATGCACACAGGTACATGCACACAGGTACATGCACACAGGTACATGCACACAGGTACATGCACACAGGTACATTCACACAGGTACATTCACACAGGTACATTCACACAGGTACATACACACAGGTACATGCACACAGGTACATGCACACAGGTACATACACTCAGGTACATACACACAGGTACATGCACACAGGTACATGCACACAGGTACATACACACAGGTACATGCACACAGGTACATACACTCAGGTACATACACACAGGTACATGCACACAGGTACATGCACACAGGTACATACACACAGGTACATGCACACAGGTACATGCACACAGGTACATGCACACAGGTACATACACACAGGTACATGCACACAGGTACATGCACACAGGTACATACACTCAGGTACATACACACAGGTACATGCACACAGGTACATGCACACAGGTACATGCACACAGGTACATACACGCAGAGGCGTCCCGTGCCTGCCTTGTGGGGGCAAGGCAGGCAGCTGGGCCCCCGAGGGCCGACAGATTTGACACAAGCAGTTGACTTGTACTGACTACAACAGCTACCTGCAGTGACAAGTTGGCGTGACTTTTCGTCTGATGCAAAGCTTGCCATGTTCTTTATAAACAGTTAAAATCACTTTCTGGGGACTTTAGTGGGACTTCCGGTGTTCAATCTAACATGCTAGTTATGAAGTCTAACATGTGTTCAGTCTAACATGCTGGTTATGAAGTCTAACATGTGGTCAATCTAACATGCTGGTTATGAAGTCTAACATGTGGTCAATCTAACATGCTGGTTAGGAAGTCTAACATGTGGTCAATCTAACATGCTGGTTATGAAGTCTAACATGTGGTCAATCTAACATGCTGGTTAGGAAGTCTAACATGTGTTCAGTCTAACATGCTAGTTATGAAGTCTAACATGTGTTCAGTCTAACATGCTGGTTAGGAAGTCTAACATGTGGTCAATCTAACATGCTGGTTATGAAGTCTAACATGTGTTCTGTCTAACATGCTGGTTATGAAGTCTAACATGTGTTCTGTCTAACATGCTGGTTATGAAGTCTAACATGTGGTCAATCTAACATGCTGGTTATGAAGTCTAACATGTGTTCTGTCTAACATGCTGGTTATGAAGTCTAACATGTGTTCAATCTAACATGCTGGTTAGGAAGTCTAACATGTGTTCAATCTAACATGCTGGTTATGAAGTCTAACATGTGTTCTGTCTAACATGCTGGTTATGAAGTCTAACATGTGGTCAATCTAACATGCTGGTTATGAAGTCTAACATGTGGTCAATCTAACATGCTGGTTAGGAAGTCTAACATGTGTTCTGTCTAACATGCTGGTTATGAAGTCTAACATGTGGTCAATCTAACATGCTGGTTATGAAGTCTAACATGTGGTCAATCTAACATGCTGGTTATGAAGTCTAACATGTGGTCAATCTAACATGCTGGTTAGGAAGTCTAACATGTGTTCAGTCTAACATGCTGGTTAGGAAGTCTAACATGTGGTCAGTCTAACATGCTGGTTATGAAGTCTAACATGTGGTCAATCTAACATGCTGGTTAGGAAGTCTAACATGTGGTCAATCTAACATGCTGGTTAGGAAGTCTAACATGTGGTCAATCTAACATGCTGGTTAGGAAGTCTAACATGTGGTCAATCTAACATGCTGGTTAGGAAGTCTAACATGTCTTCAGTCTAACATGCTGGTTAGGAAGTCTAACATGTGTTCAGTCTAACATGCTGGTTAGGAAGTCTAACATGTGTTCAGTCTAACATGCTGGTTAGGAAGTCTAACATGTGGTCAATCTAACATGCTGGTTATGAAGTCTAACATGTGGTCAATCTAACATGCTGGTTATGAAGTCTAACATGTGGTCAATCTAACATGCTGGTTATGAAGTCTAACATGTGTTCTGTGAATGTAAAAACCTCCTTGTTCCAGTCTTTTTGGGCTCCTTTATTCACAAACCAACTGTGGCGGAGCTACAGCAG